TGTATTTTTGGTCCTTGTAGCATTGCAGCGATGGGGGGGGGGGAATTATAGCCACTAAATGTTGCCAGGTGCTGTTTTTCCCATCATTGTCAAACTGTGACGGGAGAGGTGGCAGCTGTGCCACTTCCAGCTTCCTCAGAGATCTTAAAAAGGGACAGAGGTCTGCTCCTTTGGAAAGATGGCTGGCCTGGCTTATGCTCATATTGTTCCAGCATAATTGAGATGGCCTATGTTTCAAAACAAAAACAAATCATGGCTTGTTTTATCTTCACAGAAGGGAAAATCACTTCCCACACAAAGAAAAAAGGTTTGGCTATTTAAATACATTGGACTGGTATGGTAGCAGGTGCAGGACAGCGACTCTTTTTTGGCGCCTTAGCAGCATTCAGATGAGAGAGACTTGGTTAAGGACACTTTAGCTAAAGGGCTAGAAAGCACACATGTATTTATTTGGTAGAGACAGCATTCATAAAACATATGTCACTGAGCATTCGCAAAAATTTATTCACCATGAAATTGTTCATTTTTGTACTGGTTAATTTTATAAAATGTGTCCCCCCTTCCGCCAGAGACATTTCATTAAAAGATAATGCTAATATACTGTTTTGCACTACTTACAGAATCCCTCATTTCTGAATGCATTGCTTTCCGTAAGATGGTAATACATTGTTCAATGTATTGCATTTTCTAGGGATTCCACACTTTCAATCCCTTCTCCTTGTCCATTTCCACAATTTTCCTGTTATGCACACTGATGTTTTCTCTCAAAAAGTCTTTCAATTTGGGAGTGTCAAGCTTTTCAAAGCACTTTTAAGTTGCTAAGCATTTTGCAATCTTTTTTGTTTTTGCCTTCACGTGATCTGGTAAAATGAGTTGTCATAAGCAAATTCACCTGTTGCATTTTTGTCAATACTGTATGGACATTTTTGCAAGTAGAACATGAGAAATGCTGCTTTGTATATTGATTTTGATATTCCTCTTGACCAGCTTACAGCCTTTTTTTGTAATGGCAATCCAAATATTTTTTGCTTTTGGCCTGCTGGATCAGGCTATATGCATTTTATACTTTCAACATATGCATTGTATAGATCCTACACCTATTCAACTCTGCTTTTACAAATGCTAAGAACAGTCCTGCTGGATCAGACAAAAGACCTATATGGCTCATCATAGGGTTTGGGATTGGATTCAGATGAATGCTAAAAGCTGAACCAATTCAGGTCAGCCTATGATTAGCTGGATTGGATTGACGAAGCCTTGAATCACCCTGGGTCAAATGGGGTCCACCTGGAGCAATCCAGGGCTGTCAAAAGCAGGAGCAGTTGGAAGAAAAGGAAGTGAGCAGATAGTCCACATGCATCTCCTCCTCCTCTCTGACCACACTGCAAAGTCCCCAAATTAGTTTGAGCCCTGGATCATCAGAGTCACTCCAAAGTCCAGAACTGGACCCCAAATTAGATTGGGTGTATGTGCGAAGCCCTAGTTCAGCACTTTGTCCTCACTGTGGCCAACTATTGAACGCTCACAAACAGGACATGAGTGCACTCATGATCCCTAGCCACTGGTGTTGCATATTGCCTCTGATATTGGTTGCAGTAGATAGCCATCATGACTAGTAGCTATTGGTAATATTATCCTCCAAGAATCGAACAAATCCCTTTTGAAAGCATACCAAGTTGTGGTATTCTATATTTTAAATATGCACTCTGTAAAGAACTATATCCTTTTGATGTCCTAATTCTCCCATGATTGAGTTTCATTGGATAGCCCAGGTTCTAATATTATGATAGAAGAAAAGCTTTATTCACTTTCTCCAAACTCTACATATTCACCTTTTCCCTAAACAAAATGGCCTGAATATTGTAACCTTTTCTCATAGCTCCAGCCTCCTGATGATTTTGACTGCCCTTTTCATATTTTTTCTAGCTCCAGGTAGACTGCTATTCTAGCAGACACTTCTTGTTAAGTTTATATTTTCTCTACAGGAAATTGTCTTCTCTCTGTTCTCCACAGTAACCACAGTAACATTCTTTAGGGTGACTGTAAGTGAAATTGAGAACAGGAAACAGCACTAATATCAGTATGGTTCTTACCTGAGTTATCCAAGAATCTTAATCTGTTGACAGAAAGTTACGGTGCTAAGAAGAATATTGGGCGATGTAACAGTGTGGAAGTTGACTATAATACACTTGGTCTTGTGTAATTATAATCACCCTGTAATTGGATCTAAATGTGAAAGAAGTTTCTCAGTTATCAATTAGGTCTTCGATTTATGGCATGCTGGCATCTCCATATGTAGCTGAACTTAATGGGCAGAATCAAACCATATTTAAGTACTTTTGACCATTTACTGAACTGGATTGGGCTAGTATGTTTGCGACCTGAAATGCTCACATCCATTTCAGCAAGTCGGAAACACACCTTACAGATTAATAAAGAAATCAACTGAGCATGTGAACACAATTTCCCTTTTACAGATGGGAAACTTGTGGGAATGTTTAGGGAGGCAGGAGAGGATATATTGTTTATTAATATCCTTCCTAACTTGCGCCAGGAAGTTCTATAACTTAGCAGAGTTTTAACATTCCCCTTTTAAACACACAGTGGGTAGCTGGTTGCAAGCTTTTTTAAGCTTCTCAATATAAATTCCTGGTAAGATCCCTTATTTCCCTCTTAAAAGAATCATTATGCCACAATCTTCTTTAAAGTGTATAAAAGAAGTTTACTCACAGCATCATCAGTTCACAGTTGGATCCCTGAAGACAGACTTAGTGACAGATATACATGTGAGTCTATCCCATATGGAGATAGTCTCTTTGTCGGCTGAAAGCCGACAGGGCATCTCTAGCTAAAAAGAGCCACTCCAACGAAGTGAGGAAGTCAAAAAGAGAGGGAGGATGCTGCATGCCTTGTGCTTTTGTTACCTGCGCAGGTAACATCACGCCCACATCTAGTCACATGCAAGAGGAAGTATGTCCCAGTCCAGGAGGAAACAGGAAGTTCTGACTGGCTGGACCAAACATCCCCTTTCATGTCCACGCTAGGAAAACAAGGAATGTTGTATTTGACTGCTACCTATGTATCACATCCCACAAAACTGAGGTCGCGTGAAAGAAAATGACTTGTTTCAAGGCCACTTGAGCAGGGATTTGAAACCTTGCCTTCCAGGCCTAATGCTACAGCTCCTGGACCACACAGTAGCCCTCTATTACTTTTTTGGTGCACCAGATGGCACGCCATACACAACCAGCCACCCCAGATAACACTGCACTGTGCATCTACACATCCCTCCCCTTTCTCAATGTACAGCATCCATCTGGCAAGAGGAGGCTGTGTGGATTTCTTGCTGTTAGAAAAGGCAACGCAGCACATTTACCTTCAGAACAGCCTATTCAGCTGTTTTCCTTTCTACTTTTTTTAAAAAAGAAAAAACTAATCTTTTGTAAGCAAACTATAACTTGAAACTTAGCCATAGATTGTCTGCATTGCCCTGCAGAAGGTGTTGTCAATCCCTTTCCCTCCCCGCTCCACAGCGTTTGCTACAGCCTGAGCCTTCTGGCTCCTCTGCTTGATCCGTGTTGTTGCTTGTGTCTTCTGCGGGGGCTGCTGAAGCGGGTGGGGAAGAGAGAGAGACGCTGCACAACTGTGGGGGGAGACAGTTGATCTTCCGGAATGAGTGAACTGTCACTCAGGCATACCCTAAATTTGGGGGCGGGGGGCGAAAGATTAAGGTTTAATTGATAGCTATAAGATTAATACTGCAAACCACAGGAGGCAAGCTGAACGCTCAAAAAAGAAAAGAAAGTATCGTGGAAGGAGACATTTGCTGCAGAGTCGGCTTGAGACCTCTAATTCAGGAAGGAAAAGGAAGGAAAAATGATACCATCTGCCAAGATGACTTCACAGTCCTCATGTACCAGGAACTTTATTGCTGACAGCGTGGATCCTTAAATCTCTGCGGCTTGTAAGTGTATGGCTCATGGCTACATATGGGATGAGTCCACCTGGTACTTGGAACGTGTATGGGGGAAAACAAAAGCAAGCCGGATCTCAATGTACTCTGGAGTGAGCACCATTATTTTTTTTTTAACACTTCTCGACTTCTTTATGTATATACAACTGTCTAACGGAAGTGACATCCGATTTTGGCTGCTACCTTTGAGTGGAAGTAAGCCCCATAATTGAACCCAGTGGAACTTATTTCCGAGTGCACCTGCACGGTGCAATCCTAGCATGCATATAAGTTAACAGGGGCTTCTGAATATACGTGTCTATAAGATCAGGAACGTTTAGAGTGGATGGGGCCGCTGTCCCGTCTTCTTTCAAGGCTACTGGTTATTATGGATCGGGCTTTGGAGTCTGACTTTTGAGTCAAAGCATGCATGAGATGTGACTGTCCAAATCGACGTCTTTTCAATGGCGCAAGGGACAAGGGAAAGGATCTCTATATTTTGCAGCCGACTGTCTCTTTCTCCCAGCTGAGAACCCCCTTTCTGTTCTCGAGGGACAACACACCACTCCTTGGGCTTCTTGGAGTAGCAGACACCCGTTCTTTTTGCTCAGAAAAGTCGCTTGCAAGAAATCCATGTTGTTTTGGGAAACTGACACCAGTTGGGAACCAGTTTAAATTAAAAAGAAAAAGCAGTCATCTGAACCTGGGTCTTTCTTGGCATCAAGTCCTCTTCCAAAGCAAGCTGCCCGATTTCGGCTGAGATCCCCCTACTTGGGCGTAAGCGCCCATGGAAATCCGCAGCGCTTACTACTTCAGCAGGAAGATTTAGGTTTCAAGAGCCGCGGAGCCCTTTGCAACCAGAAGTGCAGTCGGAAGCATTTACGGGAGGGGAAAGAGGGCTTGGAAAGGCCCCCTGGTTTGTTTGCCTCAAGTCCATCCCTCCCGCGCTCAAACAGGGCTTGCTTTGCAGGTTGTCTCCTGCGCTTAGGACCCCCATCCTCTCTTAGTGGCATCTAGAACAGAAGAGAGACTCTTCCCCTTCTCTGCATCAGCTTTGGAAGCAGCAGGTGTTGGAGGAGGAGGAGCTGCAGCAGCCGGAGGAGGAGGAGGAGGTCGAAAGGGGGTGCATGGTTCCCCCTCCCTTCTGCTCCTTAACTATCAAACGATTTTATTTTCAGTCACCTCTCTCTTCTCCCGCCTCCCTCTTCTTCCTGGGTGGATGCCTTTGCCAGTGGGAGAGGGAGATCGAGAAGGAAGCAGCGGCGGCGGCGGCGTCTGCCGGCTGGGAAATCCTTGTGTGTGAAAGAAGCTGGTACTGCGGACTTTGCCCTTGGCAGCAGCTGTGGGAGCCGCTGGCAGGAGCCAGAAAGAAGGAAGTTGGGCCCTGCCGGGGGGGAGGGCATCCCTGTCCCCTTCCAGCTCCCGCACTAGGTCTCTAGATGCCCCCTTTTCCTCGCCGAATCCTTTCTCACCCTTGACCAGCATCTCCTCCTGCTGCTGCCGGAGCGCGCTCGCCGTCTTTGGGATGGTGCTGCCTTGATGGGGAAGAGGCGGCGGAGGAGGAGAAAGGCGCCTACCTAAGCGGGTAGGAGAGAGGACCCCTCCCCCCCCTTCCTCGCCTATCTATGGAGTGAGGGGAAGAGGCAAGCGTGCGATCAGCCGCCAGAGGATCCACAGCGAAACTTTTATTGCAGCTTCCACCCACCCACACATCCCCCAGCCATCCTCACCCCCGGACAGCATCCTGCGCGCTTGCAAATGGAGGGACTGCGGCTCGCAGGAAGATTCCTGGTTTAAATTGGCAAAGGGGGAAGCAGGAGGAGGAGGTGGTGGTGAACAGCAAGGCACAAGTTAAAAGGCGACCAGAGAGGAGGCGGCCCCTCTTTTTTCTTTTTAATCTTTTCTTTTTAATCTCCGCGACTCTCCTGGCTTCTCTTCGCCCTTCGCCACTTAGGAGGATCTCTAGCGGGGGGAAAACACACACCCAGATTATTGTCCTGGACTGTTGAAGAGGACACCCCCCCCCGGGCCGGCTTTCCTTTCCTTCTTCCTCTCTTCCTGCCCTGCTGCTGCTGAGCGATGGGCTTCTTCCAACCCTCCGCTCCGGCTTGATCCGGTGTCGCAAGGGAGGCAAAATGGACTTGGCCGGTTTGGAAAGACTTCGGCTGTAACTGAATGGCGCGCAGAGATCCTTAAGCCCCTCCTTGGGTGACTCTTTCTTCCTCCACCCCCCTCCACCCTCTACCCCCTTTTGCTGCCTTCCCCTCAGCTCTAGCCTCTCCCCTCTTTGGGTGTCTCTCCCACCACCTTGCCCGTCCGAGAAGCGAGATCGAGGAACTGATGACGGACCCATCGCTCACCCCCCCTTCGATGCATCAAAAGAACCTCCAGGGCCGGGAAAGGTTGGCCTCGAAATTCTCCAGGAAATACTTGGGGCTGCTTTTGGTGTTGTATGAAACTGGTGATTAAAGGGGGGGAGCCTGGAAAGGAGGAGAGGAGACGAACCCTCCCCCCCCCACTTCACTTTCTCGAGCCTAGTGGCTCCTGCCGGTGGTGGACTGCGATCTCTGGAAGTGGAGCTTGTGCGTCGAGGGCTCTTGCTCTCCCTTCCCCGCCTTGCCCTTCTCGGCCAGTTATGCAGACTCCCTGTGGTGGTTGCTGCTGCTCCTGCTGCTGCTGCTGCTAGGATCCGATGCTGGCCGCTCCGGAGCCAGGGGATGGAGATGGGGGGCTGATCATCGCCAGACGACGGTGAGAGGGGAAAGGAGAGAAAGAGCTGGAGAGACGGGGGCGCTGATCCACTTGGGTTCAGCGCGAAGCGCGCGTGGGCTTCAGGCTGCTGCTCGGGTCTCCCTCCTCTTCCCACCGCAGGAAGCCCTCTCGTCTCTAAATGGAATTAGTGGAGATCGAAGCCCCTTGTGTAAGGAACAGACATGATCCATGGGCGCAGCTTGTTTCACAGTAAGTAGATCTCCGCCGGATCCCTCAGGGCCAACCGTGCCCTGTGCTGCCCGCTGCCCACAGTGGTCGCCGCCACCACCTTCTTGGGCAGAGAGCATTGTGTGTGACCCAACTAGTAGAGGAATCAGGTGCGGAAAGCTTAATGGCGTAGGTGTAAATACTCCCCTCCTTTTCTTCCTCCGCCCCCCCATTAAAAAAATATAAATAAATTTTAAAAATGTAGCTACTGAAGATTTGTTTGTTTTGACTAGGATGGAGTTCAGGAGGTTCCAATCCTAGAGCTTGTAGCTTTCAAAGTCATGCGTAAAAGAAAGAGGTGGGGGGGGGGAGAGAAAGAAGGATGCCCTGCAAAACTCTCTTTACCTGCCCCCACCCCTCCTTGAGCTATTGAGGTTTCAGGCCGCGGTAAGCTCCCTTACGGTAGAAGTCAGCAGCACTGGAATCGATGGGACTCAACCACGTAATTATGTAGGGGCAGAGATTAGACGTTTACCAGTCTGGCTGCAGTCCTAAATCATTAACTTGGAAATAAGTCTCATTGAAATCAGTGGAGCTTACTTCCATGTAAATGGGTCCAGAGCCCTCTACATTTTCTAACTCTTCAGCCCCATTTCAGGTTTGATGCTGCGATTTTGACCAAACCAAAATGACACATCCATCTTCTGTGCCAGTTCTAGGACATCAGCATTAATCCGAAGTATAAACTCATTGATTACTGTAATTACTAGGGATTAGTGCCAGTACTGAATTCGGACAGTAGTTGTTGTAGTCATCATAACGGAAGGATGAAATCCAAGTATTTGGACTCAAGTTGGTGATTGTTGATTCACCCAGTTTTGGAGCAGCAATCTTTCTTGGACTTATTTCACTAACTGGATTTTTTTTTTTTAAAAAAGTTGTTATTGTGTGCGCATTGTGTTAAGCACATTGCAGTTAAGCAAAAGTTACAGTAATGGAAGGGAGATGAGTGGTTCCACACACATACACACAATTCATTAATAGTGGACAGTTTTTGTTTTTTTAAAGAGAGAATAGTACAAAAGTGGAGGGCATGCACGTATTGACATACAGAGGACACGCAGTTGAGACCAACTACTAGGATTTAAGCCAATTTAATCTTTTGTGAGTGTGCCCACAAACATTGTGTAAAATGCCTCTGATATCTGTTTTCTTTCCAAAATAGTTTGGAACATTAGTAATGGCCAGGGAACTTTCCTTTATCTTCTGCTTATTTGCCCTGTTCGTGTCTTAAATTGACTTAAATTGTATCTAAATAATGAGCAGGAAGGCACGGAGTCTACACAAACTGCACACACAAAATCTAAGCTTCCTGAGCAGTGTGGAATGTGGGGAAATAGTGACAAGGATGACCCAATGAGAACAACTCTTGTTTTACCTCTTTTAAAGCTCAGTGAATGGGACTTCTGTGTCAAGATAGCAGACTGTCCCTTTCCCCATTTGCTGCACAGCTTGCCTTTTTGATGGAGGCCATAGAAAAAGTAATCAAAATAAGGGAAGATAGATTTTGTATTAGTACATTTCTAACCATGTGAATGGAATTAATTTAAAAAATCAGTTATGTATAACCACAGCCAAGTTGTTAGCGTTCAGTTGCCTAGTAGCTAATAGGAATGCATAACATCTACAGTACTTTTTAATGTGCAAATGGGTTTGTGCTATCTAGCTCCATTTGATTAGAATCAAAGAAAATTCTGCCATTAAATTTAATAGGATGTGAGTGTTCCTTTTATTGTGCCTGCAACAGTAAATCACCATTATGCCCATTTTTCAGATGTGGGTGGAAATAACTGTATGATACCCTTCAGTTTTATAATTTTCAGGAGTTGACTTCCAGAACTAACCGAGGTTGTGATTCCATGCAGACTTAATGACCAAGTTCATGAGTTTTTGGATCAGGGTGCAAGGCCACAACATCTGATGTAGTTAAACTCAGGACTCAGTCATTGGTATTTTATGTGGAAGTCTATTAAAATGAATGGTGACTAACTGCAATTAGAATTGAGGTATCCATCCCAATTCACGTTAATGAATGGTGTTAAGCATGCATGAGAGGGCACAGGACATAATGCATTTGTATTATATGGCTTTGCACACACTCTCTCTCTGTTAACATTGACTTTAAAGCCACCAATTCACAATGCATTCTTCCAAATATTTTCTTCCAAGAACAGCACTGTTCCTTACTTTTCTGGAATTTCTGAAACATCACTGGCTGCACATGACCAAAAAGTGTTGCTTAGGGAAATGAAAATGTTTTGCACACTGCTAAGAATTATGCCTTCATTTTCCTATATTATTAGAAATCATGTAAAACTTTTTGAGTAACTTGGCATATGCATTCCATTCTGACCTCTTTGGAGTTATGTCAGGCATGATGGAACAAATGTTTTCGGCTATTAGAACAATGCAACTGGAATATAGTCCCTATTTTACCCCTCCCCTTGTTCCGTGGCCTCCAGCTGGTCACATAAGTTTTATGAGTCCCAGTCTCTGCATTTCTAAAATGCCATGAAGCAATTCCTATGCCACAGAATTTCTAAAAAGTGTTTTGGGACTCCAAGGCAGCAAAAGATATGTGCTTGAAATTACACATCGGCTAAATGAAGAGTTTTGCCCATGTCTTACAGAGTTATGAATTGGCCTTGCTGCTAGGTTGTCCTAGAGTGCTAACTAACCTTTGTGGCATAGAATCCAGCTATGCCACCTGAAGGCAGTGCTTCTCTTTCAAGGATGCCACACATTATATCAAAAGGCAAACTAGATATATATATAGAGAGAGAGAGCACTACTAAATGAGCACAGTCTTCGCCATCTAGCAGGACCACTGCAATTCGGAGTGACATCATGGCTACATAGTCCCCTGACATCCTTCTCACCTCTGCAGCCATTTAGGATGCAGTTTCAAGGCATAGTCTGAAGTTGGTTGGACGAGGTATGTGAAACTGCCAAGCTGTTAATATTTATTAATTACATTTTTTATCCTGCCCTGCCTCCAAGGAACTCAGGTCCAAGATCACCAAGTGAGCTTTGTGAATGAACAGAGGCCTGAGTTCAGGTCTCCTTGTAGCCAGTGCACTGACTGTTTCTTTAGTGTGACATCTCCAAATGTTGTCTTGAAACTATGTATAAGGTTTCAACTCCTGTGTGAGACTTTTCCAGGCTGAGCATTCCTCTGTCAAACACTATAAGTATTTTTTTTGGGGGGGGGACGGGGGGACAGGGACGGACATGCTCATCTGTGTATGTGTGTGAGAGACAGACAGACAGACAGACAGAGAATATATATAAGCTCTCTTGTTTCTGCTGAATCGTTATGAAAATCACAGTACTGCTTTTAAATTGGCACCCGTAGGACAACCCCACACTGCGTAAAATGAGGTGTGACTATATTTTGAACTGCTGATATAGCTGATGCCCCAATATTATTCAGAAAGGGCCCCCAACCCTGCAGAGAGGGGTTTTTTATGGGGAGTGGATTGCAGGTGGCTGCAGGGGAGAAGAGGCAACGAAAAACTTTCTTTCTGTGATGTTCAGTAAGTTAATTTATCTTAAGATCGAAGCCATCATTGTTAGTGGCATCCATGTGACAAATGTGAAATGTAGTTTCTCTGGTCTAAGATATGTGTATCTTAAGATAAAGGTTTTGGGCTCTAGCAGGGTATGGGCACACATGCATCTTGACTGGAACAGTGCAGAGATGGAAGAAAGGATGGAAAGGTGCTCCATCAAGACTCAGCACTTCAAGACTCTAGAAACTAGTGTGTCTGTATGAGCAGGGCAGGTACAATTAATATTTTATCTGATTTATTTAAACCCAAGTTTGATTCTTCCTAAAGCATGTCTAGCAATGTTTCTTGGTACCCACAAAGGATGAATGAGTGCTCAGGATAATGTGTATCTTCAGTAGTTTCTTCTCATTTTATCCAAATGTCCACTAGCTTGGAGACAGTAGAATTGATATGGCCTGACTGATGGAGGCTTTGTTAAATTTGCTCATTGGATGACCTTGAAGAAACAAGTACATCTCCTAGTCTTTGTTCATCAAATATAACAACAATTAACTACGCCATCACATGATTACCACCTTGCTTGTAATAGGGATTGTGGAGAACTAAATGTGCTAAATGCACCGTAGAGTGACCAATTTTTCAAGCCCTCAAACTGCAGCTGCACTGATTCACAAATATGTGAACCCTTATCTAGAAAAGACATACTGTGTAGTGCCTTCAATAAGCACAGAATCAATTTATTATTTCTTTGCACATAAAATACACATGAGTAAATGGGTAACTTCATTGTGCTCATGTTTCAAATGGTAACAGTTCTGAAGGCTTACTGAGCCTCATGCATTGCAGCAATCCATCTCTGAAGAAAAAGTATGTTGACAATCATGCAGGATTTATATAAGAAACAAAAACTTCCAAGTATCATTTGCAAATTGCTCATGCAAATGATATTCAGTAAACTGAATGTATGGAGTAACAGCAGCAGATGCTGCGGCCTACAGAAATGGTGGTTATGCTCTTCCTTCTTATTAAGTCCTCATTATCTCAAAGTATTTTCTCTGCTGAGTCAGCTTCTGATCCCAAAGTGCTCTGCCAGTACAAACCCCACTAAACAGGATTTCTGCTGGAGGCATGCTTTGAGGACTGGATGGAAACCAGCTTGGCCTTATTCACACGTCTAAGCTCACAATACCGCAAGTTAAGCAGGCTTCTAACAATATTTAATTAACAGAAAACAACTGATTTCCTGTGGTCCGTGTTTTAGTCTAGTCAGTTATATTACTGGCACGCTCCACAAATGATCTCTTGCTTATTAGCCGAGGTACAAGGCGAGCTACCAAAATAGTTCCAACGGCACTTACAAAACACCAGACGCAACACAACAAACTTTTTGAGAACTGAGCAGTAGTAGAGTTAGCTACTGAACCTTGTGGAGCATGTTGGGGCCAAGGAGCTCATGTAGGTGGGGCCAATACGGTCACATGAGCGAGACAAAGGAGGTCACATGGGCAGAGACAAGTTGTTCTGGTTTTCTTCCCATCCTCCTACCTTGCAAAGGTGTAGACACAAAAGGATTGCAGTTGTATAAGTCCTTAATACCTAACTAAACTGAAAAGTGTTTAACACTTGTTTTAGAAGGGTTTCCTGCTGTCACAATTTCTAGTGTGGGTTAATGTCACAATAACCACACACTACTCAGAAGTCAGCAGCACTAAATTATCTGGGGATGGCTACCAGATAGGGCTGAATCCTCAGGTTAGTCTTACAGGGGCCACATAGAACTGTTAACAAGGTCCTTTCTAAATTTTCAGCATTATGGAAAAAGGTTCCCCCTTCTCCAATTTTTTTCACTTCTATGCCTTCTTTCCAGATTATGGAGGGCTTTTAAATGGACTAAGGGTGCAGGAGACCAGGGTTAAAGTCATCCCTCATCTATGAAGCTCCCTGGGTGAACTTGGGCTATTCACTGTCAGCCTATGTCTCAGGTTTGTGAGGATAGAATATGTAAGAGGAGAATAATGAATTGGTTCAACCCAGAAAAGTTGGTCATGGGCAGGTAGCAACATGAACAAGTCAGTTCTATGGGTTTTGGTGGCTGCCTTGGGGTGCAATCCTAACCATGTTTACTCTGAAATAAGTCCTGTTACATTCAATCGAGTTTACTCCAAGGTAAACAGAGTTGATTTATTGACTGTGTTTACATCACCTCCCCAAACAGGAGTTCTCTGGATTTCTCACAAGCAAAACACAACAGCTAAAAATGTGCATTAAAATCAAAACATCATTAATGTGCAATTTAAAACATTGTTAAAAGTAGACGTCAGGTTAATACTTTCCCAAGAATATACATGTCAACATACAGACGCTATACATAACACAGGACAACATGAAAAGAGTCTGAAATGCGCTTTTCAGCTTTAACTGATTTTTGAGTCAGGATGGGAGTGAAAAGGCTGTGGGGAGGAAAGATTGAAAGAAAGGAGTGGGCTGGGAGGGACAGGGCCTGAGCACTCATAGGAAATAAGGCAGGAATACAATCCACCATCCTACCCAAGCCATTTCTTTGGGACAGAATTGCTTGTTACAGGGGTGTGACCAGCTAGTAGTGATTGCCTAAGCAGAGAAGAAGCATTTAAGAAGCATGTAAGAAGCCCCTCAGTCAGTGGAAATGTATTAATAATGACTGTGGGTGACAAGAGAAAGACTGGACTATGGCTCTGGAGATTTTGGGGGGGCTCTTGGAAGGGTTATGTGCCACTTTGCCCAACAGAGGAGCCTCCCCTGTGGACAGGCCAATTACAAAAAAGACCAAGAATAGACCATGTTGACAAAACCATATTATTTATTAAATTATAATGAAAGACAGAGGTCACTGGAGAATTTACTGTAGTATACCAGTTCACCAGTTCACCTGTTTGTGAACCAAACAGATGCTAATAACTTGGTTTGGCTTAAGTAGGCCAAATAAGATACTGTATTTTTTGCTCTATAAGACTCACCTTTTCCCTCCTAAAAAGTATGGGGAAATGTGTGTGCGTCTTATAGAGCAAATGCAGGCTGCGCAGCTATCACAGAAGCCAGAACAGCAAGAGGGATTGCTGCTTTCACTGTGCAGTGATCCCTCTTGGTGTTCTGGCTTCTGAGATTCAGAATAATTTTTTTCTTGTTTTCCTCCTCCAAAAACTAGGTGCGTCTTGTGGTCAGGTGCGTCTTATAGAGCGAAAAATACGGTAATTCAGTCAATTATTAAGTGTCCTTGTAGCAAGTGGAATGTCAGATCTAATAGTAATGGTTTCTAGTGTGCATACAACTATGTGGAACTTCTATCTAAATTAATACCCAGTTCAATCAAAGAGTATTAAATTGTGTTCCTGTCACCAATGTGCCTTTTGATCTTAAACACGGTTCATATCCAAAAATCAGATTACATAGCCAAGCACAACTACAAGATAGATATACAGAAATTGCTCCTTCTTTGTTTATTATTTGTGAAATGCTGTAGCTCTTTTGATTGCTGTTACAAATCTATTATTATAACTAATATATTTCTTTATTTTTTCAGTTGTAGCAAGTTTTATCATCCTACACTGGGCTGGGGCAACAAAAAAAGGAGCAGGTATGTTTTTTATGGAGAATATTTCCATTATCTAGAGTATTTTAAATTATTCAAGCCTTTAAGGCATAAACTGGGTTTATGTTTATGTTTTTATTCAGCTTAGTGATTTTCTTTTAATATTTGCATCCTTGACAACTAAAAATGATTATGGAACTTCAAAACAAAAACAAAAAAACTTAGGCCTACTTAAGGCTTAAATAATAATTAAAAACATAGTAAACAAGATTCATTATTTACAGATAGTATGGATAGTGGCCATACTGATCAGATTATTTAATGCTGGTCTGAAGTAAGGAAAGCCCAGGACACAGGAAGAAACAAGAGCACCTTTTAAGAAAGGAAAGGAAAAGGAAATGATTAGCTGATAGCCATAAAATACCTGGGCAAAGTAAACTTGTGGTGGCTACATTTATAAAATCAGTGAATCACAGATCTGGAAAATGCAGAAAGCAACGGAGCCCTGTCCCCAAGTACAAGGTACAGCTTATGATGTCACTAAAATTCATGTTTCCTGGCTTGTAACCTGGAAGGCTTGTATTGTCCACCTCAAATATAAAGTGAGTATTACATCCATGAGAGTTCTTGTCTGACTTGGAAATACAAATTCAGCATTTCCACAAGAACAGAGAGTGTTCTTTAAATTTAAATCTATTCATAGTCAAGTATAATAAAAAAATAACAGTCCATTGTAGTCCAATCTTATATCAATCTAATATAGTGTATCCAACACTGTTTGCCCATTTAGAATTTTCAGGTGGTGGTAGGGAATGCGGGAGATTTTTCTGAGAGCTCTCTAAAAATACTTGTAATTAGTGATTATTCTTAAATTATTACTGTTGTTATTTGTTTCATTTCTATAGTGCTTTATACTTTTAAGAAGAAGAAAAATCTCAAAGCAGTTTACAACACATTAAAACATCAAATAAAACAATCCAGAACAAAACATTACTGAAGAAAGTTAAATATAAAGTATACATGCAAAGTAACATAATCAACAGGAAACTAAAATGTTATCTTAATTTTTTCAAACTAAAACACTACCCTTTCATCTCCACTCTCCCATTTTATTCATTTGTATCCCACTTCGCTTGAAAAAACAATGGTGGTATTTGCGGGTCTCCCTTTCCCCATTTTATCTTCACAATGCTTCTGTGAGGTAGGATAGGCTGAGAGGCAATGATTGGCCCATGGTCACCCAAATGAGTTTCTTGTCTGAGTGGGAATCTGAATCCTAGTTTCTCAGGCCCTAGTCTAACGGTTGTACGATACAGAAATGTTCCTGTCTAACAGGATTTCTACCCAATGTGAGCAGTTGCAAGGATGCACAAAGCCCCAAGTCTAACCAAAACTCTTTTACTTACTTATGCATCTACTTATTGCAGCATTCCAATATAACTCTTTCACAAGTACCATTACACACAAACATATCGTGCTACCATCATCCTGTGCCTTTTAGATGTGGTAGTCCCTGTTGCCCTGAAGGGATAAACTGAGTTACGTAGAGAGAGAGAGTGAAGTACACAGCGATAACAGCAAGAACCGTTATCGAACTAACAGAACTGAACCACAGGGGCAAAGCAACTGCTTGTATACATTTCTGAAGGCCTGGGCCACGTGATTGGCTGTCTAAACTCCCAAGCTGCGAATCATGACTCACAGTTTAAGGGCCAATGCAGAGGCATATCATGTATTCAGGGGCTCTGAATCCTTAGTCCAGGCTCAGGCTCAGGCAAACACAGGCCACTGAATACATAACAGAGAGGAAAAAGCAACTCAGGACAGATTAATAGAAGATCTTATTCATAAATGTAGCCATCTGCCTATGCAGCTTGAAAATCAGTAAGTCTCACAGTCCCTCCCAATCCAGCCTAAGAAATTGGGGCACAATTACTTTTGCACAATTACTTCTTCTTTTTTTAAACACAATGATTTTAATTTTTAATTTTATATTTTTGTAAACTTAGAGGCTTTTTTTTTTTACAATCAAACAGTAATTACATTTTGTTAAACACAAAGAAAAATGAATGAATAGTTGAAATACTCTGTTATTCCAGTATCCATTGCTGTCTATGGAAAAGTCTCCCTGTCTATCTAATGAGTTCATTTTCACCATTATAGGCAGCAACTCTGGAGCATGGCTTCTATGCAAAGGATGTATTTTGTGAGATGGAATATAGGAAAGGGAGTAAGAATCTCCATGCAATTCTTTCCCTCTTCTTTAAATGTACTGTTATGATTTTTTTTGGGGGGGGGGGGCATTATGCTTAGACCCTTCTAACCCCTGGATCCAATAAGTATTAAAATATAAGCCAGGCTAGCTTCCTGACGAGGTGTTTGGTATGGTTGATGGGCCATTAAGAGGAACAGAGGAAAGGGCTTGTGTGCCAGATGACAAATGAATGGGTAGGGGGCCCACTCTCAACTCACGAATACTTAGAAAGACAAGGCTAGAGCTGAAGGCAGAGGGTTTGGAGTGATGTGGGCTAGAAGCAAAGCAGCAAGCTGAATAAAGAGTCAGAGAATTGTTTGAATCCAAAGCTATGGCTATGGGAGAAGCAAGACCCTTTTGGGGTGTTAATGCTGTGAAGCCCTCCATCATAGGTTCAGATTGTATATATGTATATAAACCATATATTATAAAGACACCACAGTCTCCACTGTGACTCATTCTGAAGGAAACACAAATTCTGGGTAAGCACCTGGAACCCCTGGAATCTTGCACTGCTCGGAGATTGGGGCAGCATGCAACAATATTGTGCCCATTGTAACCTTCACCAGAGCCTTGGGTTCTAGAATGCTTCCTCTCCCACCTGCCTGTGTAATTCTTGTGAAGGGAGATCCTATGGCACATATATTTGACAGATGAGTTTCTAAGCATATGCATCTGCGGCTGTGGTGGAAAACTGCCATGGACTAAAAAATGAACAAGATGGTAATAGGACCCATGGTATTTTTATATATATATATAAAACCAGAACTAAGGTGTAAGCTACATCTGCTATCATTGTTGTAATCTTTTCCCCCCCAGAAAAGCAAACCACGTCAGAAGGACAAAAGACAGTACAGTGTGGAACGTGGACAAAATACCCAGAAGGAGGCATCTTCACTTCTCCCAATTACCCCAACAAATATCCTCCTGAGAGAGAGTGTGTCTACATTATAGAAGGTGATTACCCAAGTCCTTCATTCTTAAATTACCCTTTTTTCATAATTAATGTATCTTCTTCTGTAATATCTACCTTTGGATAATGACAGTTTGGTCAAATGTGGCTGCAATCCTATACATACCCAGGAGCAGGTCCCATTGAATGCAATTAGGTTTACTTCTGAGTACACACACACACAGTACTCTGAGTACACAGACACTTCTGAGATACACACAGGCCTGTGTTGCAAAAAGAGCAGTGCTTTGGTTGTATTTATTTTTAATTAAAGACTTAATAAAGCAGGAGGGGGTTTATTGGTAGAGGAAAATAGCCATCTTCTTGGGCCTTGGTCATTACTATGCTTTCACAGCCAATTATAAAAGAAAAGAAAAGCTATATTATGGCAACTGTTGGCTTTGTCTCAGCCTCGTCTTTCTTTCTCTGCCTGAAGATAGAAAGAGAGCACTGGAAACTGCCATATTCAAATAATTTACACAGTCAAGGACATATATAGTACCATGCAATGGCAGCTTCCAATCTGTTACTCACTCTCTTTTGGCCAACAGAGAGTACTGCTAAAATAAAAAGATTAAACACTGAGAGTAACAGCCAGTAGGTGAAACATGGCATGGCAATATACTTACTAGTCTTTTCCATCTCTCTTGTTGCCTTATTGACAGATATATAAAAAAAGAGTCTAAAATGCTAGTTTATCAATATAAATTGCTTTTTAAAAAGAAAAGAAAGAGTATCACTGTTTGTAAGAAGAGTATTTCTTATTTCCTGGGGCCAATCTGGAAATGACTGATTATAGTGATCTACAAATAGATGAACAGAACTAGGTGTATTGGGAAAACAGAAGTATTAACAAATGTTAGAATGAATTCTGAGAACACAGATCATTCCTGATGCCTATTGTCCAAGTCCCCACATTGTTCAAAAATTTTAAAAATCCTGTAGACTAAATGAAACAACTGCTAATTCAGTTTTCCTATGTTATAATTCTTTCTTTAAGGTAAGCCACCATTTATGGCCCTCATAAGATGGTTTCCAAAAAAGAAGCCATACAATTCAAATCAAACAACATAAATAAGTCAACCATCATTAAATTAATGACATGTATTTAAACTTAAATCTAAGAAAACGTATCATGAATAGCTCAATAATAAACTGTCTGCATGAGATATGATGTAGATTTGTATGCTTTACATGTCATCAGGAAAGCTGAGGCAATATGTTAGTTGTAATATCTTTCTATATAATAAACATGAGTGACTGCCAGGGTTTTAAGTTTCAGAATATAAGAAACTAATCAGTAGGCCCTCAGGCTGAGACAGTTTTAAAAGAAGAGTCTGAAAGCCTTCAGCTTGCTTCAGTGGAGATGAAGATCATATGATTACCTAGATATTTATGCCTGGAGGAAGTAAAGTTTTATAAACAGACACAAAAAAAATACCAAGTAGTGATTAATCTACATTTCTTCTGTAATGGGAGTCTTGGGTATAGGGAAATACATAGAAATTGTATACAGTACAATAATTGCAGTGCTACATAAGACCAGTTGTCCATCTGGCACCGCCTTTTGTTTATCCAGAGTGGCCTGAAAGAGATTTCAGGTCACATGAAGGGACTAAAAGTTCTATCTAAGATTTGCTGTTAATCTGTAGTTAGGGGTAGGCTGTTGTTCTAAACATAGAGGTCGCAGTTTTACCTTCTGTGGCCAAAAGGCACTGACAGCCTTGTCCACCATGACATTCCAAAATTCCATTTTGGCATTCACAGCATCTCCAGTCACCCTTGAGCTGTGATTGGGAGAGATCAGTTTCCACATCTAAAGTCCATGTACCATGATATGACGAGTACCTTATTTTACCCTTTGACTTTGCCAAGCCCAATAATCAAGGACCGTTTTTTTTCCATTCCGAAAGTTACCATTCACACACTATAGAACTTGAACCTATAATAGACAGACTAGAGAGCATGAACAATTTAGAAACCATATCTCATACCCCTGCTTCAACTCTAGTAATTATCATCATTATTATCATTATTTACCCCTTCCTTTGGTTAAATAGTGCACTTGACATTTTACTTCTTTTAATGCAGATTTTTGAGTACACTATGTTTTGAACATTCCTCAGATGATTAGGGTAAATTAGGATATATAATTTCATATTCATCTTATATAAAGCCCAATGGACAGCATTGCATTGATCTTATTAGATGAAGGTCTGGTGGTGTGTGTGTGTGTGTGTGTGTGTGTGTGTGTGTATGTGTGTTTAGAAATATTCCTGAAAGAAAAACTGTTCAATACACAAAATTGCAAGATAGTAATTGAATGGAAGTTATCATTTCCCATAAATAGTGTGGTATTAAGGCCAATACTGAATGCTGAATGTGGCTGGGTTTTTATGTTGCAATAACAGTGAATGTGTCTTCTGTGAAAGTCATAATATGCCTAGACTCAGGGCAATTTTACACAGTTCTTGGCAGCATATTCAGGTTTGCCACCAAGTGTACCAACAGGGAGCTGCAGCCACATGAGTCTGTGTGATACAGGCCTTTGATGCTTCTAGACAGAAAGCATCTTAGTTATACTAGGAAAAATATGTAACATGTGTAGTGGACCTTTTCCCTACAAAAAAAGGGGAAAGAAATGTAGGGTTGTATCTTTCAGAATATTTTATGTATGCTTGGTCATTCTTTTCCACTTAAATTCTTGTTTGTTATCATAAACAGTGAATGCTTTAAAACTGCAGTAGCAGCCACAAATTAAACCTTCCACTCTGCACATTTCTATAATGTGGATGAACTTGATGTATTGGGCTTGATGTACTATAAGCCATGCAAAATTAGCAGCAGCATTCCATTGAAGACCATCTCCATTTTTGTAAAGCTAATAACATTTTTCTTCTTCCTTTGTAACACTATCTGTGTTGAAGAGCAATGATATTTTGCTGTTCCAAAGCACATCTATATAATTATCTGCTTGAGTGATAATATTCACTAATTCCATTCACATTCCTTGTATTCATAATGCATTCTTCAAAGCCAGCAGAGAATATCCGTTTGAAAGAAAAATGACCCTAGCTTCCTCTGTTCAATTGCTGAGCAACTGGAGATATCAAGGATTATTCCAATCCATTAGTAGGGAACCAGCTCACATTTATGAAGGGGAGATTTTTAGATCAATCTCTCCTTTCCAGACATTCTGTTAAACTGAAACAGATTTTTTGCTTAGCTTCAGCTGTCAGCTACATGAAATTACAGGCTGGTAAGAATTAAAGCCTTAATTGTATGGGGCTATTTCACTGCAACTGTTCCTCTGCTTCTAGTTAGAACCCAAAGCCTTTTTAAGCAGATGTAAAACCTCAAGATGGCACTTGTATAAGATAATTAGATGAAAAAGATGACAAGACATGCAAGCATTAAGCAGTCTTTCCCATGTTATTAGGAGTCTTTGAAGAAAGGTAATTAGAACCTAAATTAAAAAGATTGCTAAGAGTTCAAGTAGTAAAAGCTCATCACAGAATGGCTGCACTATATAGCCTTTAAATTTTGTAGCAACATTTCCTTGCATCTTAGGCTTTTACTTTTGGTACAGAACTCAGCCCCCTGACCCCTAAAAAAAATAATGGAACTTAAATAGACTTTCTCAGCCACAGCAAACTATATCAGCCAATAATATGTCTGTTTGAGGCCATGCAGCTCTTACTTTTTTCCTTTTCTCTCACCAAAGTTATGGAGAAACAACAATAAGATACAATGCAAGTAAGGTGCAATTACAATTGGTTCTTTTGTAACCTCTGTGGTTGTTAGCACATGAACAGCTCAATATCATCCTGGAGTGCAAGTGTTGTATTACAAGCAGAGACATCCACTGCAGTAGCAACTGCAGGATCCTATGAGAGACAAGCTAGGGAAAGTTGGACAGCTCTTTCAACTACTGCTTAAATAAAGAAAAGAAAACTGCTTGCTTAAGCTTTCAGCTAGAGCAGCCAACTTGTGATTTTAAAAGTGCCTGGTCTCTGAGTGCAGCCATGGCCCGAGTTAGAAAGTGCTTGATCTGTGACAGATCAGGCAGCAGAGTCTGGTGGGTTTTGTAAGGCCAGGAGAGAAGCATCAGAAGTCCAAGACCAAGTGCCACCCCCACTTATAAAAGCTACAGATAGTTAAAGGCCAAAAGCCTGGTTACAGAGGAAAGGTTTTGCCCCCTAAAGATATAGAGTGATGGCACTGGTGAGCCCCTTTGGGAAAAGCATTCTGCAAAGGGAGTCGCAACAGAAAATGGCTCATTCTTGTGTTGCCACTGTCCAGAATTCTCATGGAAGGGGGCACATGAAGAACAGCCTCAGATGATGAGTGCAGGGTCAAAGTTGGTTCATATGTTGGTAGTCCTCTCACACCTGAGGGTGTATACACTGTGGTATTTTCTGTTTTATTAAATAAGCTGCCACTGTAAACTTGAAGTTAATGTTTTAGACATCTTGAGTAGCCATCCACTGAGTTGTGTTGTGTTGTCAAGGCGAAATGCAATCTTTCATGCTGTACCTGCTCACTTTAAATGGAGTAAAAAATAAATACAGTCATACCTCGGGATAAATACGCTTCAGGTTGAGCGCTTTCGGGTTTTGCTCTGCGGCGACCCGGAAGTAACAGAGCATATTACTTCCGGGTTTCGCTGCTTGCGCATGCGCAGGTGGTCAAAATGACATCATGTGTAGAAGCGGCGAAACGCAACCCATGCATGCACAGTCGCACCGTCATGTCTTACGTTCCATTCAGGATGCAAACGGGGCTCTGGAACGGATCCCGTTTGCATCCCGAGGTACCACTGTAAATTGTTTGTGTATTTTGTGCCCAGGGTCTCCAATTCAGTGAAGGTGAAGTGCTAGAATTCTAATGCTGTTGCCATCAATGCAACATAATTCTAGTCCATTGCACTGATGGCAACAGGATTAGAATCAACTGTGATTTTTGTGTTTGTGTCTACTGTAGAATACCACACATGTATTTTGCACTCCAAGATCTTTAAAAAGTGACCACTTTTTGGCATATGACAACTTACAGATCATTTGTGCAAAATCCATGCTGTGTTAGAATTTTCCTGATGGGACCTCAAATAAGTCTGCTTCCGAGCCTGAACTAAAAACAACAAAACCTGAAGTATTGTCTTGTGGATTCACCTGCATGCACACCAGAAGATTGAAACAGAAGTAAAAATGAAGACCAGGAAACAAACAGTCAAAAATCATCTGAAAAGAAAAGGATACTTAGCTCAATCACATTTTGTTGGAAAAGAGACTTTGGCTGGATTTTCTGGCAAGATAACTTTTATTTTAGATTTAGGCGATGAAGAGATAAAGTTTTCTAAAACAGGGAATTTAATTCTGTTTCTTGTTTTTAATTTGTCATGTGACCCCATTCTCTGGCAAAGGGCATAGGAAGCTCTTAAATAATCCTTTGAGCCATCACATAGTGCTTCTCCGGAGCTCAATCTATTTTGTTAATCCAAAGCATGGCTATGAGGTGAATGGCTGTATAGTTTAAACATTCCTACAGGGTAAACCATAAAATGCAGGGGTTAAAATCTGTAATATATTAATTTTTTAATAATATTAATCTTTTTTTTTTTTAAGCCTCGTGGGCTGTAGTCCAACTCACACTTTGGATTCACTTAACAGGGCTTACTTCTGAGAGGACATGTGTAGGGTTCTGGTGTTAATGTAGTTGTTACAGCTAGAAGAAGATGAAACCTGAACAGCTCTAGGAGTTAAAGTGAAACATTTACATAATGTGTATAATTTACATAATGTGTATAATGCGCTTCAGTATCTTAATTCATTCTGCTATTGTCAGTACCATTTACCACGAAGGAGTTGGTGGTATGCCCCCTGATCAGGAAGACCTCCCTGGATCCAGAAGTGTTAAACATCTGTTGCCCAGTGGACAAGGTAGCAGTCCAGCTTCAGACAAGTTTAGCTTCAATCATGGCACTGAAACTGCCTTGGAGATTTGGGAGGGGGGGAGTGTGACCCTGCTCATTCTCCTCATTGATTTTTGATACTGTTGACCATGGTATCCTTTTGGAGCACCTCAGGGGGTTGTAGGTCAGTGGTTCCCCTCCTACCTCCAGGGCTGTTTCCATAAAGTAGCTATAGAATGCTAGTGTTCAGTGCCATTGGAGTTGTCCTGTGGTGTCCCCCATGCTATTTAACATCTATAGGAAGCCTCTGGGAGCTGTCACTATGAGATTTGGAGTGAAGTGTCATCAATATGCAGATGATCCCCAGCTCTGTCTCTCTGCTTCAAATGAATCAGGAGAACCAGCTGAGGTGTTGGACCAGCGCTTGGAAGCAGGGATGGGTTGGATGTAGACCAATAAACTGAATCCTGAAAAGACATAGGTGTTATGTGTCCCAAATTCTCATGTCTAGGAAGCGGAGCAAGGGCCTGCCTGGGATGGGATTGCATTCACCTGGAAGGGGCAGAATCACAGTTTTGGAGGGTTGTTGGATTCAACAGTCACTGGAGACTCAGGTAGCCTCAGTGGCTAGGAATGAATTTTTTTCAGCTCCAGAAGGTTGGTCAGCAGTGGCCCCTGCTGGACAGAGATGACCTGGGCAATGTATTCCATGCTCTGGCAACTTTCAAATTGGATTAGTCACAGGGGTCAGCAAACTTTTTCAGCAGGGGGCTGGTCCACTATCCCTCAGACCTTGTGGGGGGCCAGACTATATTTTGAAGGGAAAAAAATGAATGAATTCCTATGCCCCACAAATAACCCAGAGATGCATTTTAAATATAAGGACACATTCTACACATGTAAAAACACACTGATTCCTGGACCATCCATGGGCCAGATTTAGAAGGCGATTGGGTCAGATCCGGCCCCTGGGCCTTAGTTTGCCTACCCATGGATTAGTGTAATACATACTACACGGGGCTGTCCTTAGAGATGACTTAGGACCTTCAGCAGCCAGATTGGTGTCTGGGGTTCCCTTCAGATTTCATATAACCCCTGTTTTAAAACAGCTGCACTGGGTGCCAGTTGATTTCTGGGCCCAATTCATGTGCTCACATTAAAGCCCTAAATGATTCAGGCTGCAAATACCTGAAAGATACCCTGAGAAGACATCCTTGGAGCTTTTTCTTTTTGTATTACATCTGTCTTTAACTTTCTGGAGTGAAATTCCAATTCTTCATTATTTAGGAAGTCAGAACAGATGCTGAAAATTATAATTGATTCAGAAATTTCTGCACCAAAGCAGTGCTGTGCTTTGGTGACCATGTGCATAGGGCAAGATACAGCTAAATTGTTGCATGTGTGGAACGAGATCTGCTTGTGCAATGGGACTTTCCCTCCTTCTCCTTCCCCTGTGCCCTCTAAACCCAGAACAGGTTTAGAGTATGTGTAGAAGGAGCTGGTATTCCTGTTGAACAAGTAGACCTTGTTCCCTGCATGCATGGCATGTCCCACAACAGAGACAGGTACAACTTGCCACTTTCTGAGGCAGTTACTACTAGATTTGGGCAGGCAGGTGGGTGGCAGATTACAAAACAGATTTGGAAATTGCTTTGTTTGTACATGTCTGTTTTATGGTAGCATTTTCTTTCATTCATAAGTATCAGCATGTCTGTTGCTAAATAGAATGAAGGACTAGGCCTTCATATATGAGCATTGCCCTTGTTCTTTATTAGGAGCGCTACTATAGAGGCAGATGGGACTCAGCCTGAGATGGTAGCCCATCTAGAAGAAAGAAAACTCTGGTCCTAAACCTCCACTGCCTTGCAGGATATCTTTGAGAGAAGAAAGTCTAGGGAGTAAACCCTACACAAATCCAGAATGGAGTCCCTAAGACAGTTGGATGGTGCCTTGTACATCTCCTTATCACAACTTCTGCAGCCAAGCTGGTGCCAATTGTATTACTCTACTTTCCTTTGGACCACATCAGCAAGGCCAAGAGGTGGGCCTCATCATCTGGGGAGCTCAAGACCTACATACACACTGCCCAGGCTTGAGTCCTGGGGGTGTCACTTCAGTGCTGGAAATGCAGCAGTTTGACATCATCCCCAGAGGCATACTCCATTGTCTCTTGAGACAGGTGGATGCCAACAACTGTAGAATCATTGCCCAGGGTTATGCTTAGAGTTCCATTCACCTTTACCAGGAATTCCGAGGACCACTTCCTATAGCAGGTGCCTCTCCTCTGCTTTGTCAAAGCTTGCTAGAAAAGTTGCTCTGCTGTTATGAGAAGAGCTCAAGCAAGCACAGGGTCATGAACAGAAAGCTTTGGGTACACAAAGATTTAGGTTCTTAGTTTCCTGATGGTTGTATTATAAGATGCTAAGTGTTGTCCCAGAACATAAAATCCAGTAGGGTTTAAAAACCAAAACAAACAAAAACAAAATAGAGTTTCATAGGAAAATCAACAGTTCCTGCAAATTAATAATGTGAAATGTATTTTGTCTACTCCAAACATTGTAGCTTCTGAACATAAACTAAGTTACTTTTCCTTAAAAACCAAACAAACCCTAAGAATATATTGTGTCAGATAGTTGACAGACAGACTCTGCACTTGAAAGCAAACATAGACTATAAAACTAATGATTTTGTTTTAATTTTAAATTTCAGCTGCCCCAAGACAGTGTATTGAGTTACACTTTGATGAAAAATATTCCATAGAGCCTTCGTGGGAGTGTAAATTTGATCATATTGAAGTGCGGGATGGACCTTTTGGATTTTCCCCAATAATTGGTCGTTTCTGTGGACAACAAAACCCACCCAAAATAAAATCCAGTGGTAGATTCCTGTGGATTAAATTTTTTGCTGATGGTGAACTTGAATCTTTGGGATTTTCTGCACGATACAATTTTACACCTGGTGAGTATAACCTCTAATTATTTTGGAGGAAATATTTTGGTATTTATACTGAGTGGAATTTGGTGATATAATGACATAACATGGTTTTAATATTAAGGCAGTGGCTGTATTCAGACTTAACATAAAGCCATGGTTTGCTCAGCAAACTGTGAACTATCTCACAAACAAGCAAACAAGCCATGGGTTGTGTCTCCAAAGCTTAGTTTGTTTTCCAGTTGATCTTGCCTTGTACTTTTGTACCTTGGCAAGTGTCTGGGGTGCGGTGGCCAAACCATGATTGAAAAAGGCTGTTGTGTTTATGCATAATGCCAAACCATAGTTAAAAACAAGTGATGATTCATAAACTAATAAGAAACCATGACCTCACTTGTAGCTTGTTTGTAAAAAAGAGACTGTAGTCACTTTATTGGGTGCACTTTCAAACAAACCACACTTGGACTAACAGTGTGTGTATTGGCCAACCAATTGGGCAAAGTAGAGAGATAAAACTTAAACAGATAGTTTTAATGGAAATAGAAATGTGTGTGTTCTCCTTTCCTTTTTAAAAAACAGAAAACAGCACTTTTTCTGAATTTATTCTTGGCTTTCTACAGTGCATTTTTTAATACACACCATTTCTGTTTATTGCTATAGAGTGGCTTATAATGGTTGAAAAAGCTGTAATCATCTTCCTTTTATGATGAAAATGTTGGATAATGTAACTATATTTTTCATGCAGGGAATATTATGATCACACAATAGCCAAGTTGGTTCAAACTTTTCACCACATGTTGGCTTTCTCCATTATAGCATCTTTATTGTGTGCAAGAAGGATGGAAGTTGCACACAATAAGCTTAGTCACTTGGTGAACAGATTATTGGTAGGCTTATTAGAGTTTACCTAATGCCTTTATGCTGTTGATAGTAGAATAAGTGCACTAATGCACTCCATACAACAAAAGTGGAAATATGTCATTAGTTTGTTTTAAAATGATTTCAACAGAATAGCATTTGAACATTACTAGTAAAAATATTTTGGATTGCTACTTATGCTGTTCCTATTTCCTTTGAACATTGCCTTTTATAAAGGCAGAATCTGCTGGAGTAATTCCCCCCTTTCTGTCTATTAAAGCAAAATGTTTTGCCAAAGGATTCTGAGATCCAAAGAATAGCATGCATTCAATTAAGTGCCTCCATGAAAGATTTTCCTAATCTTAATTGCTGTGGACCAATTATGCCTTTTGTCAAATCATCTGGTTTAATTTGTGAGGCTAAAATGGAGATTTGCAGTCAAGTTTAGTATTGAAGTATTTCCCCATCTCATTATATATATATTAAAGTTTATTTTAATTTGTGCACTGCAATCAGACTGCAGTGCAGCAACTTTCAAAGGATTGAATGGCATTCAGTAGGTTTTGTAGATTTATGGAGGAATAAGTGGGAATTTATGGAGGTTTTGTAGATTTATGGAGGAATATTGTTTGTTCTGAGAGGGATATGCTTTTGATCATTTATGCTATTTTATAAGTTCTTTTAGTTATTTAATCTATAGCACCTGCCCCAAATACCAGGTCTGCACTTAGGTATTTTTCAACTGTCCACACATGACTAGGATGTTTAAGGGTACCTAATTTATTAGGGTGTTAAAAGGTACCTAATCTTAATTATGTATCATTACTTGACTGAGCATCAGTCATTTAGACCTTTCAAGTACCTTTCTTATTAATAAGTCCAACAACCTGCATCTCAGCAGGGATTGAAAAGGACCTCATAGCAATAGTAAATAGTGGCAATTGAACGTGCCTCTGCATTGGCACTACAGGTTGCCAAATCCAGCTGCATCTAAGACAACTCTGTTTAGCACTCCAGTCTAGCAGCCTCCATCAAAAAGGTGTGTCCAGTTTTTGTGCACAAGTGAATTCAGAGTCGAGAAATTCATAAGAGGAACTAGAAAGCTTCCCCACGTTATGAGTTGGGTCCATATCATTCTGAAATTGGATGCAGTTCATAATGTGGCTTGTCCACACTGCTAGCCGACTCTGCCCCATAGGGTTGCCATATTTTGAAAAGCAAAAAAGAGGACACATTTGCCGACTTCTACTTTTAACTATGGGTCACTGTGGCAACTCTCATTTTACATACCCATGAAAAAGAGGACATGTCTTGGAAAAAAGAGGGCATATGGCAACCCTGTGGGGAATTATCACTGAGAAGGGTGAGGGGTTATTGGTGGTAAGGAAGAGTTGATAGAGACTCTATCTCTATAGAGATAGAGTTGATAGATAGTAGGCCTTGACTGGCAAAGATGCTTACAACATACTCAGGAACATCCTTTCCTTCCAGGGTTCATCGGACTGTATAGTACAAATCCCATTTCCCTGACTTATTTCTCACCAGGAAGAACTCTGTTATATCTAGCAAACACTCCCTACACCTTCAGTTACCACCACCTTCTCCTTCTCAAGGGCAACTGTTCCCCCACTCACCTTCGGGCAGAGGCCTGAAGTAGGAGGGATACCTAATAATGGTATGGATCCAAGATTGGGTTGAACAGGAGCAGTTCTACACTGTTTTGAAGGCATGCATAGCAGCTGTGGTGGATCAAACTCTTTATATGGTGCACAAGAACCATAGCCACTGAGTATGGGTGGAAAGTAGATCTAGCTGTAGTCAGGAACTAGGTGGGACGACACATTTGTTTTTCTTTGTTTCCAAGTGAGGAAGTTGAAACTAAAAGTCAACTTATAAGTAGCAGGAGCATAGAAACAAAATTATGGGACTCATCGTGATTATGGGACTCCTCATGTTTATAAAGGTGTGTAGTATGAATGCACACAGTAATATTTGATTAAAGCAGCCTGAGTCCCAGCAATAGCAGTTGGATGCATCACGGAGCGGAAGATTAATTGTAAATGCTTTAAGTCAGCCTATGACTTAAACTTCTGCATTTTGGGCGAGTGTTTTCGTTCAGTCTTTTGCATTTCCCATTTCTAGGTTCTGTATAAGTTTCTCCTTAAATCCCCAGATAGTAGTGATCTGCCTGCAATTACAATTTAAATGCTTATATGTCCTTAAAAATGGTTTCAGGGACTATCTGCTGAATTGTCTCTGTGGATGTGAACTTTATTTTGGCTTACACAGCACAAGTAAATGATCTCTTTATACAAGTAGTTAGTTCTTCCACGATAGCTACTTGCCAGCAGTTTATGTACAAAAAAGGATAAAGAACTGCAAGAAAGAACTAGTGATTGATCCAAATATTATTGGAGCACAGCTCAGAAGGTGCATATAGGTAGACTTGCATGCTCACTTCAATATGAAGCAAGCATTTCAACCCTGAGCGTTCTTTTTCAGCCCTCATTTAAATCTGAAACAGAGAGGAATTTAAACTGTCGCTGCCTTCCTCCTATACAATCACACACAACCCCCACTCTTGCTTCTGCTGTTCTGACAGCAGAGAAAGTGAAGGGGAATCAGTCTCTCTCCTCCTTTCTAATACATTGCCATTCTGTACTGGCTGTGTGCCACATGCAGAGAGTGCTGAGAAATCAGTAGTGGTATGCAGTGGTGTAGAGCTGCCCTCTTGACATTGGAGTGACAAGGTCATGAGTACGTGGTTGCACCAATGGGACCATTGCCACTCATGTACCCAGATGGTGCACCTTTTCCGTCACCTACCCTGTCCAGGTAAGCAGCAGGGACACCAATGTTGGGAATGTGGCTGAATGGCTATGGAGCTAGTGTGAGAAATTATGCATATCAATAACACTCAAAAAACCTTGTTGCCAGGAATTAATTGAATTTGGCATGCAGCCATGGGAACGGAGGGAGAGAGACTTCCAGCCTTCCCCTTACCATTACTACCAAAGCAAATTAAAGGTCAGTGAAAATGAGAAAGGACTTGGTAGAAGGCAAGCAAGCAAATGGGTAGGTGAGCGGGCTGCTGGATGTTCAGCAGTAGGGATCACCCCACTGTGTTTAGTTACATCACTGCGGGCACAACAGGCTCTGAAATAGACTTGGGATATGATGAGAAACAACTGGTATATTTTGGATGAAGCCATTTAATTTTTAAGCCAAATTCTGTCTTTGATTAGGGGAAGTTTGTCCATTACTAGAAAGAACTAAGGAGCTTCACCTAAGGCAGGAGTGGGTAACCTGTGATTCTCTGGTTGTTCTCCAGTCACCTTTCAGGTTTGGTTTTAGCACTGAAGCAGCCTGGGTCACCCTGATTAATGACCTTTGTTGGGGAAGATATAGGGTATATGGTTCTCCTTGACCTCTCAGCATGTTTTGATACCATTAACCATGGTATCCTTCTGGAGTGACTCAGGGACATTATAGTAATTTTGCTCCAACTTGCAGGGTCAGCACCACAAAGTAGTATGAGCTGGTTGCTCAGTTCCATGGCTTTCACGCTGTGGGACACCACAAGGCCAATTCTGTCTGTATGCTAGTCACCATCTACATGAAATTGTTGGGACCTATCATCCAGTAATTTGGACCATGGTGTCATCAATATGCTGATGACACACTTCTCTCTCTCTCTCTCTGAATCAGGAAAGACTGTGAAAATATTGAATTGGTGTGGATGGGTGGTTTCTATATCTGGGAATTAGGTGGATGACATGTTCTGGGATGGGTTGTACTCCACCTGACAGAATAGGTTCATGGTCTGGGAGTCCTGGATTCCAAGTTGCCACTTGAATCTCAAGTGGCTTCTTTGACTAGGGGTGCTTATGCCCAGCTTAGGCTAATTTCCCAGCTACAGCAGTTCTGGGCAAGGGTATCCTAAAATAGAGCTGGAACAGATTGAAGGTGTTAGAATTGAGGTTTGGAGCAAAGCAGAAGCAATAAGTCAGCAGAAGGCTGGTGAAAGAACACAGGAGCTAAACTGAGGGATGCAGATTCATAGATATTTGACTTGGTTAGGGAAACAGTCTTGTTTGGGTTTAGCTGGGGGGATTTTTCCTTCTTACTTTCAATTCACCTTTTCTGTACACATAATTCCATTACCACCATGCAACAGTGCTGTAAGTGAACCAGGTATACGAACCAGTTTTATTTACAATGGCCTGACCTCTGCAGTTTTGCCCTACTTTTTGTAGGAGAAAAGTTGCACAAATAGTATCACCAAATGTTTGGGCCTCCATATATAAAATTCACAGTTTGTGTGGAGGGGAGAGAAGGGTGGACAGTACCAGTTGGTGGAGTGCTGTTGCTTATCCGACCTCTTGTCAGCATTGTCCCTGCAACATACTGGGAAGGGTGAGTTACTGTGGTGACAATCCAGGAGTTCTGCTACTGTGTTTGCACTCCACCATCCTTGCATTTGATTCAGCCTTCCCCTTCACCCTTCTGGTATGTCACAGCAACAATGGTGACAGACGGTCAGGTAATCAGTTCTCCACCCAGCTCCACCAAGCACAACAGGGGAAGGGTATGCTACTGCAATACAGGCCCAGTAAATATGTGAAATAATCTATCTGCCTGTTTGGAAACTGATAATTATTTCTTATTTTCATTGATGCCAGGCTTGTATGATGCTGCTAGATATTTTAGACTGATTCTGATCTGGATTAGCTTGATGTCAGACATCGCACAGTGCATGCATTTTATTTTGCTAATACTTTAGCATTTGTCCTGTCTGGAAGTATTAGAGGAAATTATGTTGATGGGATATTTGTTGAAGTTACCTCTACTTTGGGAAGGTGGCCCACTGGTGTGGGCATTTTGTCTTGTTGCAATAATTTCCTCCCAAATGGCATGGAATTCAGTTTTCTTCTGTCTACACAGACAGATGTTTTGAAGGCATCTGTTGCTCAGAGCCATTTTCTGCAGTGAGTCAATTTTGTAGTGCAGCAGACAGTGGAGATCCAGACAGAGTGAGGCTGTGCTCTAAGCTGATCACTCTTATTCATCTGGAATAATCAGATTTCTTTTTATCTTGGTTTCTCCCTCTTGGAATCTGCAAGGCTGTGGCCTCAGATGGCACATTATTATTCTCAATTCTGTCAGCTGGTGGAAACCATCTGTGTTTCTGTTTGGCTTCATTGATGTGAATGTCAGCATACTATATAGTCACTATATTGCCTCTCATCAGAAATGAAAAGATATGTGGAACATATGAACAACAGCAGTCTTAACTGCTGGGAAATCATAGGAATATAAGCAAACATGTATGCTCCCGAGGATTTGCAGAGCATTTAGGAAATTCTAGAGATTTTGAGCTTTGGACCTTCAAATTTTACATCTTAGGATCGGTGTCAGTATTGTGATTCTTTTGGCTCCAAACCCAAAACTTGTAATGTTTGAACAACAATGAGATAATATGTAAACTGTAAGAATGTGAACCAATAAGTGCACAAATTAATTTTGAACTGTAGTTTTGAAAATAGCTGAGCTCATCTGAAATTACAAACATGCCTGGACAGCAATATTTAAGGAAGGAAGGAAGGAAGGAAGGAAGGAAGGAAGGAAGGAAGGTTGATTTTGTGGCAAGCCAGCCTTTTCCTGTGATTGCATTTCCTCCCACTTTTAACACCAGCAAGTTCAAGCCAGGCATTTGAAGACAGAGAAGTTGTTACAAGGTTTATTTCTGAATCTTAGTTTCTTTTCTCATAACAAAAGAGAGGGGAAAGGTTATGTTTTTAGCTTTTTATAAACAGAGCTACTCAGAAGGTGCGGAACTCCCTGATACAGCTCAACACATCTTGTTAATGTTACGATCTGATTCAAGAAAGTGGGAGTCTAACTTGAATCACCCCAATTTGCATCATTATTCAGGGAACTCACTGGGCCAGTTCACACACTTACTAGTGCCTGGGCTGGCACCATCCCTAGCCTAAGGCTTCTATCCCAGGAAGGTCATGTTGTCACTACCACATTGCCATGCCCTGTTGAGGTGTTCCATGGCCTCTGCTGAATCAAGGGGAGCAGTGACATTGTGTGCACCTTTTGTGTATGCATGGAGTGCATTGCAGAATCTATTCTAGATGCCTTATAGCTTTGGGAGTACAGTGGTACCTCGGGTTAAGTACTTAATTCGTTCCGGAGGTCAGTACTTAACCTGAAACTGTTCTTAACCTGAAGCACCACTTTAGCTAATGGGGCCTCCTGCTGCTGCCGTGCCACCGGAGCACGATTTCTGTTCTCATCCTGAAGCAAAGTTCTTAACCTGAAGCACTATTTCTGGGTTAGCGGAGTCTGTAACCTGAAGCGTATGTAACCTGAAGCGTATGTAACCCGAGGTACCACTGTACAGAATAAATTCATTTGTCTTTATCCAAACCCTTTTGGAGTCGAACCTTCATGGTAATGTTTCTCTGAGTAATAAGAAAAGTAAGACTGTGATGATAGGACTTTTGTTTTGTTTTGTTAGTCATCCATGGAATATTCATTACCTTTGCAAATGTGTGCTGCATTTCTATGGGTCTGAATTATTATATTCTGAAGGTGAGACATATACATATTTAGCTAATATTTGCCCATGTAGTAAGGAGCAGCTTGTTCTGATGTCACAACATCCAGTGCTTGACACGTGCTGCAGTTATCCTTTCTGCCAGGTCATCCTTCCCCTGACTTGGGCACTCGCTACGGAAAAGCTGTCACTGCATTATCAGGGCTTAATGTTATAGGGCAAATGGGTGCTGCATGATGGGGCACCCATGTGGTGTATTAAGGGCAAATGGCATCCATTTATGCTGTAGAATGTCTGAGATGAACCTACCACTGACAAAATGCCACAAACTGTACTTTTCTACTAGAATCCTTGTTCTCATCCGTAGATGCTCCTGGACCAGATTGGCTCTAGTAATAGGATCAGGACCTTTAATTTATGCACACATACATACACCTTTATGTTGTGCCTTGATTATTTGAAGCCTTTAGCTTCTTTTGCTGCATTTTCCTAATATTGTCTGTAAGTGGCTTGTGTGATAACCAAATTGTGTTTCGATGCATATTTATTTATTAAGTTTTTTTTAAAAAAACTAACTAACACAGTGATTGATGCAACTACATACTCTCCGCCCGCCCCCCCGTTTCTTCCATTACATTGAAGTTCTTGCTAAATTTCAGATTTTAAAAAATTGGTTTCACATGAAAGAAGGGGAAATGGCTTTAGTGGGTCTAAATGAACTTCAAACCTTACTGAGTTGTTTATTGGGTGACTAGACACACACAGAGACACACACACAGGCACACACACACACACAACCCAGCAGTGGTTTTCATCTCCCCTGGCCCTCTCACTCTGGCCAGGTTGTTATTGTTTTAATTTGTAAGCATTAGCATTAACAGAGGGCTTTTGTGCCAGACTTTGTGCCAGAGGTGCTCAGACCGAACCACAGGAATTGCTCTACACACTGAAATGGTACCTGGAACCCATCCATGTGCAGGAAAGTTCATTGAGAATGCTCATTGGGTGACAGCTTATCCAATTGCACAACAGATTTCTGTTTGCACAGTGGGACTTCTCTTTCCGTTATAGCCCCCCATCCCATCCCCCAAAATCTTCTCTTGAGGGCTCCAAGGACCACACAGGAGTAGAAATGTACAATAGTGAATGTCACCCATGGTGCTTATAAAAATGAGCCAAGTTTATCCCTTTTGTTTCTCATTTAAAGTATTTGTATGCAGGGTCTATCAAGTTTCCTAAATCAGAGGTACTTCGGTGTTAACTATATTAAATCTGAATATTTGCAGTGCTGAAGTCTGTATTTTGACACTCCCGCATTTAGATTGTAGTCCTATAGACAGTTAACTGGAAGCAAATTCCACTGAAATAAACAGAGCTATTACAAGCAAGCTTGCCCAGGCTGCGGTATTAGTTACTGCAGCTGGGTGGTTCCCTCCCCTTCAAATGTCATAGGATTACAGGGATACTATTCTTCTCCATTTTGGGGAGCATATTTCATCTGATCTTTCATATGACAAGGAATGTATGAGATACCACATAGGGTTGGTTCAAAGGTCACGTGAACTTTTACTTGCCATTGTAAGTGGCTCCAACTGGTGCATACGAATTTCTTTTGAAGAAATAAATGAAGTGCATACATTGCAAATTTTGACCCATGCCAAAGTTGCAATGTGTGCACTTCATTTATTTATTAATAATATTTGTATAATGCTTGAGATGTAAACTCTCTAATTTGTTTACATAAAGCACAATGATATGATTCAAAAAGAAAAAAATATACATATAAGCAACAATACAATTAAATACATCAATAAAAACAGAGAATCCACCAATCATGATAATGATTAATAATGCACAATATCCCAATAATACTGGACACTGCCTTGAGATTAAGACTAATCCTGCTGTTGCATAAACAAATGTACTGAAAATCTGAGAGAAATGTTGATAATGGACTTTCAAAACAGCTGCAGAATAAAATCAAATAAGAATAAAATGTGTGCCAGTTTTAGATTTGTTGCAGACCAAGAGATCCAACCCAATAATTTGATGATTATGGGATGTTTGGTGAATGACACCAGATAATGAAAATTGTTAATATTTCTGAGAATGCAATGTTCACTGTGTCATAGTGAAGTTCTTCTGTAAGGATTGGATGCAACTGTTCCTTATACTGAGCTATTTGATGTTCTTACACAATTAGGCTAGCTATTGTACATCTGTCATAATTAAAATGTTTGCATTTTTGTCTTCATTTGCTCTTCTAAATCTGTCATTTGTTTTGGAGAGGGGAATGTAAACATGTTCATATTTCTGCTCATCTGTTCTGGGAAAATCTGTTTCTTTTTTTGATACATTTCTAGCATTTTAATTGACATGCACATCTCTCTTTAACACAATTTTAACACTCTCCGTATTCTTTTGGCTGTTGCTCTGTGAACACTTTGTTAAGGAAGTGGATATCTTTTTCCTTTTGTAGTACTTAGACAATTTTTAACTTCACACAGGAGAGTAGAGGGCTTTTTAAAAATATGTGGCTCTCTTGCCTTATGATTTCCCTTGAGAAAAGCATAGGTTTGTTTTTGCTGCTTGAGTATTAAAGATACTTCTATATAAATCAACAACAGCAGTCAATCAAAATGATGGCTTCCAAAACATGAGAGTTTCCCTAGATCAGTAACAGCCAACTGCCTGAGTGACAGACCTCTGGCATCATTGCAAATTTCTCTGGGGAATCTTTCTATTTCATGCTTAGAGGGTACTGATGACTTAGAAGTGATATGCATGTTTCTCACATAATGCTTTTAATCCAGAAGAACATACGTTTAAAGAAAATTGGAAAATGTTTATTGAATATATGGGGGGGAAATTGTGTAGGCTTGAAAACATTGGCAGCATTAAGATAAATTCAACAGTGTAAACAAATTTTGATGGATGTAATAATGGATTACTGAATGGTTTAGTTCATGTGAATTATGCAGGAATTTATGATATGCAAAATGAACCATGGAAAGAGAAGAAGGGAAGTCACTGACATTTTAAAGTTGTTTAAACAAATATTCTAAAATGTAAAACAGAAAATATAATTAAAAAATATACAAAAAGAAGAAGAAGAGTATAGCAACATCTTAAACCATTTGGGAAAGGCAGTTTATAGATACACTTTTCAGATGTCATGTATGACCATTTGGTGGAATCAGTATAATTAAAAAAAATGTAGTCCCCTTTCCAGGAAATAAACATCAGGTTAAAAGAGGAAGGGGAATAGAGTTTTGATGCACAACACTTACACAAGCCCCAGTGCAGCTCAGAATGGGATAATTAACATATAAGCATGGATGGTGTTCATCTGCATTGCATTGCTCTCAATGAGATGCACATGCTGAGAAATATTCCTATTCCCAAATAGTCAATATGTATACACTAGTCCACTTCTGCAATGCAGGCATGCTTGGTTTTTTTAAGAATAAAAAGAGTCCTCCATATACAGAATTGTTTCAAAAAAATATGAATAATCCAGGAGGATACTCTGAAGACATTCACAAGATAGCCAAGAATATTTCAAAGCAAGGAAAAATCTCTGCAGAAAAAAATGGTCAACTGTGTGACATTTCATCTTGGAATTTAAGGGAGGATCTTATTTTTCCTACTAGATGTTCTACTAACAGATAGTTCAGTCCATGCTGTGTCCCAAGTCATTGAGAAGTAAGTACCATGTTAATGAAGCAGTAATTCCCTCACAGTATTACTGGGAAGGTTTGGGCATATACTACAAAATATTGTCTCATAGTAGGTTATGATATCCCAGATAGTGAATCTACTTGCAACCAAACACTGTAGTCTTCTGAGATAACCTTTACAGGCACTGTGGGAGCAATCCTGTGTCAACAACCAAAATGAGTGGGTTAGGATCCAATGGCTCTTTGGCTAGAACATGAGTTTCCCAGAGCAGCCAAACTATGCTAGTTTAACTCCCTCATCCTTGGCTGAACCAGAGATCCACCACCAGATCTCCCCCACCCTGGCTCAGCAGAAACCTAGCTGTTAGCTAACTCAGCAAAAATGGTGTTGTAACTCAAATACAGTTTTAAAGACTTAGATGTAGCCAGCTGCTGAACAGAGCTTGGATCTGGTGGAACTTTATACTGACTTAACTTACACTGGCTTGTTTTATGCCAGCTTCCACATGTGCCACCTTGCCCCCACAATTGATGGGGCCCAGGGCTGCACGATGTCAGCACGCCCCATGACGTCAGCATGCCCCGTGGCTTACTCAGAGTTTCCAGAAATTACAGCATTGGCAGTAGAAAAAAATAGAAGCAGAAAAAATATTCCAAATGACTTTTTTTAAAAAAAAAGTATTACAAAAAGGATCATACAATCTTTTGGTTAGCAAAGATGCAGGCTTTAAAATCTCATTTTAGAGAGGTTCAGTTCACTTGCAGGGAGCTGTGCAGCCACACAGTTCCTTCTTCACTTGCTCCAGGATGCTTGAAGGGGGAAAAAGAATGGGAAACAAAAGACTGCAGGAAGCCTTCTAAGCCACACCCACATTTGTAACTTGAGCTCAGGGTTCACCTTAACTCTTTCATGGATGCAAGTGTGAGTTAGCAACTGTATATTACAATAAAAATAAATGTAACTGGACTGAACTTGTGTATCATGGTATGGATATGCAATAGCCGGTTGTTATTCCTGCTCCAGGGCAAGCATTGATTCCTGTTAACAGACGGGCATGTATATAACAGCTACCCCTGCCACATCAGTTTTTTATTCTACCTCCCTGGCCCCAAGCCCGGAGCAAGTACTAAGACATCTTCCTCCTAGCCTATCACATACTAAAAGTACAGAGGACCAGACAGCCTCTATACCTTCAAGCTGATGAACTCTGGCCCATTAACACTGAATGGTTCCTGTACCAAATCCCAAGCAAATGATCATCATGACTCAATTTGTTCACTTTTGTAAACCCTTAAAAAAAAAATATCCTCACAATACCTGCCAAATATAACACCTTTCAGACATATTTTTAAAAAGAAAATATTAGTAGTCCATTTTTTGTTTGGGTAGTAAAAATGTTTGAGTAGTAAAAGTGTTTCCCTGAATGGTGAGCAACTAGTCCCTTAGTGTACTTGGTTCAATGTGACAGGAGAAGAGCACAGACAATCCATATGCCATGTCTACTCAGGAGGACCCACTGAACATTCCCCACAGTGTGCTGAGACAAAAAGTTTGCTCCTCTTGTCAGCCATCCTTCCTCCAATGAGCACAGATGAAGTGTTATCATCAAATTGGCTGAAAGTGGGGAAGAGGGCTATATTGTTTTTCTGCTTCCAAGACCAATGGTGCAGGTCAGCAACTCAACAGAAGTGGCAGGAATATTGTTGTCCTTCTGGAAAAAGAAATTACAGCTTTCAAGCACTGGCATAATAAGCTGATAATGATTCCAACACCAGCAGACAAGCAAGCAGTCCTCTTTTGTTTTAATTTGTACCATTTGGCTGCCATATGGAAGAAAAAAATGAATAAGCAGATTGTTAAATCCTTTGCAAGCAAGCTAAAAATGATTAAAGTTGACAACTTTGCAGACCAATTATTTGATTATTTTTGTGACACAGCCCAAGCAAGCACTTATAAGTGCCATTGATTTCAGCAGGGAAGATATAAGCACATACTTAATTTTACTAGTCAAGTGGGAGCTAGAAAATCAATAGCTTTAGAAATGCTGAACTTTGGGTGGATTGTGCCCCATATTTTCTGAAGAGGTATTTTTAGAAATGTGGATTATACTGATTTTAGGAAATGTAAAGGTAAAAACATTAGGGGGCATGCAGTTCTGCATTTTGTTCTAAACCATCTGGTACAAAATCAGCAGAATTTATAGAGAGGTTAGATTATTCTTTGATTTTCCAGGCATCTTTGGAAATAACGTTTCAAAGCATTTTGAAATTCAGATAAGTCCTATCCTAATGCTTTTCTGTTTGGGAAGTTCCAGTTTTGCTGATTGTCTGTTCTTGCAAGACAGGAGCATCTGGTCAATCCTTTGCCCCTTCTGTGGACTTTTGGTTGATGTTAATAGTTCTAAGGTGGCAGGAAATAAGCCATTACACCACTGCACACATTGGCCAACCAAGCTTACTGTGAAACTAGTCATGCTTCAGAGAACAATACCATTTATCTGCACACTTCTTTGCTTTCCACTTGAAACTCCACCAAAGTGGTAAACCAGGGATGCCCAAAAGGGGCTTATTTGGAATTTTGAGAGATTGCCCTGTACACTGTCACAAAATGACTATGATGGATGTGTAGCCAGCCACAAAAATACCCATTTAACAGAAGGCAAACTCTCAGGGAACGCAAACGCACATTGAGAGAAGCACAGTACCAACCCCACATAGAAAAAACAAGGAAGTCTACTTCTTTCCTCCTCCCCCTTAGGTGGCTTCATCCCTCCTCCCCACTGCATTGGGTCTAGTTGTTGTTCCTTCCTTACCCTTTTCTGTTTGCCTTTTAAAGCATTTTTTACTGGGGGCTTTCTATTATGGTCTCACTGCTTTCTGATTGTGTGCTCAGGTGCTGTTGTAAAGTGCTTAGAGATCTATGATTGTAGGTGATGCATACATTTTTAAATAAATAATAGTTCCTGATGAAATGAAAACAAAATCTAAACCCAGTTTAGACTGCAGGCCTAAATATACTAGGAGTAAGGAACACTGGAAAAAGGTGGAGTAACTTTACAGTAACCGTGAACATATCCTGTTTACACAGTAATCTGCCTTCCACATTTATTATATTTCCTGTTAAAAGATAATTTAAATAGCATTTATATATTTATGCTACTTGATAAAGTAGATATACATGTTATTTGTTTAGCACTTGTGTATAGCAGCAATACAGCCTGAACGCAACAAATGTTGGCTTCAGCTTCCTCACTTCCACAGGGTAGTAAAATGTGACATCTTCTAGTCAGGCTCATGGTACTTTTGAATATTTGCTCATGCACAAGTTTTCAAAGTGGGCATGCAGTAGTAGCTGTTTTGCTCAACACTCAAAACATACTTGTAAATTGCCGCTAGCCTGGTCACCAAATTACCTCCACATGACCAAGCTGGAAAGCTTTTATAAATTGTAAGAGAATTACTTAGTTATCTGGACCACAGAGGAACTACAGTGACTAACACATATGCACTGTATATGTCCCCAGGTAGACTGCTGAACATATTTGTAGGCTAGTGGTAGTTTATTTATAGGACTAATTTGCATACATATGCAATTATCTCTTGTGTGATGCTTTATGAGTTACAACTCAAACAGAATGATTTGTAGACATTTTCAATAATCAAAGCACTGAGTCATTTCAGGTTTCGTGAATGGGCCTGTTCAGTCTCTCTGGAATCATACAGTCTGACTAACCAACATGAATCCAAAAGTTTGTCTATATCAGAAAGTACACTCATTGCTTCCCATTAATCCTGCCCTGATTCCTATGTATGGTGGGTTTAAGTGCATTCATTTTCCAAGTGTTTTGATAATGCTGAATATAAAGCATGTAAGTTAAACCCATTTAGTGCAACCCTGTGCATGCCTACTGAGGCGGAAGCCCCACTGAGTTCAGTGGAGTTTTCACCCAAGTAAATAGGGACGCGGGTGGCACTGTGGGTTAAACAACAGAGCCTAGGACTTGCTGATCAGAAGGTCGGCAGTTCGAATCCCCACGATGGGGTGAGCTCCTGTTGCTCGGTCCCTGCTCCTGCCAACCTAGCAGTTCAAAAACACGTCAAAGTGCAAGTAGATAAATAGGTACCGCTCCGTCGGGCAGGTAAATGGCGTTTCCGTGCGCTGCTCTGGTTCACCAGAAGCAGCTTAGTCATGCTGGCCACATGACCCGGAAGCTGTACGTCGGCTCCCTCGGTCAATAAAGCGAGATGAGTGCCGCAACCCCAGAGTTGGCCACAACTGGACCTAATGGTCAGGGGTCCCTTTACCTTTACCTTTAAATAGGTATTGCATTGCTGCCTTAATTTTATAACTGTTTCCTAAATTGTTACAGTACAAAACACGAGGTAAGCATAGGCAAGTTCTTGCTAGCACTAGTGGGTTAAATTCCCCTGGGAAATGTATCATTGTAGCCATGTTTTCCAATAATGAATTTGGCTCAGATATATTATTTTTTTAAGAGACAAAAAAGCATACAAAAGAATAGAAGGCTGAATGAAAAGACCCTGCAGTGCTTTTTCTTTCTTTCTTCTTACTTTATCTGCAAGCCCATTCATGTGTTAAATGCTCATCTATCCCTGCCTGTCAGAGATACTTCTATGTGGGCTGACAATCTGTACAACACAGTACAATCCATATTGCTTCATTCAAAATATTACAGACGCATACAAACAAACCCTGTAATATTACTGTCAGCAGAATTATTCTTGCTCTTGGAAAGCAGAGGCAGCAGATTTTTGCTGTGCTATTAAAATGCCTACCAATATCACTTCGACAAATATTTGCTCTTGCTTGGAGTCTGGGTTCTTCAAAATTGTTCAGACTCTGATGGCTGAGCTCAGTTGCATTCACATTTAAATTGCTTTTCATGATGGCAGGACATGGAAATTGTTATGTAGATCATTAGTTCTTGCACCCATTTTCAGTGGGGGGTTGTAACACAAGATGAAAACAGTATATTATATTGGATGCCATTCACTGTCTAATTACGTTAAGACACTTAGCCACCATCAAATAGTTCACTAATGTATCAAAAGCATTTCCACAACAAGTTTACTGCAGATGCTTGGCACAAATAGAATCCAAGACAGCGTGATTATCAGAAAAGTCTGGAAAGGGAACATTTTTAATACATATTGTAAATAACTGCTGATACATACGAATTCATACTAGGAGGTAGCAAGCTACAGTAGGCCTGCTATACGGAATCATAGAGGTTTACTGAGGTAGCATTAACCCTGATTAGTTGTGTAGTTCTGAGGGATTTTTTTCTTCTGTGTGCTTGGTTGAATGTCTCCTTGCAATGTATAAAGCCTGAAGTAAAAATGACAACACCTCCCTGTTCTTTCTCTTCAAATTATATGCTATTTTGTTTGGGTTCCTCAGTAAAGTGTTATCAGGATTCCCCCCCCCCAACACACTTTCAGAATCTGTATTACTTATATGACTTTGCTAACAATCCTCCTCTGTATGTGCAAAGTCCTAAATTATACTTATCCAGGTTACTTGAAAACCCATCTTTCCCTCATTTGCCTAATAAGAGCCACAAGACCATTATATTTAACCTTGTTGGTTTCGCCATGATGGATGTTTATCAGCTGGTGGCAACATGGAGATTTTTTTCTTTCTCGCTGGTGGCACTAGTTTTACATAATGCTTGTCCTGATGAAATATGAGATGCCCTACTGGGGTTGGCATTCAGGCAGCCCTTGAAGACCCACCTGTTTAAACACAATTTCCCTGATCTTCTGACTTGAACCTCCTGGTGTAACTCCTGGTGTAGCTGCTTTTACTCTTTTAATTGCTGTGCTCCTTTTAACAGATGTGTTACACTGTACATATTAATTCTGAATGTTTTGACAAAATTATTGTATTTTTTTTAAAAAAATGTGTATTTTGTAACTAAATTCATTTTTAAACCACTTTGAAGCCACCTTCAGACAATTAGGCTATACAGTGGTACCTTGGGTTAAGAACTTAATTCGTTCTGGAGGTCTGTTCTTAACCTGAAACTGTTCTTAACCTGAAGCACCACTTTAGCTAATGGGGCCTCCCGCTGCCACCACACTGGCGCTGAACGATTTCTGTTCTTATCCTGAAGCAAAGTTCTTAACCCGAGGTAATATTTCTGGGTTAGTGGTGTCTGTAACCTGAAGCGTATGTAACCTGAGGTACCAATGTATATACATTAATAATTAATAAAATAGTAATCGATTTAAAATGATGAGAGTTTTGAATCTACTTCCCTTTTAGCATTTGTGTGATTAGAAAGTGTCATCTTCAAGTTGTTAAGTTTCACCTTTTGTATTCAAGCAGTCTTTTTAGTGGCTAGATAGGCACAGGGAATATTTGTACTTGCATATTTATGTGGATGTCTGCATGTGCTTTGGCGTTTTATGTCTTCAGATTAAAAACTGGCCCCACGCTAGAAATTGAGGATGTTTAGAAATGATTGTTGCAGTAAATGCAATCCAAAAGAACTGAGGCATGTTAAAGTTCAAATGAAATCAATGCAACATAAATGCTGCGATCGTAATTTAGTTTAGTTGTTTACAACCACTGATCATTACAACAGTTTTTTAACCATTAACAGCCTTATGCTTCACAGGGACAAAGTAAATGTGCCTAAGACGGCAACCTTTGTCTCATTGATTTCAGCACCTAATTGGATTGCAGTACTTGATGGTGGTGATGATAGCAATGCTATGTAATTTGAACAGGGGCAGGAACCAGAAAAATTGATCACACTGTCACATTCACTGTTTATAAAACGCTAGTGAAGAAAACAGTGTTAACATATCTTACTCTTCTCACACATCAGTCCTTTAGATAGCACCGGGAAGCCAGAGTTGTTGTGTAACAGGACTTACAGACATTATTTGCCAGATGGTATCTGCTAGCTGAGGCTCAAGAGACAATGTTACCAAATATGTTTCAGAATAAGAGTTTTTAAAGTATGATGATATTTCTGTTCCGTTTTCTGTAGAAATTTTATACTGGAATCGTGGAAATTAAAAAGGTACATGACTATTTGCCTGCAAATGTTTTATTATTTCACTATCTTGTGCAAGAGGTTAATAGAGGGATCAGGCAACTTGGTTATTAATGGTTACAGAGTAGCAACAATGCCTTGCTAGCATGGATTTAAATAGTATCTAATAATTATAGCCTATATTGTGGGAAAAGATTATGCTGTACCATGAATTGTTCCTATTGTATGTTCAACTGAAACTGTACAGGCTATTATAAGATTTTGATAACTTTAATTCATTTTAACAAGACTCGTGCAGTGACTGTTCATAATGACATTGTGCATATTATGCTATGTTTGGATAAACAATTAGTATATGTCAAGTCTCATTTCTAGTTACCCCAATAAGGAGCTGGTGGTTCTGTTCACTCATGCATCATGCTAGAGGCTACTTCATTTACTTCAGTTTTCAGAAATGCTCCACTCAGATAGTAGTAGTAATAAAAATGGACCGTGTCCAATCCTGGTAGTATTCAAAGTAGACCCACTGAAATTAATGCACATGACTAATTTAGTTCCATTCATTTCACTGAATTTACTCTGAGAATGACTTTGTTGGCTACAGTCCAGGAATAATAACAATAATAATGGCATAATTAATTCAAAGTTAAGCATTGATTTTAAGTTCCCTTTATTTCATTGGAGAATTAAGTATATGCTTAACTCCTATCTACTGAATTCTATGGGGATTAAAAGTGCATTAGAATTTATATTCTGTTTTTCATGGGTGTTAAAATCACATCTGAGTGGTCTGTGTGACTGCCTTTAATGGATGCCAGTGTTATTAGCCTCAGCTCCCCATAAGTAATATGGAAATGAGAGCTAGTGACTTGCCTTAAGGCTGAAGGCACTCAAATTTCATCTATGACTTTCTGGCTCAAAGCACATTCCCTACTTAAACGTGGCACATTTCTGGGATACTAAAAGTGTTCCCACTGAGCTCTGTGTTCACATATTCCACCATACACAACAATACTCTCACAGAGTTTTAAAGTGTAGTAACAGCAACAATCATAGCCAAGTCCTATGTATGTGTACTCATACTAAGACATACCAACTGACTTTAGTAAGCATGCATAGGATTGCTGCAGGCTGAATTTGCTATCTGATCAGAGGTTGGCACAGGGATGACACTGTGACAGTTCATGACACACTTTCGAATGAAATATTCTGTTTCAATGGGAGCCATTATTACTGCAGCTTTAAATGAGTCCTTTTGATTAGGTTAGGAGAAATCCTCTCATTTGGCAGCCAAAACTTTTATTCAGTTGAGTGAAATTTAATTATTGCCTGCCTGCTGGATAAGCTGCTGACCTACACATCAAAATCCTGGATGCTTGCACTGACCAATGTGCTTAACCTGATGCTGAAAATGAAAAACTGTCCTCCCTTAAGTTCTGTGTAATTTTTTTTTGGAATCAGAACCTATCCAATCTACTTCTGTGTCGCTTTAACTAGAGCACCAGTTCCTTTACTGTGATCACATGTTGAATCTTTCCACTTCATTGAAGCTAAAAACACATGTACTGCTGGTGTAAGTCTTGAATAAAGGGATGTAGCATAGCAAAACCAGAGGGGGTGGGAACTTATGCTGGATCCTAAGCCCATTCAACTTGGCCATGTGACCTGGCAACCCAGAAGAAATTAAGCTGGCAAAACGAGTGGTGTAACTCAAACACTATTTTTTAAAGGCTTGTTCTGCCTTTGCCAGGCTTAGGTTGACTCAGCCAGTAGTAGCCAAGCTGCTGAAAAGTTTTTGGATCTGGTGTTTCTGGTTTCTGTCATGGTTTCCAATTGCAACAGAAGTCATGCAGACCTCATGACCTGAAAAACGCTGGCCCCTTTGGACCGAAAGTGGAGATGAGCGCTGCACCCCATACTCTAATTCAGGCATAGGCAAACTCGGCCCTCTAGATGTTTTGGGACTACAACTCCCATCATCCCTGACCACTGAATTAGACTATGGGCTGAGAGAGGGCCAAGTTTGCCTATGCCTGGTCTAATTGGACTGGACTTAACCGTCCAGGGGTCCTTTAACTTTACCTTTTCTCATTCTCTTATACGGAAAAATGAGGGCATAATGACAAGCTATTTTGTATGGTCTGCGGTGTGCAATATAAATTATAGCATGAAAACAGCACAATATGCCAGGTGTTTCTGGGCTACTAATATGGAATTATTCAACATCACATCGTGGGGGGGGGGGAAACACTGCTGTTTTGTAATTGAAATTGGCCCCTGCAGAACTTATTGAAAAGTGAACTATGATCAAATGTTTAGATATAGCACAAGCAGTGGCCCTAATTTCACATTATGTGGTCATAATTACTCTTTTTCCAGTCTTGTAGCAGTATTAATTTGGACTTGCACCAAATTGCAAGCATCTGTAAAGCTAACAAAATATATTTTGGTGCTTGTAAGTAATCAAAGACGGTGACTGTGAATTTGATGTTTAGTTATTCTTTAAACAATGTGAAGCTAAATTTCTAAGACTGGTGAAGTGCCACACTTTAGGCAACAAAATAAATTATAATTAAGTGTGGATCTTATATACATTAGTGTGCTAGGGATGGTGTCAAGCTTTTCTGCACTGAGTTTTCCTAATTCACACCTTAGTCCTTGATTTTTTTCTGATTCCACTAAAAATAGGAGTAATCATTGTATATTTTCTGCAGTATTCTATTTATTTGTTTGTTTATTAAAAATATTTTTATGCTGCTTTTCTGGGCAAATGTCTGCACATATTGGCTTATTGTCAGGCTTCCACCCCAAAACACAACTACAGCGACTTTCACTTGAAAGTAAGGAAAAGATCTTTATTCAGGCTGATAGCAGTGTAGGCTCAGCAGCAAGCACAAGGTTCAGAAGTCAAGGATCCAAGGTATATGGGCGAGACAACTGAACAGAAGCTACAAAGATATCCCAACTGTTGATATGTCCCTCCTACTTTTAAATACAAGGTGGGGTGAGCTCACTTGTAGGACTTCCTTGCCCTCGGGATCTGCCGTGTGCACACATATGCACACCGCCCAGGCAAATTTGTCTTATCCCATTAGAAACACTATTGCATTCTTCCCTGTTGCCTCCAGCTCCATTGCCACCTCCTCCCGTTTAGACCCTTCCTTTGACTAGTTGAAGTCCCCAAGCCTCCCTGAAGATGTTCTGAAATCCACAGAAGGGGCAAGAGATAGAGCCCCTTCGACATCCTCTCTGCTTCATCCCTGGATGCTCATCTTCCACCCCAATTCTACTCCTTCTTCTTGCTCCTCCTCCTCTTGCATCTGGGATGGACAAGTCATGTCAGATCTTGATGGAGCCCATTACAAGGGGCCCATGACACATATGATCAGGCCCATGCAAGAGTGGGGAGTAGCTGGTACACTTGCCTCAGACTTTGGAGGATTAAACTGGCTAGGGGCTGCTTCCAGGGACCAGCTGCATTTTTGTTTGAGTTTGTAACTTTATTCTAACAACACTCCTGTCCCAGGCTCAGACGAGCTCTGCAAAGGCCTGCGTATGATCAAAACATACACATTATTACATGAAGTGCTTTTTTTGGTTTAAAAAAATAAGGTGCCAGTGTCCATATATTGATATGTGCTGTGGATGCCAGCACAAAACAGCTGCCATGGGGTGCTGGTACTGCATACTGCCTTGGTTTTATGCATATTATTTGCATATTGTGCACATATACAGTAGAGGTTTCCTAAAATAACCAGCACATAAAAAGATGTGTTTTCTGTATAAAAGGACTTAATGTATACTTTTACGAGCTCCTCAGACATGAGCAGGTGCTCAATGAAAGAGGCAGTCCAATGCACAATTGGGTTGGAACCACCAAACACAATGTATAAATACATTTAAAATGTGTTTCTCATCCATCCTTACCCTTTTCATTTCAGCTGGTGGACATTATAAGAACTTTGTAACTAAGAATCAGTGCCTGAGTTTCTCTCCTCCTCCGCCCATCCCCTTTCTTTTTGCTGCATGTCTTTTGCATTGTAAGCCTAAGGGCAAGGACAGTCTTATTATTAATCTTTGTAAGCCACTTTGAGACCCTTTGGGGCTGAAGAGCAGTGTGAAAATGCTTTTAATAAATGTGCACGTTGTTGTTCAAATTTTACAAGGTTGCTTAAAGAAACTCCGATATAACGCTAGTGCACATGCAGCCGTTGGATTTACTGGTTCATTGTGAAGTTGCCCTAACTCTCTGCAAGAATAGAAGCAAAGCACAGAACTATTTGACAACAATTGGGAGAAATGAAGAACACACAAGAAAATGTAGGAAGCCTCTTGGTAGTACTTTCCTGGGGAATTTGCCTACAGATGAAGCTGAATACATTAGGTAAAAGCACAGCATGCTCCTTTCAACGTAAATTTTGCTTTCAAATGGAAAACACTGAAGTTACTCAGCTGATATGATAAAATCTTCTGGGAGATAGACCGGAGAAAATTTGAATCTCTACAGAGAATATTGCTCTGTTCCTTCACAGCTTCTTCTGATATACATTAAGATAATAATATTTCTACAGGATTTTGATGTGGTTAGAGTATGAACAGATGGGTTTATCTTTAGCCAAAAGAATATAGCTCTAATTCACTTTTCAGGTATAGGCACACAACTACCGTATTTGGGCAAAAGACAATAAGAATACGGCATTTTCTTCATTTTTGCCTGGTGAAACCTGGTCTCCAAAGGAAAAAAAGCAATAATTTCACTGACCAGGCGACTGTGTGTGTGTGTGTGTGTGTTGTATTGCTCTCTGTGTTTGCATGTAATGTGTTGCTTCATCTGTTTGTGTGTGACTTGTCACTGTGCATGTTCCTGTGTGATATATTGGGACTCACAGTTGCATGTGCCAGATTGCTACACATCTGCCAAAAAACGCACATTAAACATCAATAAAAGCAGCCCATAAAAATGAATTACTTCACATTTACATCTTACCTGATGTGTCAGATTGTGCCTCCAGATCTCATCCCAGCCACATGTTTGTTTGCATGTGATTTTTTTCTGTATGTTTTTGTGCATGGCATGCTGCACTCAGTTGCATGTGAAATGGTGATATAGTATTGCATGTTATTCTACATGTGTGTAGCTTGTTGTAAGTTACAGTACTTGTCTTAACTTCTGTACCATATAAACAGCAAACACATCTTTTAGACTCTCACATACATGCTTTTTGGTGCATGTATGTGATCTGAGCACTGATTGACCTTTTAATTCCATGTTAATTTTTCACTGATTGCAATATATATTGCAGTGACAACTTATCTAATGTCTGTTAAACTGTCAAACTGCATGAAGATATTTATCAGGTACAGTCATGCCTTGGGTTGAAGTAGCTTTGGGATGAATATTTTCGCGTTGCGCTCCGGTGCGACCAGGAAGTAACGGAGCATGTTACTTCTGGGTTTCGCCGCTTGCACATGCAAAGATGCTCAAAATGACGTCACGCGCATGAGCGGAAGCGACGAAACGCAACACGCACATGCGCAGACACACAGTCACGTCTTAAGTTTACTTCAGGATGCGAACGGGGCTCCGGAATGGATCCTGTTTGTATCCAGAGGTACCAATGTATTAGGGAGCAATCCTATGGCAAGATGCACTGGGTTCGGCAGATCTCTGGCTGAGTTGGCAGGTTCCCAGCACAGCCATGCTATGCCAGATTAACTCCATCAAAAATCTATTATAAAAACTTGAAACTAGGAAAAATAAAAGTTAAGTGAAAATTAGCTCCAGGACTAAGATGCTGTCTTTTTTAAAAAAAAAATCACCCTTGACATTCCCGATTTTGCGCATTTTGATTTGTCCCTTTCTCTTTCCCCACTTTCTCTTTCTACAAAATCAGTTCTGTGCTGGAAACTAATAATTCATGGGACAAAAACCTGCAAAAAGTTCTGCGCTGAAGACAGACATTCAGGCCTCCTTCAGCCACGAGCCAGAGCTTCTTGAGCAAAGTTTTTCTTCCCTTCTACTCTATAGCTTCTGGGGTGATCAGCTCCACCATGCATGCAGGTTTGCCCCAAAACAGAGCTCACTAACAATTTACAAGCATCCACAAACTTATTTTCCACCATTCATTCACTTACAAGCTTGTTCTTGCTGAGGCGTCAAAGCTTCCTAGGAATAGTCTGCCAACCAGCAACCTGAAGGAGAAAGCTAGCTGTTGTCTGTTGTAAGGGGGACAGAAATATTTGCCTTGGACTGAATGAACCAGCTGGAAAGATGTGTGCCTGGCAGCATCCTAGAGTCTTCCAGCCTCCTTCCTAAAGCCTAGTTAGTGCTTTCCCAACTTTGGGAAGAAGGTGGGAAGGCTCTAGGACTCTGCCAGAGCCTCACACCTCCTTCCCAAAGCCCAGGACCTCACTTATACAGCTTTAGGAAGGTTAGGGGGCATCACATTTTGGCTTCATGTGCCCCTTGCGTAACATAGCAGTGTGTGGACTGCAGGTTCCATGTTGAAGTACTCTTGCGGCCCACTTAGCATGAAAAGTTGGACCTGATTTAGTCCATCATCCTGTTCTCAAAGTGGACAACCCGTGACAAGCCTGCAAGCTGGAACTGAAGAGGATTTGAGTGCAACAGCACTCTCCGCATTCAGAGGTATACTGCTGTGCACTGCAGATAGTTTCATATGTGAAGGCTTTTTATATAGGCCAGCCAAGAAAGATTTCTGTGTTTGTCATGGTTAGCTGGTAGGTTACATATGCTTCAGGTTACAGATGCTTCAGGTTACAGACTCCGCTAACCCAGAAATAGTACCTCGGGTTAAGAGCTTTGCTTCAGGATGAGAACAGAAATCGTGTTCTGGCGGCGCAGCGGCAGTGGGAGGCCCCATTAGCTAAAGTGGTGCTTCAGGTTAAGAATGGACCTCCGAAACGAATTAAGTACTTAACCCGAGGTACCACTGTGTATTTATTACAATATATAATAAAATATAATAAGGTTATGAAGTCACATCATGCTTATTTATTCCCCCTCTTTGCAATTAACTATACTCAAAGTGGGTTCACATTAGTATTACATTACAGTTAATAAATTCCATTAAAAAACTGACAAAATCACTGTTCAAATAACCTAAATAATCAATTACAACAATGCTCAATTTCTAAGGACGGAAGACTTTTCATTCATTTAGAAGAGCAAATGCTTCCTTTATGACTGAAATTAAAAACAATGATGTATAGACATATGAAAAACCACCATTATACAGCATATGCTACTTCTCGATAATGATTCCTCATGAATCTTTGTGTTAGTGTTTGATGTGCTTGCAAACATCTAGACAGAAATATGTGTGTGTGTGTTTTAGTATTTTCAATTACATGGGCATTTCTTCCTGGTGGATCTTGTCATGTCTTCCTGTCCTGTAACATCATCTTAGTGCTATCTGTGACAAGCATGCAGGCTGTTGGTTGATTAGATAACTAGCTGTCTCCAGATTTTCTTCTGCTTCAAGAAAAAAAGTATATTTCTTGCTCAAGTAAGACTTCTGATAGCCAGGCTAGACTGTTCTGACAGTTTGTGTGATTATGATTTATCATTTTAAGGCCTGCAATACAACCAACTGAGCACCTTCCTTCTCTCCTGTTGTTTGGCTTTGGACATTTCATCATTGCTGAAGTGTTTCCATCCCTTGAGAGACAGAGAAGAATTTCTAAGAAGATGTGCTGTGGAACTGTGAAAAATGTGTTCTTTGACCCTCTAAAGTAAATGCATATTGTACATCTGTTACTGTAATTCCCCTTATTCTGTGCATGGTAGAAAATAAACAGAACATAAGTGATTTGAAGCCAAGCTTAAGTAGTTCTGATCCTGCAAAGCCTGTCCCCTGCTCTAGCATATTTTTCACAGGAGAGTGGTAAGAAGGATGTGGTTTTTATGTGAACTGCATTAGATTGGCTAATGTGATGGACAGCAAACTCCAGAAGTGGGAAGGGAAAAAATGTTTATAAACAATGGTATCTTCCATCAGGGTGGCACATCAAGAGGGTAGCATCCAATCAGCTGAGACAACAAAATAATAATTTGGTAAGTAATGCAAAACAGAATTTATCTGAACACATAGAAAAACCATAACTTTTTTCAGTTAATGGAAACAAGCCCTGTTAAATTAAGCAAATTTAAATCAACCTATATAAAATATAGATTTTGTAAGGCAGAAGTACAAATAAGTTTCAAATAAATTCAATTAAGAAGATACACAGGATCCTGAACACCATGTTTCTCTTGCAACATGCATTTTAGGGGCAGTGTTTTCATGGTGTTCTTAACCTAAGGCTACCAGATGTCCCCGTTTCCCAAGGACAGTCCCCAGATTGACAAATCAGTCCCCATACAAAATCCTATCATTCCTGCTGAAGTTGAAAAGTGTCCCCGGATTCATTGAAAAAAATCTGGTAACCTTATCTTAACCCCCCCCCCACTGACTCTCCTCTGCAATGCTGTTGTTACTCATCTCCCCCAAGGTGAGATCCAATGAACTAGTCCAGCCATGTGTCAAGGGAAACATCTTGTGAATTATCGTAGCAAATCACTGTTTGGGAGGATGGATTTGTCAAGGCAATATGTAGATCTGCCCGTAAATACCTTGCTCAAAGATGTTAAGGAGTGCAAATCTATGCATGCTTACTCAGAAGTAAGTTCTATTGAGTTTAATAAAGCTTATTTATTATAGTATTTATTAATATATAGGTAAAGCTTCCATGAACTAAAAAAAAAGTCCCCAGGAACTTATATTAACAATAGATAAATATCAATAAAGCAATTAATCTTTAAGTAGAGTTTGGTCACAAGCTCATGAGTGTTAACTGTGCACCCTGAAACTCATAGATGTTCTGGTTTCTAAAGCAGAAGTACAGCCTGATCCTATTTATATAAACCTGAAAGTAAGCAACACTGAGAATTTACAGAAAGTGTATGTTGGATTGAATTCTTAGGCCTGTTAATAGTATTTTGATTGATATGAATTATAATCACATTAATAACAAAAAAAGAAACCTTTCAGGGACCTGAAAGGCAATCTTAAAAGGAACCTGTCTCATAGTTTTGTGATAATTAAAACATTTTGTTGTGATTTTTGTCTTATTTGTTGAAACAGGAATAGCAATGCGTTAATTCAGATTGATTTATTCTTGAAATTATTTGCTCTTCTGACCCAATAGCGCTCTTTTGGAACAGCTGATTTTGAGATAGCAGCTTCCAAGTCTGGTGCAGCCTGTTCAGTTGAAGGGCATGGATTTAAACTGAATTTGAAAAGCCTAATATTGGCTAATATACTAGTACATACTTCAGCTTAACTGTGGTGGAATGAGAGTGTTAGAAGTCTAGTTTTTGTTTGTATTTCAGCTGAATTGACTCAAAAATAGATGTCTTTTGCACACATGAGAATGTGTGGTTTGGGTGTGCTTGGGTTCCAACCATGAGTTGGCATCTGACTAAGGAGGCAATCCTACAGCAAGACCCACTGGGATGGGCTGCTTAGGATGCAGTGGATCTCTACCTCAGCTGACTGATTAATGGCTCAGCTGGCGTTGTGTCCCCATCCCCATCTTAGCTAGTACACCAGTGTAATTTGCTCATCCTGGTTCAAAGCTGGGTGAGCAAGGCTGGTGTAGATCTCCAAAATGGAGTGTAGTGGGACAGAAAGGAAGGACTTCGGCTGGATCCCAGCCAGTTCAGGTCAGTCATGTAGTCTGGCGACCTGGCATAGACCACTATTTTAAAGGTTTGTGCCCACCCAGTAGCCAGGATTAGGCAGAGCAGCAGTAGGAGTCTTACTACTGAACAGGGTTTGGATCTGGTCTACTCTGAACTGATACTGGTTTACTTTACATCACATTCTTGTGCATAGGATTGCTCCTTAATCTACTATTTTTCTGCCTCCTTAGCATGCAGAATTGGTGGTTTTGTTGGAATAAATGCCCAGTTCACCCTCTTTTTGCACCCACTTGCATGCTCATCTGTATGTCATACTTTGGAGTGGACACGATTTGCTGCTCATCAATCCCTTCCACCCTTCCTTCATTCTCAGGTTAACGTTCACTACCTCAATCCTCAACACTGAAGTAAAGGAGAAAAGGAACAGAATAGTCTGTCCTTGCCAGTTTAAAGAACTTCATGTTCCTGCAGGAAAATAATTATTATAATTAATTCTCTAGTAACTTTTTTGATGGGGTTTTATCAATATCCAGCCTGGTCCACGAACCAATTAAACTGGATACTTGAATTAGTTGAATTCGTTCCACTGTAGCCTGTAGAATCAGCTTAAATCCAAATAGGCCAGTTTAATTGATTTGTGGAAGGAGCTAACAGTGTAATTGGAAATTGGGAAATTTGCTTTTAGTGAAATCAGTAGGAACTTAAAACTTTGACATACTACAACAACCACTGCTCTTCCTCACCCCTTCTTTCCCAGTAGAATTGGGATTGATTTGCTTTGTTGCAGTTCTTCGTTAGACAACACAACTAATAGATAATGTATCTGAGCTGTGGGGAAGGACTGTAGTTCAATGGCAGAGCATCTTCCTTGTATGTAGGTTCAATCTCCGGAATCTCCAGGTAGGGCTGGAAAAAACTTGCCTAACTTCCAGGTTGGCGCCATCGGCAATGGCGGAATTCCTCTGACCGGGAGGAATCTGCCCCGTGGGAAATTGGGTCTGGCCGCCACAGCGAAGGCGGAGACCCATAAAAAATCACAGGCGGGAGAAGCCTGTGAACGTGGGATTCGGCGGGCACCTTCTGCACCTCCCCTACTCGCGGGGAAACCCGATTTCGGGGCTCCGGAGCGATGTGGGGTGAGTGGCGCAGTGCTTTGAATCGTCTACTTCTTCCACGGAGCGAAGCCGCACAGCCGTTGCCGGAGAGCGCTGACTTTTTCCTGTGGACAATTTGACTCTAAAGTAATTACCCGTGTGTAGAGTTTAAGCGGAAGAATTGGATTTCTAAATGTTTAATTTGGGATCGCAATGGGGAGGTTCAAAACAGGAAGTCCGCGTTCCCCTTTTGTAAATAGACTGAGGCAATGAAGTTGCATGCTGGAGTCCTGGAAAGTCTTTTGTAAAAGATTAAATTTCCATTGGTAAAGAACAAAAAAAACCCTTTGGAGGCAGGAGAAGAGGGGGACGGAGTTGTGGACTGAGTATGCCTGCAGGAGAGAGCGAAGAGATCTAAAACACCGCCGCTCTGATCGTGGAAACGGGCTGCTAGTAGGACTGACGTATTTTGGAATGTTCATTGACAGCGCTTAGAACGTTCATTGACAGCTAGTTAAACAAGAGAAATATATTGTTTCTACTTTTTCCGGCTGCTTTAAAAAGGAGTAAAAGTAACTGAAAATTGAAACTAACTTGAAACTAATTTTGGATTGTTTAAAAGAGGATACTATTGACTATTACAAACAGAAACTGTTTCCCCCTAGTGGAAGCCTTTGAAACCGGTTGCTTTACAAGAGTTGGGTTAGGGAAATTTCCAGCTGCAAGTTAAAAACCGTGAGACTCTGGGACTGACCTTGAATCTTTTAAGTGTTATGGTTAATGGAAGAGGAAAAACAGACCAGTCAACTGCTGACAAAACATTAAGGTCTGGGAGGACTTGGCAACAATCCAGGAGAGGTCCATCATCAGGCCCCCCTGCTGTTTCTGTTTGCAGCCTTTGTACCAGTATATGTAAAACCAAGAGAAATGTTGACAGAAGAGGCTCTAGTGGCTGCATTATTTAAGATAAATGACTCATTGGATCAGCTTCACAGGAAAATGGACACGATAAATGTGAAAGTGGATGTTTCAATCATTAAAATTAACTTAAATATAGAAAGCATAAATAATACTAATATAGAAACCACCCAGAAATTGACACAGGAACCTATTTCGATACGGCAAACTGCGGAGGAGGCCAGGGAAAAAGCTGTTGTTGCTGAATGTAAAGAAACACAACTGGAGAGAAAGAGCAAGAGAGCCCCAGCCCTACAGAAGCAACTTGATGAATATAAGTTGACGCTTGCTATGACTGAACTTAAAGAAAAACAGACGAATTTGAGGATTAGAGTTCACCTTTGGTGGACATGCCCAAGGATTAAGACACTTTGGGAGATGATTTATAATGAAATGAAAAAGGTATTTAAATATACCTTTTTGAAGAAACCAGAGGCCTTTCTCCTGAGCATGGTCGGCCAATTGGTGTTAAAGAAGGATAGAACTCTTTTCATGTATGCAACAATAGCAGCAATAATACTCATTGTGAAGCACTGGAAGACACAAGATTTATCTATCCGGGAAGAATGGCAGATGAAGTTGATGGACTATATGGAATTGGCGGAAACGACTGGCAGAAATCCGAGACCAGGGAGAAGAGTCGGTGGAAGAAGACTGGCAAAATTTTAAGACTATTTATAGAAATATTGTAAAAATAATGAATGTTAGAAAAATGTTGGAATGAAGTTATATGGCTTTAGTAGAAATGCTATAAGGAATTAAGTATAAATTGACTAATAGAATATGAAAGGGAAAAATAAGATTAGAACATGTTAAGATAATTATAGGATAGAAAACAGAGGAAGATGGAAAGGAATTGCTGAAACAATTAATAGAAGTGGAATACAAAAAGGGAGGTGTGAGGAGGTCGTGGAAATAAGGGAATGAAAGTTAAGATATTGAAATTGTTTTGTGTTTTAAATGGTATGCGTCTTGTTTTGTTAATCTTATGTCCTTTCCCCCCCCTCTTTTTTCTTTTTCTTTTTTGTTTTTTTTCTGTTTTATTGTGCTTAAATGCATGGAAAATCAATAAATATTATTTTTTTTAAAAAAACTTGCCTAAAACTCTGAAGAGCCACTGCCAGTCAGTATAAAGAATGAGGAGATAGATGGACCACTGGTCTGATTGGTATAAGGCAGCTGCTTCCTATGTTTTTAGACATGTGCTAGGGCAGGGGTGGCCAAGCCCTGATCTGGCACCCCAAGCATTCTGCCCCACTAAGATGCCATGTATTTTGTTGGTGGCAGCAAAGAAACAAAACAAAACAAAACACACACACACACACACATTATAAATAAAAATGGGGCATGGGAGTAGAGCCCAGTGCCCTGATCCATCTGTTGCATCTCAATTTCTTTCAGTTTCTTATTTTTCAAATTAAGTTCAGTTCTCAACATTTCCACATCAGTTTTGCATTTTTTATAAACAAAAACAAAACACTCTTATTAAACACATTTTTGCAAAGCAATATCCCTTAATATTAAACATGTTATTCCCCCCACTGATACGGGATGTGCATTTTTATGCTCCACTGCTGAACAGGGTTGGGGTTGGGGGTTTCTTTACAACAGCTTAACTTACACCAGCATGCTTTCTTAGTTGAAATATGTTTCTCTCCTCCTACTGCTGTTTTCTTTGTTAGGTGATATACAGATAGCATTTTCCTTGATGCGTGACACACAGATCACATTTTTCTACAAGGAAAATACTGAGGAAGGAAAAAGGTTAAAATTTCCCACCTCGATTGCTCTAGTAGCCCTGACCTTAATCTTTTCTGCCCACAATTTCCATTCTTTAAAACTATGGGAGAGCCAAGCTCAGTTGTCCCTACGGCTCTGAACCAGCCGTTGATGCTGCTAAGTACTGTTGAATGTAGGTCAGAAACAGCTACTTCTAACTAAAATGGCTGTACTTTAAATGTGTAACCTACCGCTCCCATTGCATCAAAAGCTTCATGCCTTGATACTTTTAAAAATTCCATGTTAGCATTACTAAGCAGCCATTCACAAATGTTTTCTCTTTTTTCTGTACAGTTTTTATTTGATACTTATGTGTCCCCTCCCACATTTTGAAGTGTAAAGTGTCAGGTCTGATTCTCAACCCAGCGGAATTAGTATAGTGCAACCTTACCCTACAAAACTGCAACCCAAAAGTTGGTTCTGATCCCTTATTAGTAAACTTCAAATTATCTTCTTTCTTTCCTTAAGAACCGGAGGAGGGGATCATTATTTCTTTAATGAAATAATGAAACTAGCTGTTGCAAGAAAGACTAAGCTGTGGCCACTACATGTCTCACATATCTTTCTGCCTTGTAAAGTATAATACAAAAACAACAATAATAAAAATCAAGTCCCACTCTGTGAGTCAGTCTGTGAATGCTGGAGTAAACTGTAAGGGAAATTAGAAGGTTCCCTTACTGAAGGTTAATAACAAGATAAAGAATTCAATGATGTTTATTGATTGTAAGTGCAAAGTAGAACTCACTATAAAGAAGTCTCTACAATAGAATTAAACTCAGTACGCACATAGATACAGCAGTGTAAAATCATCAAACCCTCCCTTCATTATGTTAGTTTATTCAGCCATAAAGCATCATTTAAGTGACACTAACCAATTAGCAATTTACACCTTTTGACATGTGCAGTTAGTCCCTTTTGTTGCTACCATATTTTATACCACCAGCTATGCAAGAGTGCTTAATCTGCATTTCTCTTTGAAGCGTCTACAGCATGATTTGTTGCATTTTCCAAATCTCCTGATGACTCTGAATGTTTCCTTATCTGTAACATTAGCCTGCTTACTCCCTTCCAATAACATCAAACATGGCTTTGCCCTCTTTCCACCTAGCAGTTTCTCTTCAAGACAACTTAACTAAATGATTTAACTATTTTGGTCCCTACAGCAGCATGACGGGAGTACATCGCATCAATATTAGTAAATGGCAGCACTATGTGTCCTATTGGACTGGTTCACAAGGCACAGGAAGCCAAACAATGGCTTCTGAAGGCTTTGAAAAGGTGAAGGCTCCTGGAAAGGAGATCACAGCTGTTATTCTTTTTAATGCTGAGTTAAGCCAATGTCCTCTGAGCTGGGATTTTGGTTACTGAGAGTAGGCTAAAGTTCATGGTTAGTGAGAAGGGAGTTTAAGCATGGGTCCTAGTTCGGAAAATAAGCTAAGCCAAAAACCATCAGAGATCTAACAAACTACAGTTCCCAGAATTCTTCTTTTTTGGCAGGGGTGGGGGGAGAGAGAAGGTGCTTTAAATGTGTACACAGCGTAATTGCTTATGCTTACAGTGTATGAAGGCTGGACTTCATACTCATTTAAAGTCCATTTATTTGGATGCATATGCTATGAGTATAACTTATAGAATCATAGAATTGTAGAGTTACGAGGAGCTCAAGGGTCATCTAATCCAACTCCCTGCAATGCAGGAATCTCAACTAAAGCTCCAAAAAAGGAGAGTCCACCACTACCCAAGGGAGTCTGTTCCATTGTTGAACAGCTCTCATTATAGAATTAGAAGGGACTTAAGAGGTCATCTAGTTAAAGTCCCTGCCAATGCAGCATCCCTGATAGGTGGCCATTCAACTTCTGATTAATAACTGCTAATCTAACAAATAAGAGTCTACCACCTTCCATGACAGCCTTTCCTACTGATGAAGATCTCCTACCATCAGCAAGTTCTTCCTAATGTTTAGTCTACATCCCTTTTCTTGTTAGTTGAACCTATTGGTTTGGGTTTCACTCTTGGAAGCAATGTAAGACAAATTACTTCCATCATCTATGTGACAGCTCTTCAAACGTGTTAAGATAGCTGCCACATCACCTCTAACCATCTCTTCTCCAGAATAAACATGTGCAAGTACATCAACCATTTCCCACCGGGCTTTGTCTTCAAGCTCCTCACCATCTTTTTCACTTTCCTCTGAAAACACTTCAGGTTTTTTTTAATGGGTGAGATGCACTCATGAACTCATAATGTATCTATGACTGCTAGTCAGGACAGCTGTTTGCCTCTGAATACCAGCTCTGAGGAAAAACAGTGGGGGAGAATTATTGAGTAGGTATGATTTTGCTGGGATAAAAGTGTGATATGTATGTGGTTGCCTTAGGTCAGTTGAACATGACACTTCTGCATGCAACTGAGCGGTAGCTTGATTTCAAAGGGCTTTACTGTGATCTTAGGTACTTGTGGTAGGTATTTTTGGCTGTAAATAAAAACCCTGTGCTGTTAGAAAATGATCAAAAGGGGAGCAGTGGTAGAAATTTCTGTCACAGCATTTTAAAGTACTATTCAGCAATTATGACAAACCACATGTGGTTGTTTCTGCTTGTGTGTTGCTGTTGTTTTGGTTTTTTTTAGGGAAATGCAGCAGATGGGGGACTGTGAAGCTTTTTAATGGTAGCATTGGGAGTGGGTAATAATCGGCTCATAAAATCCCCCCAGTTCCAGGACCTGGACAATTTAATTCAATACAGTCACTCTAAATTAATGCAGGAACTAAGAAAAGATTTATATAACTGGGGAAGTTTAAATCTCTCTTGGGTAGGAAGAAGCTCCATCATAGAAATGAGCATTATGTATTGCATTTTGTTCTTTTTATTAAATACCATGTTGAAAATGAATGATTGTTTAATTTAAAAAAATGGCAGAATCTTCTGTTAAATGTTATGTAGGTAGGCAGTAAACCCAGACTTATGTCAGAAATGTTCTATCAGCAAAATAAAATAAAATCAGATGGCTTGGCATTGTGAAGGACAGCAACACCACACTCCAGTGACAACCCAGTGGGGTAGCTGATTAGCAATGTGTAACCTGTACTACTTCTCTGTCCTCCCCACTGCTCACTGCACCTAGGTCAAGGAGTGCAGAAGTCCCATTGACCCACAGTGGTCTACTTGGGAGTAGTGGAGACTGCCCCCCAAATTCTAAGTGTACTACCTGGTCACTTCAGTCCCTCAGCCCTCCTGATCCTCCAGGCAATTTATACCATCAGTGTAGACAAGTTAAGCAGTCTGTGATCAGGGAGAACCAAACCACCCTTGAGTGTGCCCAGAAATATAACTAAGCAATTTATTTAAGGGGGAGTATAAAAAGAGGAGGAGAAGCAGCAGCTATGTACACCTATGCAGAAGCAGAAGCAAAACAAAACACCAAACCAGAATATTGGTCTGATTATATATTAGGCATAACATAGCAAAACACATTCTTATGGTCACCTCTGATGATGGTAGGTGGATGAGGGACAAAAGAACACAGGAAGCGTATTGATACTTATGATCCTGTGTGCCCAGGAGGCCTTGAGGGACAAGTTGCTAGGCTGAACCAATCACAAGGCAGGCACGTATTTCAGGAGACTGAGCTTTGGAAAACTGGGAGATGGGACTGTCATTGTTCACTATTGTCAAAGTTGTCCAACTACTCTATTCCAAAAGTTAAAAATGGAAAGCGTAATGCTGGTGGTCAACAAAAGAGGTTTAAAGACTTTCTCACGGCAAATTTTTAAAAATGTAGTATAAACACCAACAACTGGGAAAGACTTGCCTGCAAGTGCTCCAATTGGAGAACAGTCTTTACCAAAGGTGTCATGGGCTTTGAAGACACTCAAACTCAGGATGCAAGGGAGAAATGTGCTAAGAGGAAAATCCACACCGTGATCAACTCCTGCCCAGAAACCAATGTCCCCACTGTGGAAGGACATTGGCCTCAAAAGTCACTTACGGACTCATTGCTAAAACCATGTTTATGAAAGACAATCTTACTCAGTTACAAGTGATCACCAAAGAAGAAGAAGAAGATTGTTAAAGTTGTCCAACTTCCCTGCCAGTCTTTCCTCTGCATCTGTATAGGAGAGGAGACATGACTTCTCCATTTGGACAAGATGCAGAACTAGAGAACTTGCTCTTCTTAAAAGGCCAGGCTAAGAGAGAGTTTGCCAACCCTCATAGGTCCCTTGGCAAATTTGGATTTTTGAGTCAGTGCCGTGGACATCACCCCCTCTGGTTACTTCTTTCCCCCATTCCTTGGAACAGCCCTCCTCCAATGAAATACAGGAAATACACATGCACACCAACTTCGCTTTTCCAAGGGACATGGGTAAACGTCAGATCCAGTAGAATTAATCTGAGCCTTGAAAATCACAGAGAGCTGAAAGAGAAAGGAAAATGGCACCATTCTTCCAACTTCCTCCTTCAGCTATGTACTTTTCAAGGGAGTAAACTCTCACCACCTGATAAGCAAAGGGGCAATAAGTTGGGGTTGGGGGCTTAGAGACTTTGGGAATGCTAGGGAAGACTTCAAGGTCACGACTGCATCTACAGACACCAGTTTCCCTGGGTTGTTTACATGCCTAGAGTAATAACAGTGGTCTGGACTGCAGGGTTGACATACATTCACAATATCTGAATACACACTATACATTTAAAGCACACACCCCAATAGATTTCCAGGAACTGTATTTTGTGAAGGGTACTGGGATTTATAATAATAATTTTATTATTTGTACCACACCCATCTAACTAGGTTGCCCCAGCTACTTTGGGCAGCTTCCAACAGATATAAAAACATAATAAAACATAAAACATTAATTATAGTGCTATGAGGGGAAATTGCAGTTCCCAGAACTCTTTGGGGGGGATATTCTTTATTTAAATATGCTATATGGTGTGTACGCAGCCAGTAAATCTTCTTGCATACCAAACAGACTAAATAACAGTACTGGATTAGTCTGCAGAGTTGTATTCTCTCACCCTATCATAGTAACCGGACTCAAGTAACCCCTTATCTGCCAGCCTTTTTAAACAACTTTTTAAAAACCACACAGCTAGCACTGCCCCCCTAAATTTCAATCATAGCTGTGATTTCACTAATCAGCTAAAAATGATGCTTGGTGAGAGTAGGCTCATTTCTCACAAAATGAGTGAGCAGAATAGGTTCTGTATATTTGGCGTTATATCTCTGATTCTACAAGGGGTGAAGGCTTCCTTTTTTAAAAAAAAAGGACAATGGGAATTGGGACCTATTAATGGTACAACAGAATGTATCTACCAGGGTAAATAGGTTTATCTTCAGCATAGACCAAAAACTCTAATGAAGGTGCCAGACATACCTCTGTGGGGAAGGAATTCCACAAATTAGAGGCTGCTGCAAAGAATGCCCTCTCCTGGGTCACCACCACCCAAACTTCTGAGGGCAGTGGAACTACCAAGAGACCCTTTCCATTGATCTTAGCACATTAAGGGGCCTATATAGAAAGAAGTGGTATTTCAGATATTTGGGGCCTATTTGGGTTCAACAGCTGGAATTGAGCCTAGAAATGAACTGTCAATCAAAACTTGATAAAACCCAGCTAAGCAATCAGTATGGCAACCCTAAGTGTACATTATTGTTGCTGTAGTGCTTAAAAACACCTGTTTTAAAATACAGATTTTATATGGCTTTATACACTGGAAAGTTCTCAGTTGGCCAGGGCTCTTTGTGGTGTGTCCACATCAAATGACTTACGGTCAGTACTTAACTGAATTGCACACAGCAAGTCAACCAAAAGTAATTAGCTATATTGTATGTAATTTCTTGCCTAGTTTACCAGTCTATGCTTACAGGCATTGTTTTGGATTTGATTTTTATAGGGTTTAAGGCATCCTTGATTTTAACAAATAGCCTTTTGCAATAACATCAAGTCCTGATACGGCAAAAAAATAAAAAGTGTTCTGGGCAGCTATGGTTTGTTTCCTCAAAATAACGAACATACTTCACAAATGCCTTTGAAAATCAGGCCAAGCAGCTTCCTTGCTTCCAGACGGAAGATTTAATTAAAGCCCTGCTGGGACAAATGAGCCTTTGCTCTGACTTTGGTTGCTTTTGATGATGGGTGAACTCCTCAGGCATGCATTATGCAGCAAGTCAGATAAGTTCATCATCGTGGCCACTTCTTGACATACTCAGTGGCATTATTAACTGGAAGTCATTGTTGCATATGTTAGGTCATTGGTGGCCCGTAAGTCAGAGCAGCAGACTTTTGCGATGCACCAGGATGGGACTAGATGGCATTGTGAGCCAATCTATAGTCAGGCCTTCATTTCTGCCTATCTCGTGCTATGCTCACTGCTAAGCAGTTCATTAGATGAAGTAAAATCCTGCTGTGGTGCTGAGGGCCAATATATTCACATGTGCTGCAGTGGTATTTTCCTTTACTGTGTGGTTAATGTGGAAAAGTTGACTTCTATTGCACTCAGTGATGTCTCCCTGTCTTTTTATATTTCACCATTGATACAGCAATGCAGATGTTCACAAACTGCATGACTACTGTGCTGGTCTCTCGGGAGCTGTCAGGGCTTGAAATAGTTACAATTATGCAGTGGAAACTTAGAGGAGGGAAATGCAGTTCCTGTAGGCCAGGATTCCCCGGCTTCAGCCGTAATGTGTTCCTGTTGATGGTCTGCAGGCAGGCAAATTTCATGGTGCATTCCAGCACCATGGACAGGAGTATCCAACATGATGTCCTGCAGAAGTGGTTGTAGATATGTATTCTTTTGTGCTGCTTATGCAGGAACTCATGGAAAACCGGGTGAATGGTAAATCAGACTTTATTATTAGTGAGGCCTAAGAGTCTGCCTGCATAGAATCTAATTTTTCCCGCTAGGATACACCAGTGACTCAGATCTGGCCTCTTGGGTCATAGCTGTTTCTCTTAAAGGGGCCAAATGCCAGATTATTTTTTTGTTTGTGTGAATACAGTGGTACCTCGGGTTAAGTACTTAATTTGTTCCAGAGGTCCGTTCTTAACCTGAAACTGTTCTTAACCTGAAGCACCACTTTAGCTAATGGGGCCTCCTGCTGCTGCTGCGCCGCTGGAGCACGATTTCTGTTCTCATCCTGAAGCAAAGTTCTTAACCTGAAGCACTATTTCTGGGTTAGCAGAGTCTGTAACCTGAAGCGTATGTAACCTGAAGCATATGTAACCTGAGGTACCACTGTAATGCATATATTACATAATGCAACTTATCATCCTTAATCATTGGACTTTCTGGCTTAGGCTGATGGGAGTTGTCATCCAATAATAGCTGGAGGGCAACACATTGGCTACCCCCACCATGGGAGTATATCATATTTCCTGCGAAAATGTGAAAACAGCAGCAGATTAGTCCCCTGAAAATAGCAGCATCAGCCAATTTTTATGTGCACTTGTTTTAGTGAAAACCCCAGATACCAAAATTAATCAGTTCCCCTCTTATTAATGTTCCCAGTAATATTGAAATCCCAAATATGGAAAGAAATTCAGCAGAGGAGGATTTCATAAGTAGCTCTGCTGTTAAATGTATGGAAAATAGACGATCCAATCTTACACATAGCCACATGCTCATTGAATGGGATATAGTAGTGTTCCCTCTAGTGGCATTAATGGCCTAGTTCTCACTTTATTAGCACAGGATGGGTGTAATTGAAAAGTGCACTTTGGTGTTGCACCACCTATCTTTAAGGAAGATGTGTGGAATGTCCCCTTTACTCTGGTAGCAGGGTCCAGAAAATTGTCTATTTGCTAGGATGACATGTCAGATCATCCTACATGGACCCTGATATCTAAGACGGAGGCCCTAGTTATGTATCTACTTCCCAGGTCTGTGAGGTTGGTGACCACAAGACCTTTGGAATTCCCTCCCAGCACATTGACAGTAAACAGCTACACTTCAGATTTTGGGAAGCCTTTAAATGCTCCTTTGTTTCAATTGGCCTTTTCTGGCTAGATCTACACAGCTATAAAAATACTTCATTGAATATTCTCTGCAAAAAACCATTGTAAAGCTCACAATTGAAAATATAATTGAGTTGCTATTTCAGCTCTACAACATTCATAACACTGTATTTTGACTAATGTAGCTGAGTCTCCTGATTAATTTTTGTTATAATAGAGGCTGGAATACTATAATTATAGTTTTTATGAATTCTGGTTTTAGTAATGTTGGATTGTAGTTTTTATTGTTGTAAGCCACTTTGTGGGTTTCCCCCACAAAAGCCGCATGTAAATATTTTTTAAAAAAACCTTTTTAAAAATATCATATGATCTTTCCAATAAATGTGTTTGGCAATTCCAGACATTACCAGGTTTTTATTTTCTTTCCTTATTGTGGAATTGCACTATAGTGATAAGAATTAGGCTTTGGCTGCTGCACAGAGAACTGTGTCAGTTTATTGGTCCATCTAGCTCAGTATCAAGTGAGTAGCAGGTGCACAGACACACAGCTGGGAGACGTAAACAGTGAGGTCAGAAGGATATGAAATGCAGAAAAGTACAGATGCCATTCACAGTGGCCATTCACAAAAAAAAAAACAACGCCAGACATTCTGTCAGGCATGTGCTAAGCCAATTCACATATGTAGTGTGATTCAAAACCCATTGTGTTGTTTCAATCCACAGTTGATAGAACACAGCTATCCCTCTGGAAACAGTTTTAAAATTACTAAGCACTGCTTCTGGGAAAAGAGGATTCAGTGGTACTTGTAGTGATGGTGGTATAGGAGACAGCGTGGCGTTTTTGGGCAGTTCTGGATTCTAGTCCCTCTTTAGCTATGAATCTGACTGGAAAGGTTTGAGTTAAGACTTTTTTTTTAAAAAAAAAACAACTGCTTTGAGATTCTTTTTTTGTTTTTACAATCAACTGGTATCTGGATTGCATGGAATGAATGAATGAATGAATAAATAAATAAATAAATAAAGTCAGTTTCTTTCAACCTAACCTACACCATAAGGTTGTTGTGCGGACAGAGGCGGCATGGCCTCATGTATGGTACACTGAGCTGCTTGGAGGCAGAGTAAGCATAAAATGCAATAAACACATTGTACTGTATGTTCCAGTATCTAATTTCTATAATTGCACATGTGCATTTTCTTTATCTGCACATTTTGAAACATTATTTCCAAGGCTGAGATACTGCGGTATAATTCTGACGGGTGACAAACAATGTAAAGTTAATAAACTCATTGAACCAATTAAAAAGTATTAATCATCAATTTTAGTAGGCTGAATCCCAGTAGATTTCTGTCAAGTTTTCTAGGCCAGCAATTTTTTGTGTGTGATGGGGGTGGGGGGAGAGGAATAGCTGCTTATGAAGGTGAAAAATCAGACATGCCTGCAAAGAAGAAAGGTGAATAAATGTATATTTATTTATAAATATTTCAGATTTGGTTTTTTTTCTCATGCTGTATCCTGAAACCTGGCTGCTGCTTATAACAATTTCAAAATGCAAGCATAAAATTAGTTCTAAATGGTAAAGCATTCACAACATTCTAAAAGCATTCTGGAGGCTGCCCAGGCTTTTGCAAATCAGTGGTTTTCTGTGTCTCTGAAGCAGTCAGTCATTGATGAGAATGCCTTGCTACATAACTTGAGCACCTGCTTTCTTGAAGTAATGGGCAACAGATTTCTCCACTATGCACTAAAACCTCTTAACCCATACCCTTGCTAGCAAATCTCAGCACCAGCATCACATTATCTCATATATCACCAGAAAGCTCTAGATCCATTCCTGGCATAAACTCTTTTTCTTGAGACCAATTGGAGACCCAGCAGGCATCAATTAAACATTTGATCCCTATCAGAAGACAATTAAATGGTTAGAGCTTTGTGGTCTCAAAAGACTTTTACATATCATTGCTACCACTGTTCCAAATGCTTCCTGTGGAAGCGTAAGTTCCAAGAAATCCCACACTTGTAATACTACAGAATTGGTGATCCCTTATCTTGTACATTTCAGTCCTGTGCCTGTTTTGATCATTGCATTCATCCTGTATCAAGATTAAACATCTACTATTTGTAACCTGTTCTCTGAATATAAACGAAAGCTGAAAGTAAGTTTTGCAACTCTTGTAAGTGATATGGTTGTCATTTAAACAAAGCATTGTCTACAAAGTGGGTAAAATTCTGAAGGAACCTTTCTTGTCCCTGAAGCATACTGTATTTGTATTGTTGGTATTAATATATATTTAAATGTCTAATCTGTTAATGGTGAAACTGGCCTTTAATGCTAAGCCTTCTTTTAGCAAGTGTTATTTTCATGGGAGGGAAAACTTATCATCACAGCCAGTTGTTCATATAAAGGGGGGGGGGGATCAAATTCAGCTTGTTTGAGCAATTTATTGTGCTACATTATCCTTCAGTGGGTGACTTTGTTCTTTAAAAGCAAGTCACATTCTTGAATGCACATTAGTAGCTCTTTTCTACAGGGGGCCCCCTAAATAAAGACTAAGCTAGTTTGCAACTGAATTTTTGAAGAAAAAAATTAATTGTTTCTTCCTTAATTTTATTTTAAGATCCGGATTTCAAGGACCTTGGGGTTTTGAAACCATTGCCAGGTTGGTATGTTCAGTGTTTTATAACACTTGGAAGTCTACAAATTTTAATTGAGATATATATATCTATATCTATATATAGATATATATTTCCTTTCCCCTCCACCTTCTTTATTGGGTTTGATTTTGTTGTTGTTATTGTTGTTACTCAGTTTGTGAGTTTGAGATGGGAGGATCTGAAGGAATTGTGGAATCTGTGCAAATTGGGAAAGAAGGGAAAGCTTCGGACACTGAGGCAGTTGATTGTAAATGGTACATCCGAGCACCACCAAGATCCAAGGTCAGTCCTGTTCCATTCTCTGATTTGGGGACTTAATTTAAAGAAGTGGCTTTACTAATACAGCATTTATTACTTTGTACCGACAGGCTTTGCTTAATATGACTTGCACTATTGAACCTGTAAACTGTTATTTTCCTTTATAAGACGGAAAAGCAATTTGTCACCACACAGAATAATAACCGTCACGTGTTCTAAATCATGATTTGGGCTGTATAATAAATTGGCCATTTTGAGCTAAAGGGATGTTTTAGATTTAGGTGGGTCCTTCTAGTTTGTTCACAGCACAGCAAATGCACTTTTTCCTCCCCCGCCCAATTTCTTGCAAGGAATTCATTCTTCTATACCTCATTTTTCCAGCACTTAAAGAGTAACATTTTTATCACTGGGACAAAGATGGCTTATTATTAGAACATAATAAGAGCCTGCTGAATCAAACCCATGGTCCTTCTAGTCCTGTTCTCACAGTGCCCAACCAGATGCCTATGGGACCTGACCACAAGGGCATTCTCCTCTCCTGTGGTTTCCAGAAGCTGATATCCAGTAGGATACTTGCCTCTGATGGTGGAGGCAGAGCATAATCAATGGCTACTAGCCTTGATGGCTATCATTTCTGTAACACTAGAAAATATTCAAAGCACTTCATAATCAGTTTCCTGTAACTCTTCCAACAGTCATGCAAGGCAGATCACTAATGTTATTCCCAAAGCATACATAGGAAGCTGAGGATGATATACAGTGGTTTGCCCAAGATCACCTGATAAGTTAAAAGGAGAAATGAGACTCAAACCAAGAACTTTCTGATTTGTAGGTAGCTCAGTTAATTGTGCTTGGTAGTGCTGTGCAGGGCTGGCCCATCCATGAGACCAGGGGGGACAAGTGCCTCAGGCGACAGGATCCACAGGGGCAGCAGATGCCAATGAAGATATTTATTCCTACCTTGTTCCTGATGTAGATCTTCACTCACTCCTTCTTCCCCAGCATAGGGAGCTGCCATTTATTTGGTGGTTCACCTCAAGTAACAATACGTCTTGGGTGGCCCTGGTGCTGCAAAATTTGTCTGTGAGTGTGTTGTGGTAGATATGTATGTGCTTCAGAGTATCGAGCTATGTTGCAGACCAGACCATGTGTACCTCATCCTTTTGTGAACTTTTATTGTTATTGTTTTACAGCCAGTGTGTACAGTTGCACAGCTAAATGTACCACCACCTTATTTTAACTATTCAAAAGATTTAGATTGTCTAGCACTAAGGACATGTGTCTACCATTTTAAAAGATTGTAGTAGATACTAGTGTGCTTGCCCTTGCAACAAGTCTAATCTCTGTATCTCACTTTGTCTGTCTCTACCACTCAGATCCATTTCGTATAATGTAATACTAAACACAAAACCCTCTTTTAAAATACGCAGTTCCACTTTTATCACAGGCTTTTCCACTTTCAAATCTCAAATCCGGAACATGTCTAGTTTGATATAAAAGGCAAAAAGAAAAAGGATTCTGGACTTTATTGATTTTTCAGTTCTGTCTCTGCCTTTATTTAATCAACTGGAACAATGGTAATAATTTTAAAAAGGTTAACAAAAAAACTCTATACATATCTACACAAAAGTAAATTTCATATATTTTAATAGAGCTTACTCTGAGCTAAGGGGCATGAGATTGCAGTGTCAGTCAAGAGGACTTACTTTTAAGGAGACTTGTATATGATTGCCCTGTAAGGCTGCAATCCTATGTATGTGTAGTTAGGAATAAGTCACATTCTCCTTAATGGGTTTACTTTTAAGTAGACATGCATATGTCTGGTAATGTGGAAGCTCAAATCAGTAACATTATTTGCTGTCAGTCTTATATATATTTTATCGTAAGTTATAATTCTTATGTAGTCGTGTAATGGCATACTATATGGAAAATGGAGATCACCGGTAATTAGTCAGGTGTTGTGTTTTTGTTTATTTATTGTGACATTCGTATACCACCACATATCACAAAGTTCTCTAGGTGGCGCAAAATAAATTATTCTATGGTAGGCTGATTTTAAATATACTTTGGGGATCTTTATTTTGCCTGATTCTAGTTATTTTGATTGGAAATCTTCACCTGTAGATTGCAAGGCAAGTAGTTTTAATTGTGCTGGAAGAGCTGAAACACACACACACACACACACACACACACACAGGAATTCAACATCGAGCTATTCCAATCAGTCCATCTGCATTACAGCTTGTCAAATGGATCAATACACCCTCCTTTCTCACAGTGTTCTGGGGCTTCTTCTCCCCCACCCAGCATTAGGGAATGCAGTGGAGAGGAGAGGAGGGGGGGAAGGCAACAATGCACAAGTGGAAGTCCTTTCACAGGGCTTCTGCTGACAAGGCTGAATAGGTAAACCCGCCCTGAATATCTATAATAAAATTGAGGGTCTAGTAAACAGGATGCACCAAGGCCTGGGGGCCTTCTTTTGTTTATTTATCTGGAAATAATGAAAACAGAGCTAAAGCTTTTGTTGGAACCATGCCATAGTACCATGGGTCGTCCCCCCACATCCCCCCCCACATTGCTCATATAAAAATAGCTCCCCTCTTCTCTGCCTTCACATAGAAGTAAAATTTTCTTTATTTTTGTACTGAATGCTTGTTAGTGTAGCCCAAGTTTCTCTGCCTGGCAGTCTGTACTTTATTAAATAAGCACTTGCTAGTGAATCTTCCTCAGTTAACTCCTTTGGGGATGAAGTGTAGGACTCTTTTTTTGTCTCCACAATCAAGAGGAGATATTTCAGGGCAGAACTATACAGTATTCCTCCACCGTGTGTCTTCAAAGCCCTGTGGCAACGGCTGCTTCACATAGGTGGCACTTTCCATCAGGTGAACAACAGGCAGGAGGGAAAGCCCTCATCCAGAGTTTTTCTCCTTCAACTCTCTCCCAGCCACTTTCTAGCCCTGTGCTCCCTACTGGTGGTGGAGAGCTGGAGAGATAAACAGAGGATGAACAAAGAGTTAAGCACACTGCTCCTGCCCACTGCAACTCCAATAGAATTGTGGGCTTCTAGTTCTTTTGCAAAGGAGAAGTTGCATCTAAGCCAGGCATAGGCAAACTCGGCCCTCCAGGTGTTTTGTGACTACAGCTCCCATGATCCCTAGCTAACAGGACCAGTGGTCAGGGATGATGGGAATTGTAGTCCCAAAACATCTGGAGAGCTGAGTTTGCCTATGCCTGATCTAAGCTTTGAAGAGAGACATGTAGTTCTCCTCTCAGGCTCTGTCCTTGCTTTTTTAATATATTGCTCAGAATTATTGGTATGTATAGCTGCACTTGCTCACAAATGACACTTTTCTTTTAAAAAAACACACCACATAAACAAGAGGAACAAGAGTGTACATACAGCAAACAAATGAAGAGAATTTCAGGTGCAACAAGGGCGATCCTTGCAGGCGATCCTAACAAGATAAAATTGAACAAAATGCAAGTGAGGATTTCTGATTTGGACACATTCTCAGGATTTCATTGGTTGACACCTGATTAAAGTAACCTTGGCTATGTATGTCAACACTGCCCTGAAAGGCACATTATGCCATTATGCTACTTTAATTCGTCTTAACACTTGGGTTTTATTGGTAAAGAGACTCCAGGATCTACTGGCTGGCTTTTGTGGTCTGAAGCTTGCTGATGATGATAAGTTAATATGGGTAGATCTGATGCAGCCGCTATTTCCCCTATCACCTCATGGCAGATGGCTCATTCATGGAATGCACATCACTAAGGTTTTGTAATGAGAGACAACATGTTGGCCATATCTAACCAGCAGTGCAGTTCACCTTCCTGCAAACTTATCGGGGGAGCTGAAATAACCTCCCTTATAGGGGCAACTTCACTCTGGCTCCCAGTGTTAGATCAGTAAATTAAATGATCCATATCTTTTCCCACTTGCTCATGTTAAAGGTGTGCTGAGGACGCACCTGACTGATCCATCTCATCCTGGCTCGACAACCATAGATCTGTAGATGTCATAAAGCCCCCAGGGCCTGAGAATAGCTCCTTTCTCAATATCTCTTCCAACCAGCTGGCAATGAGAATAAACCAGATAAACAACCCTTCACCATTAAGATGCTTCAGATACTCTGATCAGGGCAGCTTAGCTTAAAATCCCCACCTGGCCACACCAATTCTGCTAGTTTTAATTAGGGACAGGAGAGAAAATTATTTGTCCTTCCTGGAATACTATGCAAACTAAAATGCAGCTTTTCCATTGAAAATCCCACTTCTATGAGTTTTGTGATGCGGTTCTTCTTCTTCTTCAACAACAACAACATCATTCTCATATATATATATCAGGGGAAAGTCTCTCTACAGATAGTAAGTCTTCAGCATTAATCTCTGTTACTCGTTTCCCATTCTTGCCCTCTCCTAGTCAAATATAGATGGTCCAAATTCAGACTAGATTAGCAGACAAGACTTCCAAGCCAGAAAACATGTGTCTGTTTGGCATATGTGAATTTTACCATCTCTCTTTTGGAATTTAAACACTGATTATTCCAATTAGACATGAAGCTATTTGTTTCTCAAAACATACAACTATTAAGTTCTTTGGGGGAAGATTTATAACCATATGAGTGGATATGTTTTTCTCAGCCCAAATGTAGTTTTCTGCTTTGGATGAAAGAATGGAAAAATTCAATGAGCTTTTCTAGGATATTGGCTGAGTCTTCTGATGGTTTCTTGACCTGCCCAATCAATCTTGTTGTCAGAACAAACCTTCAGTGACTGATGAAGAAAGAGAATTCATCAAAAGTGATTCGCTATAAAGAAATTATGATCTTACTGTTACAGAAGTTATATGTTATTCACCCTTTGCAGTGATTCTTTTCTCTTGATGTATGCAGTCAGGGCTTTTTATTGTGTTCATTTTTTTATTTTTTAAAAAAAATAATAAACTCCAATTCAGCCTACATTGCTTTTTTCATTATTATTATGAGACTATATCATAAACGTGACAAGACAATAATTTAAAGCATAATGTGATCAGGGGCTATAAATTATATGTGCTGCAGCTGCAGTGATGCTTTATCACTTTTGTTGCTAATGGCACTGGCATTTAGCAGTGACATACCAAAGCTCAAGCAGTACCAGCATTCAGCTCCAGAACTTTTCATTTATTTTAGCCAAAGCAACATGGAATTGATGGTTTGGAGAGAGGTTTTCAATGAAATTTTCAAGCAGAAGTATGAAAACATAATATGCGATGCTTGTTTCTTTCCCTTCTGTCACACAATTATGTTTTATAAGATAGCACTTGCAATGCTAAATGCACAAATGCAGGCTTATAAAATAGTAGTGATCTTTTGGAAGCAGAAGCACAAAATATTTGCTGTTGCAGCAACAGACGAACACAGCTTCTTCTCTGATTGTTTCAGCTTGGTTAACAGTAGATAGTCTCAAGTGGCTGAATCCTGCCATGAATTACACAGTTCTGAATTAGGGCTTCTATCAAAAGAAAAAGCCTAGTGAGGGTACAGATTAAGGGAGGAACTTTAGGTGGAGGGGAGAGTACATTTGCACTTTAACTTCTGGAAGTAAGAGGAAACATCATGTTTTGATATCCTGTTGCAATAGGTTCTCTCTGTGAAATTACCACTTGGAATAATCAAGCGTGCCTCCAGAAGACCTGTTTATTGGGCTTTCACAATCGTGCTTTGCTTGTGCAGAGGCTGTGTGACCCACTGAAATGGAACATAAAAATATAATTTTAATAATAATAAACCTGAGGTACTGATTGATTTAGATTATTCGCATGCCACCTTTCCACAGTTGAGTCTCCATTTTCAATTCTTCCAATCTTAAATCCAGTTCTCCATATTTCTGAAGCTGTTTGCAATGTAAAAAAAAAATCCTGTGAAAATTCTTCAGAATTTTAGTGTGAATACCTCCCAATAAACAATTTTTGTTTGCAAATTATCCAAATACAGTGTAGTGTAGTGTGTTATTTACACCAATATATTCCTTTTATGCACATTCCTCCTAATTTACACATATTTTAAAGCATTGTTTAGTTGGAGACCCACATCACAAAGTTTAGATAAGTGTGAATTTTGAAGAATGGCTGTGTTTTAGTTCTCATATTGTTTCAGACAGTGCACATTTGATAGATTCAGCTTCAAATTTGAATAAAATCTCCCACCCATTTTTAGTCCAAAGTGGGCTTATTATCAAAAAGAAAACAAAAAACCAGTGGGAATTGTGGTGGAAGTTGCGGGGTGGGAGAGTAGTTCACAACATACCAATAAATTCAAGTAAGACAAAAGACAAACAAACCATAATTTAACCAGCAGAATAAATTAAATATTGTGAAAGAAACAATCTAAACATAATACATGAGTACAAATGTGTACAATTCACACATAGTTTTTTCATGTGTTCTTTTGGAGAGAGGGAGCGAAAAGGGAGGGAGCAGGCCTATGGTTGAGCAAAAGACAGTAAATCTGACATGATACATGGGCTAGTATGTCCACCCCTTTCAAGTTCTACATTTTTTTAAAAAAAATCATTATACCTGGGTGGGTGGGTGCGCTCACACACATATGCTTATGCACACCTAGTGGAAGATAAGCAGTTGCTGTGGATTCTATGTGTTTGTCACAAATGCATGAAAAGGACAAATGATTAAAGTGGTTAGGATTTTCTCTACTGCACAAGCTTTATTAGAAAATAATCTATTTTTTGAAAGAAAATATTTTCAAATAATACTGCTTGAAATCTTGAGTCAATTGCGCTTGATTAGTAATGTGTGATATGCAGAATAAATACTGCTCTATCTATTATAATGCTGTGGAGGCTAAAGAGCTTGTGGATTAAAGCAAAGTGTTCCATTTTTACAGAGCAACACAAGTAAGAGTTTGATCAGCTTATGCTGCTTTTCTAAAGCTAGCTAGATTGTTCAGGAGTAGGATTCCCTTAACACCAGTTTGTTTGCAACATAATCCTCTCTGTCATGCTTACTAGTGTTATCTCCAGCAGCCATGGGGTAAAAGCTTAGTCTAGCGACTTGAGACTAAGGTTGCAAGTCAGGAACTTTGGGTAATAAAACATACCTCATCTGTACAGCTGTGCTGTTGTCTATCTATTGGTGACTTAATTTCCTACCCCCTAAGCTGAGATGAAACACATTTTGGGAATTGTCATTACAAAGCAAAGTTGGCCAAACATTAATGAAGATTTCAGATGAATATAGGAGGAAAAACAGGATGTACATCTGGGGTAGTGACATGGCTATCAAATTAGGTACTAAACTGCTTTTAAAAATTAGTATAAAAGAAGTTGAAGACTGGTGAGCAATGTATCACTAGACCCCAATTAAGTAACTAAAAGAAAAGTGTAAATTAGGGGGAGAAATTTATCATGATAGCTCCTTTTATGCATAGGCCTTCTGGCTCCTTGAAGAAGGGACATTGAGGGAGAGGCCTCCCTTTTTGGAAAAAGCTGTAGCAGACCCAAACATCTCTAGGAAGATTGGGAAAGATTTTTGTCTGAACACCCTGGAAAACCTCTGCCAATCAATGCAGATCATACTGAGCTAGATGGACCAAAGGCCTTACTCTGTCTAGGTCAACTCCCTATGTTCCTATATTCCTATTTGTTTACCTTTCTCTTTTCCTGCTTATACACAGATCATCTCAGAGATGCATCAACATATATGCAGTAGATTCCCCCACCCCTAAAATAGTTGCCACAGTTCAGTTACGGATAGGCTGAAGGTCAAGTGTCTTAAATTTTGCATCTGATAGTCACCAGTAGAAGACAAACTGGGTGTGGGCATAGCTTAGTTTAGTTCAAATGACTTCGTGAGAAGGCAGTCTTCATCCTTTAGCTCTGTGCTACATAACATACTGCACTGAAGTCAGCTGGAAAGACTCCAGGTCACTCTGCAGGGCCCAGTGTAGTGCAGTACAGGGAGTGTGTCAAGCTTAGAAAACAGAAAGAAAGTTCTGATTCTTGCATAGCTAACTGCAGTGGGGCTCTTGGACAAATCTCTACTCTGCTAGATCTAAATAGGTAACTGTGGATGAAATTCCTTAGAGGATGCTGAGAGCAAAGGGAAAGACTTTTTGCCTTTGGAACTCCTCCTCTGTCCCCTTCTCTCTCTTTTTTTAAAATAATATTTATTAATAATTTCAAAATTACAGAAAAGAAAGAAAAAAATTAAAAACAACACTACAATACATAAGAAAGAATAAAAAAACACCATAAAAACCAATGCAACAATACAGCAAAAAGAAAAAAAGAAAGAAAAAAAAACACACAAATCCCATATTACATAGCTTTAACTTCCATTTGCTTGTTTCATTGACCTCCTCACACCTCCCTTTTTGTATTCTAGTTTGATTAGTTATTTCAGCAAATTCTTTCCATCTTTCTCAATTTTTATTAAATAATTTATCTTAACAATTTAACCTATTAATTAACTCAACAAATCCTTTCCATCTTTTCCCCATATTCTGTTATTCAAATTACCTTAATTTATTTAACCTTATCTTACCAAAAATACTTTAGAGCTTAAAGCTTAATACTCGATTATACATAATTCCTGATATCATTTCTACTAGAGTCATATAGTTTCATTCCAACATTTTCCCTAATATTCATTAATTTTAGGCTAATTCCCTAGAAAATTCCTATCTTCATCCAACGTCTCTTCTTCCTGGTCTCGGGTCGTGTCAGTCCTTACTGTCCATTCCATCTAGTCCATCAACCTGGTAATCTTATGTCCGAGGCCCTTAAGTCTCTTCCATGTCCCTTCTGCAGATCTTCTTCTTCTTGTTTATACTTGCACTTTTCCTTGTCTTTTGTTGGTCTCTTTCTTAATTTCTTTCCTTTCTCATTGAGGAGTAGGTCTCTGGGGGATTCCAACCCAAAATTATCTCCGTCTCCCTTCATCAAACCAGCCCATTCCCCACAGTCCCACTCCCCACAGTCATCAATGTAGTCCAAAAAATATTTAAAAGCATATTTCAAGGTCTCTCCAAAGTTAAGAACCTCCTCAGCTCCAGACTCCCCCTGGCCCACTCCAACTTCAATCTTCAAAGACAGCGGCTTATGCTCCTGTAGGGCCTCGGGTCTCTCCATTTGTATTGTTTGAGGTGCAACCGCAACCTCCTCCATTATCTTCTGCACTTGCCCAATCAGTACAGGTTCCTGAGTTGGTCCCTGAATGGTTTCTGTATCAATATTCCCTGTTTGTCCACAGTTATTAACCACAACAGTCATCAAATCCATTTTCTCATTCATCAAATCCATCTTCTCATGCATCTGTTCCAACAAGGCACTTGTCTTGCATAAAGCAAGCACCAAAACTTCCTCCCAGCTCATATTTAGTCAAGGTCAAAAAGGACTGGTCCCACGATCTTAATCTGACAGCTGTAGAGTTCTCAAGTAGACTGCAGCAACAATTTAGCAAGCTCCCTCTAGAGAAGACAATTTCTATTTGTATCCATTTTTTTAAGGCAAGTCCAACAAAGGAAAATTACTTTCATTTTTCAGATATTTTGTTTCTTTGGAATGCAAAAGGCAACATTGGAATCAGTTTATTTCTCTTCTTTAGCTGTCTGTCAAAGTATTCCATTCACAGTCAATGAACCTCTCCAACAATTTCTGTCTCTGACACCCCGTTCCCAGGTTAGAGACAGTGGAAACTTATCTTTCTTCACTCCCTCTCCTGCAGGCGTTAAACAAAGTCCCCCCCCCCTTTTCTCCTGCTTCCAAGGGGGTTTCAGTAGTTATAAATGAAGGAAATTTAGACTTTTTTAACGACTTTCCAGGCTTTAGCTTACAAGGTTTTTGCTTCAGTCTATATACAAAAAGCGGAAGGCGGACTTCCTGTTTTGAACCTTCCTGCTTCGGTGCCAAATTAAGATATTTCTTGATCCAATTTTCCGTTTCTACTCACGGGTACTTGTTTTAAATCCAATTGTCCACAGGAAAAAGTCAGCGCTCTCCGGCAATGGCTGTGCGGCTTCACTCCGTGAAAGTAGCAATCAGTTCGCAGCACCGCGCCGCTCACCCCACTTCACTCCGGAGCCCCAAAATGGGGTTCCCGGTGAGTGGGGGGGGGGAGCTCCTGGTGCCCTGCCGAACCCCATGTTCCCAGGCTTCCTCCGCCTGGGATTTCTAGCGGGTCCCCACCTTCGCCACGGCGGGAAGACCCAGTTTCCACGGAGCCAGTTCCTCCGGTTGGAGGAACTCCGCCATTCGCCGATGGCGCTAACCCAGAAGTCTCTTGTCCCCTTGTCTCTCAACCCCCTCATCTTTCTCTTTTGCCTAGCACCTGCTTCTACATTTCCTTACACTGGTATCCTCTCTCAAATATGTGGAAGTCTCATACATTTCATTGGCACACCCCTCTAAATAATCAGAATCAGACACAAGTTATAAGACAGGCTTAGGCAAACTCAGCCCTCCAGATGTTTTGAGACTACAACTCCCATCATCCCTAGCTAACAGGACCAGTGGTCAGGGATGATGGGAGTTGTAGTCCCAAAACATCTGGAGGGTTGAGTTTGCCTATGCGTGATCTATACTCCATAGAAGCAAATGGTCACATTCTCTCCCCCCCCCCTTCTTTTCCTTTCTTTCGTTTTGGTCATACAATTTACTGATTATTCTGGGTTAATTGGTTCCATGTACATTTACATTTTTTTATATAAAAAAACACACTATACAGATGTGTGACAACTCTGAATAACAGTTAAAACAAATTTGCTAAAACAATATATTGTTTTAAAACTATAATATATAGTTTATTTTACTATAAAATGATACAGTTGAATGCAGGAAATCTGATATTTAATTTGTACAAATTATGTGCATTGTATGTAGGATTGTTTTATAAATTTATTTATTTATTTATTTAAAGGTTGTTGTTTTTTTTTAAAAAAAGCTGGCTCTTCAACAACAACAAAAACACACCCAAAGCAGCATGACACAAACATAAAATGGACTGGTAGGGAAGAGGAAATAAGCAAACTCAGGTTCCAGTACTTTGTTACAAGTTCTTCTAATGAGATCTGGGATGGAAACAGTTCAAGGAGAGTAGATACAAAGTTTGCTTGTCTCTCAACTTCATAAGTGTGGCAGCCCTGCAGCCCTTCTCAATAGCCTTCTGCTTGACAGATTGCTTTGAAACTTGGCTTTAAAAATGGTAGAAGGCAGTAAATTTTATTCAGATGCACCTGTTTGCATAACTCCTGCACTGGTTGTCTATTTTTGAATACAACTCAAGAGTTTTGGTTTTTACCTTCAAGCCATTTACAGCTTGGGCCTGTGTATCTGGAAGAATGTCTGTTCTTCCCACGTCAAACTGCTTGTGTCAGATCATCAAACAAGGTTGTACTCCACATGCCCCGCCTTCTGAGGTGAGGTGGGAGGAAACTGGAGAGAAGACATTTTTATTGTAGTGCCCTGTTTATGAAATTTCTCTTCTCTTTGCTATCTTTTGATGCTAATCTTTAAAAAATAATAATCTTCCAACCAACACTTTTAAAGTTTTCAGTTTTGGAGCACAATCATATCAATATCTATTCTAAAGTAAGTCCCATTGAATTAAATGGGATTTACTTCCAGGTAAGTGTATGTAAGATTGCAGCTTTAATTGTTTTCACCTGCTGCTTTTAAGTGCTCACCTGTTCAGTCTTATGGTTGCTTACTTGTTATTTCTGTTTTGATTTGTAATTACTTTCTTCTTCTTCTGTGAACTGAATTGGAAACTGTTCATAATATATAAAATGTACAAAATAATTAAGTTATGTCAGTGGAACAGCTTTGATGTTTTACTACATCAGAAATTACAGAGATGTTAACAACAAGGTGCTTTTTAACCCTTTAGAATCCACCCTGCTTGAGGAAATATGAAAGGAAAATCAATGTCTTATTTCCAAAGGATTCCTGGTTCTCAAACATTAGATCTTATACTTTCCCCATAAATAAAGGAATGAAATTGCAATTGTATTCCTGGTTCTTTTTCTCAGAGTGCAAAACCACAAATTTTTAAAAAGTACAGTAAAAAGCTTTTTAGCTTTCTGCTCCAGATTCAGTAATACAGAAAGCCTTCCGTTTTGATTTTTGTTGTTGCCGTTATGGCTGATTCACACATGCAAGTAATTACTTGATGTGACAGTCAGCAGGCGATGATCATGCATGTGCTGACTGTATGCATATTTAGGGGGAGAATAAATAGTCATCCCAATGGAAATTACTTTTTTAAAAATATTGCTCAGTTCCATTAATAATACTGCACTTTCCCCAGAGCATAAACACAACCAGTGTTCGATTACACACCAGTGGATTTTTTTTCTAAAGGGAAATAATGTTGCTGAAATGCCTCTTGTTCCAATGATGGTTTACACTGTCATATTCACTGTTTTTTTTGTTTCGTAGATATATTTACGGTTCTTGGACTATGAAATGCAGAATTCTAATGAATGCAAAAGGAATTTTGTGGCTGTCTATGATGGAAGTAGCTCAGTGGAGGATTTAAAAGCTAAGTTTTGCAGCACTGTTGCTAATGATGTGATGCTGCGCACAGGTCTTGGAGTAATCCGCATGTGGGCAGATGAAGGCAGCCGAAGCAGCCGATTCCAGATGCTCTTCACATCTTTCCAAGAACGTAAGGCTTTATCAGGATGTCAAATGATTCAAGTCTCTTTTTTAAAAAACAAACAAACTTAATGGTGCTTCTTTCATACAGAGTGAGCACCCAAACATGAAAAAACCAAGTAGGATTTTTTTAAATATCCAATTCTCCACAGGTATAGTACCTGAACAAGAAAGGATCCCCCATATGGCATCAAGGAACCTGGATTTCTACCCTTGATATACACACTTGGTGATACATGCATCAGGTCTTATGGCAAATGAGCATAGCTGTCAACGTTTCCCTTTTTTTAAGGGAAATTCCCTTATTCCGAATAGGATTCCTCTCAAGAAAAGGGAAAAGTTGAAAGCTATGCAGATGAGGAGCCCAGGCATACATCCCAAATCCCCATCCATAGCACATGGGCTTTTCTCTGAGTTTGCAGAATGGAAGGGGAAGACAGGATGGGGATATGAGCAATGGGTGCTATCCTGCCATGTCCATGTTCATGAGCCATAGGGGAAAGACACTGTGGGGATTACTCTGAAGTCACATTCCTCTGAACTGCACCCACTGGATGGGGTGGCCAAAATGAAGTATGGATTTCTAATGCTTATGGTGACCTTTGTAATTTTGAACAAGCTATTAGGCCGCTCTCCTTATTTCCCCATATTATTTATATACTGAGGGTGGTATACAGAGCTTGTGCAAGAAAAAACTTGCAAATATTGTAGAATTATAGTGATGTTAAGCATTATTTGTTGATATCCACACTGATACTGTTATCTTTTCCATAAACGAATCATGCTGCAGATAATTAAGTTATATTTTTGTTTTCATTGTTTAAAGCAGACAGATATTGGCCACAGTATAACACACACTTAAGTCCCCTGAAATCAGTCATCTTAAGTGCAGTTAACACTGTAATGTCATCTCTTTCTAAAATCAGAAATACAAACTTTGTAGACTATTTCAGAAGTAGCTGCCATGTTACAGAAGTAGGCCATGTTTTGTGGTTTATAGACATGCAGTGTAATCTGGTTCATACCTATTCAGGAGTAAGCCATATGGAGTTCAATGGGACTTATTCCCAGGTAAGTGTATATAGGATTTCAGCCCTAATGTTCCATCTATAGCTCATAATACTTAAATTCATAAAACTTAAATTTCATGTGCTTCAAGACTACTGAAGTCAGCTGGGCTGTGCCAAATGTTATAGTGCAAGCATATATATGTCTGCTAGGAAGTGAATCTTAATTTTCAGTTATCTTACTCCTAGCCAGGTAAGTGTGTAAAGGAGTGTAGCCTTATTGTGCAATCCTATATGTTTACGCAGAAGTGTATCCTACCGAGTTCAAATGGGCTTACTTCCAGGTAAATGAGCACAGAATTGTACACATTTACTGTGCAGGGAGCTCCACTGAACTCAATGGGACTTACTTCAAAGTAAACATGCACAGGATTCATTGTTAATCAACTTCTTCAAGCTAACCTAATTGTGGATCAACTTAACATAAAATAAAATCTCATTTCCCCAACATCCCTGGGTAACGTTTCAAAGAATTTGATAATTAAAATCTGGGATGAATGTAAGCTGCTCCCAGAGCAAAGCAGGAAGAGCGATTGGAGGGGGGGAAAATCCTTCTATACCATCTGATTCACTTAAAGAGACTATTTTAAGACTAGTGGGATCTAAGGCGGAGTTAGGCTGTAAAATTTCCATAATGCATTGGTTCATGCAATAGCCCTGAATAAGGATGAAATGCATTTCAGTTTATTTTATTGAATAATTTCAAGTTATGTTTGTAATAGTTTATATTTGCGATATAAAATAATTTCACAGTGCCAGATTTATATTCTTTAAATTTGCATTAGCTGGGTATTTAGATCCTAGTTGGTAATTAGCTTGTCACTGTTGGGACTTATTTACTTTTTGCTCAGGTTAGGCCAAGAGAAAGTGAGTGGCCTAAGGTCATCCAGTGAGTTTTGTGCCAGTAGAGATTCAGTGCTAGTGCAATTTATATAGATAGTTACAATTAAAGCAAAATATTATGCTTAATAGAATAGAATACCTTTATTGTCAATGTACAACCTGTGTACAATGAAATTAACCGAGCCTCCCTCCCTCCCCAAACACTCAATCTCATTGCACTCTGTGTGCTTGTTGCACAACACACCAACCCCGAAAGTCAGTTGCACTGTATTATTTTCCGTTCAGCAGCCTAACAGCCCACGGATAGCAACTGTTTTTTAGCCTGTTGGTACAACTGATTATACTTCTATATCTCCTGCCCGAAGGTAGAAGATTAAAGAGGTGCTGGCCGGGGTGTGAATTGTTCCTGAGAATTTTTCTTGCTCTCCTAAGGCAACGATCCCTTGCAATGTCATCTAGCGGGCTCAGGGGACAGCCCATGATATCACCACCCGTTCACCACCCTCTGTAAAGACTTTCTGTCTGTGGCTGTGAAGCCAACGTACCACACTGTGATACAATATGAGAGGACACTTTCTATTGTGGACAGGTAGAAGGAGGTCATCAATTGTGGTTTAATATTGTTCTTTCGCAAGACTCTGAGGAAATGGAGTCTCTGTTGGGCCTTCTAACCACCTGAGTTATATTGTTTTTCCAAGTGAGGTCCCAAGAATTTAAAGGAAGAGACTCTTTCCACACAAGCCCCTCCTGATATACAACGGAGCTAGTTCCCCTCTCTTCCTTCAAAAGTCCAACACCATATCCTTTGTCTTGCTAATATTTAAGTGCAAGTTATTCTTTAAGCACCATGTAGATACTTTTTGAACCTCCTCCTGTACGCTGATTCATCTCCACCTGTAATTAGACCCATTATGGTAGTATCATCTGCAAACCTAATAATTACAGTGGATGGATCAGATGAAATACAGTCATATGTATACAACAAGTACAGGTAGGGACTCAGCACACATCCCTGTGGGGTGCCAGTGCTGTGCTTCAGGGAGGTAGATGTAACAGGCCCAGTCCTAACTGTTTGTGTCCAATCCCTCAGAAAGCCTTTAATCCATTCACAGAAAGGTCTAGTTCCATCAGCTTTTTGATAAGAATGTCTGGAAGGATGGTATTAAAAGCCGAGCTATAATCAATAAACAGCATTCTAACATAATTCCCCGGTCTCTCTAGATGACTCGCTGCAAGGTGAAAGGCTGTAGCTATGGCATCATCTGTTGACCTATTTCTCCTATGGGCAAACTGATGTTTATCAAAATCTGGAGGGAAACATGTCCTAAGGTTTTGAAGGACCAATCTCTTGAAGCATTTCATTACTACAGATGTTAATGCAATAGGTCTGTGATCCTCTAGGCAGTTAGTTGCTGTTTTCTTTGGCTGCTTTCAAACATGATGGAACACAAGCCGTTTGCAGAGAGATGTTAAAAATCCTTGTCAGGACCCCTGCTAGTTGATCGGCACAGTTTTTTACCGCTATCCCCAGCACCCCATCTGGACCAGCAGCTTTACTGGGATTCACTGCCCTCAATGCAGCTTTCACTTGATGGTCATATAGAATAAGGGGCTGAGGGTTCTCTGAATGAGAAGTGGTAGTCCCAAGGTGCAAATACCAGCAAACTGACTAGCATGAAGCCTACCTGTGTTTAAATAAATGCATAATCATTTGACATGAAATCTCCTCTGGCATTTTGTGTGTGACTGAGAGCAAGTCTCTGAAGATACCTGTTTTAGAGCATCATATTCACTAAATTTGTACTGGATATTTATTTATTTTTGAATCTGATGCATCCTGTTGCACAGGAATTGTGTTTCTTCCTGTTCTTGTATGGTGCAGATTGAAAAGTAATTTAAGCTGCTATTCATAAATCAAGCTGGCTTCAGAAATAATACTCTGTATTACTCTGACGCCATTGCTGTTTGTTTATTTCTGTGTTTGAAGCAATCCTGAATATCCAGAATCTGATTCATTTAAATCAAAGGCATCATATTCTGTTACCTTAGAAACAACCCTGACGGCATTGGGGGATTCAGTACTTATGAAAAACTGAAGCGTAAGCACACGGTCACCAGTTCATGCTTGGGATGTAAGTGAGAATATTTTTACAGGGCTTTCAATTTCAAAAAAAGAGCACAGGAATCTTCTTGTTTTCTGCTCTTGAGAGATCCTCTAAGGCATTGCTCCCACCTCAGCTGTATGTTTTGAAACAAATAACATTTTCTTTATATAAATACTTGTCACCAGGTATTATGTATTATTTTGCTGGTTACTATTCCAGTAGGCACATGCTCTTTTCAGGGCATATGACCATCTTAGCCAAAGTTTACAAGTCACTTGCATTTTGGAGCCATATTGTTACCTGCTTGACTGTGCTTTGTGATAAACCCACAGCATTCAGTTTCCTCGGACCACAGCGAAATCTGTATGTGTATTTTGGCAGATCTGGTCTGAAGGATTTAATGACACCATTAGTTGTTTCTGTGTCAGTTGTACTGAATATTAATTACAAATGATGTGTGCTAGGAAATAAAGCAGATGACTGATATGCCGCCAGGGAGGCTTGCTGTATTAATGAGAGCAAAAGTGTGGGAATTTCTGCTTCCGTAGGCACACACCATTCTTCAGGGGACTTCAGGGGAGAGAGAGAGAGAGAGAGAGAGAGAGAGAGAGAAGGTTCGGACCATTCAGAGCAACAGTAGTGACAGATGGCATTTCACTGTTCTATCAATTGTCTTCATTAAATGTTGCAGTTTGATAGAGCTCAGATAGACGCAGAGGGAACAGGATGGCAGGGGAAGGCTGTCTTAGCTGCTATTTCAAAACACATTTAACACTCTTTCTTTTAGTAACACCCCAAAACTGTAGTTACATCTGGAGAAATAAGCCCCAGGTACTCTTTAACGCTCAGTGCAACATTTGTTATCCAAATGGCCTGAAGAACTGTTTACCAAAAGTTGAATCGGGACTCAAAAATACTCACTAAAGTGTTCCTAGCAGCAGGGTTTGTTTGTGGGTGGGATGCCATGCGGGGAGAAGGGATAAAAACGCTCCAGTCACAGTAGCTCCCTTAGGAGTATGACTGGTGCTGATATTGTCATTATTTTGACACCAAGTTAAAATCTGTTTTCCTGTGCATTCAAAGGGCTTTTAAGTTGGTGATAGTTTAGCTCATGGTGCTGCTTTAACTGCCTTTATTTGTCTTTGATTATTTGTTTAATAGCTGGTCATCATATGATGCTTATCTCATGCTCTGAACTCCACTCTGGTGTCTGTAGAAATGTAGGGTTGGCTATAAATATTTCAAGGGAAAAAAAAAGGGGGGGGGAGCTTAAAACCTAAAGGATACATGTCAGCCCAGATGGTTTTAGAATTCATATCCTCCTTCCTTTTTGTTTCTCAGCATTTCTGTTGATCACTAAATGGAGGAAGACATCTTCAGTGCATAGTGTAGGACTCTAGAACTTTCCCTTTTTCCATGGACCAAGAAAAGCCTCTGTGGTCATTTCCTCCTTCAACTTTCATGGAAATGAAGCAACACTGAAGCAGTATGGAAGGACACAAGTATTGAGGAATGCAGGATATGAGACGTAGGCAGTGGCCAGGAATATATTTACAGGTGTAGCCATATTGGGAAGGGTGCACACCTGTCTGAATGGACATCTGTGTCTGTGGATGAATGCCTGTATTTTTGAACTGCTGTTGACATATGTGAATGGTAATGGTAATAAGGAATATCTGCTTTGATATGTGTCTGCAAATGAGTGTTAAAGGACAAAATGGTTTTGTAATTGGGCCAGAGCCCTATCACCACTCCATATTTTCACAAGTATAATCGGCTATATCCAGTGTTTTTAATGCAGGTACGCGGGGGTACGCATACCCCTAAATATTTTGTGATTCTAAGTTTGGCCTCATTGAGGGTCAGTATTTCAATATGAGTAGGAAAATGAGAGTACCCCTAAACATTTCTTTTTTTAGAAAAAAAAGAAGCACTGGCTATATCAAATCTGGCTCCAACCAACAGTACCCTTTAACACAATACGTAAATGTCACACACAAAAAGTAAAGATAGCTATGATGAGGCATAAGAAACATTCCAAAATCCAAAGTAGGGCAGTATCTTTATTAGGCCAACCAGAATGTCACAAAATAGGGTGCAATTTTACAGGTTCTCTTAAATTCTCCATCAGGCTGGGTGGTAAACAAAGCAAGAGGAGGAAGTGGGGTATATAGACTATTGGTAAAATCATGGGTCTGCATGTTGTGCAAATAATAACAGTCTGCAAACTGCAAAATTGTTTATCTTGTGGTGAAATGCATGGATTCCATGTGTTTTTGGAAAGAGACTTAGAATTATTGAATCATAGAATTGTAGAGTTGGAAGGGGACCCAGAAGACCATTTAGTTCAGTGTGAATTCTCCCTTCATACGTTATAAAGGAAGCATTGCCAGAGGATGCACAGTTCACTCATATAGCTCCTGTTGATGATACTACGTAACATCAGTTTCTGTCCCCAATTTTAATGTTCCAAGCGCTATCTAATCCATTTAACTAAACTTACCATTTCCATGGACTTAGGACGTTCTACATGTGAAAAACTTTGATGAATTATTTGAAACATTTGTTCCCACTACCTGAAATCAAAACCTATGGTAAAAGGTAAAAAGGTAAAGGACCCCTGGATGGTTAAGTCCAGTCAAAGGCAACTATGGGGTACGATGCCCATCTTGCTTCAGGCCAAGGGAGCTGACATTTGGCCACAGACAGCTTTCCAGGTCATGCGGCCAGCATGACTAAACTGCTGCTGGTACATGGAAACACCATTTACCTTCCTGCCGCAGTGGTACCTATTTATCAACTTTCACTGGCATGCTTTTGAACTGCTATGTTGACAGAAGCTGGGACAGAGCAACGCGAGCTCACCCTGCCACATGGATTCGAACCACCGACCTTCTGATCGGCAAGCCCAAGAGGCTCAGTGGTTTAGACCACAGTGCCACCCACATCCCTGATTGAAATCTGAGAAGTAAAGAGAAGAGGAATGAGGTGACATGCCTCTTTAAATTATGACACTTCAAAATTGTTCTCAAAAATATTATAGTTGTTTCCACCACCCCCACTTTCTTCTTCCCTTTGTCTGTTTTTCAGTCTGATTAATGACAGACATGCTACATCCACAGCTCCCCCAAAGCGCTTAACTTCTGAGCACAAACACCTACACTTAAATCTAAAGGAAAATTATTACATTGGTGGCATGGGGATCAGAGGAAATCCCTTTATTAGCACCACAGAACAGACATCCATTCTATTACCTTTGACAGCTGGTTAGCAGTAGTCAGTCTCTTGATACCTATCATTTGAACAGTATTTGACCTTCTTGCCACTTAGAAGAATTGCCTTAAGCTCACTCTTATCTGGAAGCCTAATTTCTTCAGCCATTTATATATATATATAAAATTTGGCGTAACTCTTAAGTTCTCACAGTTTTGCTATCACTAAGAAAATCCAATGCATGCTGAACTTGGAACATTGTTAGCTTCTGTGTCCTTTGTTTCCAGTGTACTATTCATTTTGGAAGAAGCAACTTTATAAACAGAGGATGCCGTTAATTCTTGTTCTTGATGTTAATGGAAAAACAAAATAATGATGATCTTTTTTAAGCTGAGCGCATCAAAATGGGATAATTACCAGGAACCAAGAATGTTTCAGAGCCTCTTCAGGTATACTTTATTTGCATCCTTCTATAATATCATAGGAAGAGGAACTTGTTAATCTCCTCCATGGAGAAAGATGCCTGAGCTTCCACTTCACACAGGGACCACAGAAGTGTGGAAGGAAAATGCGTAGCACAACTCATGTGCACATCATCTGCATAATGTGAAATCCCAAGAAGGAATTTGATCAAGTTCCTACTATGAACTATTGAGGGTTCTTGTTTTATATGGCTCTAGAACTCTTTTATACCCCTTTTATTCTCTAGCAGCATGAGTTCTTCAGTTATGGTCATATTGTGGAAAGGATCATCCAAAGCATTCATTGCTAAAGCAGCAACTCCATGAGTACAATTAACACTAATTTATTTTAAGAATCAAGGACATCACCATTTTCACACACAATTTGTGAGAAAGAGAGAAAGGAAATTTGAAGTCCATTCAAATTATGAGGTCACATTTGAAGTCATTTAGTCCAACCAATTGCTGATGCAGGAAATCCACCACTGCTGTATCCCTGATAGGTGGCTATGTGCTTAAAAGCCTCTAACAAAACCACCACCTTCTGTGGCAGTCTGATTTACTGCCAATCTGTCTTGGTCCAGCAGTTTGGGAGGAAGTTCTTTGTTTGCTCATGTATTTGGTGAGTTGTCAGAAATAAAGCCCTGCAAATATTTGAAGACTATTACATACTCATAGGGCTGAAACCAGAAATAGAAAGAGAGGGAAACTCCAGTGGACTTGTGCAGTGGACTTTCCTGGCTCCTCATTTTCCTGCATTGTCAAAAAACATTCCCAAGGGTCAAGGGAACTGCTGGGAAAGTGAGTGATGGGGCATGGGGAGCTGCATTGGAGCAGAGAAACTGGAGTAGAAGTTCCATTCTGATCTTGCAAGATGTATCTTGATCCAATTTTGGATCAAATACAACAATGTATTTTATGCATGCTAATTGAAAAATATTTGGTAATGAATTATTGTAGCGAGGGGGACATACGTTAGAAACTCAGAAATAAGTATTTGGACACCCTTTCCCTGTATAGTGCCCCTCCCATATATTTTGGACTACAGCTTCCATCGGCCTCAACCAACTAGGGCACCAGTTTGAGGAAAGTTGCAGTAGGGCATGCTCTTCAAAGAGTGACTGTGCAGATATAATGCTGATTTTGATTAGGCTTCGATATAACTTCTGAAAACAGAATTACAGTTCATTGTTTGCTGTATTGTTCTATATGAATTGAATAGGTTCCAGGAAACACCTTTATTAAATTGGAATTTCACTGCATTAACTTACATTTTATAACATTATTCTGTTCTATGAAAAGATTTCTTCTGCACAGGGAACAAGATTGAAATTCAAAAGCACCTAGATAAAATAGAAGGCTGGGCAGAAAATGAAATAATAATTCAAGGAAGACAAGTATAAATGACTACATACTAGGAAGGAAATGTATAAAAGTATAAGCCCTAGCACCCCATAAGGATGACCTAAATCTGAACCTTCCATTACTCTGTTTGATACTATTGATGATGGTTATTCTCTCCAAGTCAAATTATAAGAACAAACCAGAATCTTTGTTAAAGAATGTGGCATAGATAACAATCAAGGGAGTATAAAAGATACAGGTATTCATGTTATGGAGGAGAAACGAGACATCTCCTCACCTGTAGCTGCTCTTTATTTCCATAAATAGTCAACCACCTACAGAGGTGGATTTAGGAGAGTGCAACTGGTTTGGTTGCACTTGGTGCAGAGCCCTGGGGATGCTGCAGGGGGTGCTTCAACAATATACAATGGAAGGTGTATATTGGCATTGCACAAGACATCACTGAAATTTGAGACCCCAAGTTCTGCCACTGCTACCTACCACCATTCCCCTACTCTTCTCCTACATTTCCAGTGTTGGCTTCATAACACCGTGTTACCTGAAAAATTTGCCTTTCCCTTTCCACTGCATTAAGTGAGGCCCACTTAGTTTTGCTGTGCCCTGATAGTTATCTGTTTGTGGCAACATGGAGGCAGGCTGGTGGTGCCAGTGTTGTGAAATGCCCTCTCTGCTGAGATATTAAAGGGTTCATCCATATTAGCATTCTGTTGGCTTTTGAAAGGCACAGCATTCTCTTCAGCTTCTTGATCCAACTCTTTTAATTACTTTTTAAGTGTTTGCTTTTTATGCTTTTTAATGGGCTTGTTTCATTGTACATTTTAAATGTGGGGTTTTTTTTAGATCTGGTATAAATATAAGGGCAGTTTCAGTACTGGTCAAAAATGGTAGCAGCTTTGAAGCTGAAGTTTATTAGTGTGAAACACTGAAGGACTTAGGCAGAAGCCTCAAGGGAATCAGGAGAAAGAGTGGAGGTTGATAGCTGAAGGGAAGCTGAAGATCCAACATAGGATCTGATAAAACTGGGGCAAAGAGCTGAACGACGTGTCAAGTAGTGAGCAAGGCTCTGTGCAGCTGGTTGTTGGGAACCTGAGGCAATAGTTGTTGCTGGACCAGTTTGAAAATCATGGCTGCACCTTGAGAGAAGCCTGAAGGACTTCCGAGTGAAGTTGAATAATACATACAAAGTCCTCCTAGCTTTGTGACTTGTATGTTTCCTGGGGAAGGAGAGTGATAGGGTGATTAGCAAGGACTTGGTTAGGGGGTGAAATTGAAATTGTGCATAGCTACCTTCTAACAAGGACAGTAACACTATTATGCAGTGCTGTTGTTCAGAGTAATAGTAACTGAGTGAAAATATAAGGCTTTTGAATTGTATACTGTGGAGAAAAAATGAGGAGGGAAATATAAAAATTGAAAGGTAAATGTTCTATTTTTAAAAGTGGAAGTTAGCAGTAATAAAAATTGTGTGTGTGTGTGTGTGTGTGTGTGTGAAACTGATATCAACAGTGTATTTGTGACTGATGGGGAAAAACACAAATAGGTCATCAAGGTGGCTATGCAGTGGTTAACAGGATCCAGACCTGGAACACCACTCATATTTTTAATCACTGTCCATTGGGAGAGATTTAAAAAGAAACAGCTGTGGGCAAAGGCTGCTGTTTTTCTTTCAACGGGATGATCAGATTAATTCGTATCCTAAGGGCTAAATTACAATTTTGGATCCTCTAGAGTAAGTTTGCCACCTTGTGTCTGATGTTTGCAACAGAACATAATAAGAACTACTGTACTGGATTAAACCACAGTAATGTCTAATTCTCTCTAGTAGTGTTGAGCAAGAAGCCCCTGGGAAACTCACAAACCATCATCTGTGGTTTGTAGCCAACATCTGCTAATCAAAGCTATCCCGCCTCTGAACATAACCCTCTAATTCCCATTTGCTTGCCTTTATCACCTAATTGAAAAGCTTCCACTATTTAGCTTTTATTTAGAAAAAAAGTTCATTCTCTATAATAATTCTCTTTACTCTCTTTGAATTGAGATGAGCAACAACTGTGATACAATATTAGAAATGTAGTTGTGTGGTATATAATGATACCTAAATTCCTTTCCTAATAACTCCTAGAGCTGAATCAAAATTCAGGAATTGGGGAAAAAAGAAAAAAAGGAATTGCCTTTTCAGCATCCTTCCCATTATTTATTTCTATTTAGTTTGTTTATTACAACTACATAGAAGTTCCATAATGGAGGTTCTCTAGCCATCTCACAAAGCAAATAAGCAAACCACATTAAAGTACACAATTGAACAATGTAAACTATGGCAAATTTATTTTATAAGTAGATAAAAAAAAATTGAAGCTACTTATGTACAGGAACTGCATGGTCATGCCATAATTTATTGCAGAGGCTTTCTCTGTCCAATAAAAAAATGATTTGCCTGAACTATACATTATCTACAATCACATGGTACATAAATTTAATTGACATTGAGGAATCGTGCAAAATGTGAGCAATTTCACAAAACATGAAAGCATGATACTGATTATGGTCCCAATATCTTTGTTGTACATCATCACAAGTAAATTTAGTCCCAAAAGCAAATAGGTGAAAGTAGGGGTTTGGTCTTAGTTGAGAATGGAAAAACTTTAAAAAAATTATTTCAGTTTCTCATTTTTCCAATCTTAAATTCAGTTCTTTTCTGCAGGAATTTGTGATGATGGTGATGATGATGAATTTTTAAATCTTCATTAATTTTCTGCATTGTAGTGTGAATTTCTTCTAATAAACCCTTTCAGATGCAGTTTTGACTAGTGTGCACATATTTGCAAACAATTTCTCTTAATATAATGCATTTCCCCCCTATTTCTGACATGAATATATTAATCTTATGCACATTTCCCACCAGTATAGGAATTTTTGTAAACATTGGTTGGTTGGATAATTGCATCCCAAATTTTGGATAAAAGCATTCAATTATATATTTTTTTAAAAAGATTCTAATTATTTGTCCTTGTGCTGCCTGTGGAAATGATAGCCAGTATTACTGTACAATCTAACTCTGTGAAGAGAAAAATGGATTGTCATTCTGAAGGTATAACCTTAACTTAGATCTGGGAACTTTCTATTGCTGAACAATCTCCACTGGGTTGTAAAATTCTCATTGAGGACATTGGATTTCCCTGTGAAGACTGAAATGAAGTATATGGCCTCCAGTAACACTTTCATCTTGGGGCTTTAGTAATATTAGCAACTTGATTCTACCAGTTTGTGAGCCTTAGGCAACTATGCTTTGCCTTCTGCTCAGGGACTGTGAAAATCTTTGTTCCTGCAATATCAGAAGGGCAAACATTTATTGTAGCTGTACTTATTATAAAATATATGTGCTTGAACATGCCACTAAAGGACTCCTTATGACGAGCTATTCAACTCTGTTAGTTCATTGACCCCAATTTTTTCCTACAAGCATTGCATCCTACTGAGGTCAGTGGTGAAACTTACTGCTTTGAATTCCATAAAAGCCTTATTATTACCCCTTCTCTCCCATACACACATATTCATAAAGCCAGCTGGCCATTATAAGAACTACAGTTTAAGAACTGGGGCTGGAATTTGATTTTTCCCACCTCTTCCTTTCCTGTTCCTTCTCCCTTGTGCGTCATGTTTTTTTAGATTGTAAGCCTGAGGGCAGGAACTGTTTTAAACTCATAGAATTTCAGAGTTGGAAGGGACCCCAAGGGTCATGTAGTCCAACCCCACTGGAGGTATCACTTTTCACTTTGACCTAAACTCATACCAGTATATATTCTTTGTGCATGTGAAGGTGGTCTTAGTCTGTTGCAGCAAAAAGAGAATAGATAATGATGATTAATTGATTTATTTATACCCCGCAGCTTACAGTTAAAAATAAGAGCAGCTGAAAACATAGAAAAATAATAATTAAAAAACAATTAAACATTGCTAAAAAAATAATAACACAGTGATTCAAATGTTTAGACTCTATGCACAGGAATACAGCACACAGGGCACAGATCTCCTTCTCTGACTGTGAACTCCATCGTAGGCTCAGGTTGTATACATCTATAAATAAACCATATATCATAAAGACACCACAGTCTCTACTGTGCCTCATTCCATAAGGAAACATGAACCCTGGGTAAGTTTCTGGAACCTCATACCGCTTGGAGATTGGCGTGGTGTGCAGCCATTTGAATGGACAAATATTGAAACTAGTTAGACACTTGAATGGAGTCTGAAAGCAGCCAGTGTTTCTACATGTCCTTGTTTGATCTGGGCATTCACTCCTGCATTCCAAGGTCCTGTACTCATGAAGCCTGGCTGCTATGTACCGAACTCATGACTTCGAGTTCTGTAACTGTGAACCTTTGCAATTCATTTTGGCATTTAATGTGAGTTGTTAGGGCCATGAATTGTATATTATGAAATGGATTTTGTGCTGAGAAATTCTGAAGTCTATATAAAGGATACAAAGTAAGTAAATCTGCATTACTTGTTCTTTCATATTTTCTGTTTCTGCTAATCATGGTAAAGAGTTTTTTATGTAGATGTTTTGCTTATGCTGGTCTATGACCGTAATAAAGGACTTGACTTGTAAAGAGTTACAGAGGACAGAGTGAAGCCACTATATTTGAACTCTCTCTCTATTTGGGACCCTTTATGTTCTGTGGGATTACACTAGAATTATCTACACACTTTCAAGCCTCTATTTACAATTACATGGGCTAAACACCTTTAAAAAAAGAGTTGGAAAATCCAGGTTCTGCTTTACGGTGTGTTGGATTATATGACATCTTTATTGGTATTGAATGGGAGGCTGAAAATACTCTATGAGTCCTACTGATGTGTCTTTTCTTCCTTTTTTTTAGCCCCCTGTGAAGCCAACACATTCTTTTGCCATAGTAACATGTGTATTAATAATACATTGGTCTGCAATGGACTCCAGAACTGTGTGTATCCATGGGATGAAAACCACTGCAAAGGTAATGCATAAGTTTAGGGACATGGAATTAGGAAGATGCTACTTTGTGCTCATTAGTGCCATGTTTTCTTTGCTATCAAGTGGAAGTTGACTGTGATGAATGTATGCCACTATTAAATGGGTCCTGCCAATCAAACTCATGATAGTGATGGGATTCAGGTAAACAGTTGATAGATAAAGATTGTATAGCTATATAGAACAAAGCCAGAACAGGGATTGATAAATGTAGAGCAACGGGGAAGCTTTAACACAGTAGTGACAGAAAAAGATGCACAATTATTTGCTTCATGCATCTTCTTTCCATTCTGTCTGAATGAGCTCATGTATTTCAGATACACATTTCCTATCACGGGCTGGACCTAGACACATCAGAAAAGCATGTTGTAAACATCAAAGTGGGAAATCATGTTGGAGAAAGATGGGACTTCACAGTGCCATCTGGTGTCACAGTGTAATAACGCATATAAAACGCTTTTTCTTCCTAATGTAGCTGAGTCCATAGTATCTGTCCCTTTCAACACGTAGAACCCCTCCACACAATTCACACGTGATGCAGACTAAACAGACTTGTCGCATAAATTGCCTTCTCCTTTTGAAAAGTGGTGCTGATGATGTTACCAAGTCTTCATGAAATGGTTCTAAGACCTTGAAACTAATCTGTAGCTGCAGCAATAGCAGCAGCAGCCTACTGTGTCATGGAGATACATTTTCAAATATCATGCTGATCACAAGTAAAGGTGCCTGCCAGCAAGTCAGCAGCTATCAATATTTGCTCTAAAAATGCATTTCATTTCAGAGCCGTGTCTCCTAGGGATATCAAGCTGAATTAAAAGTTGAAACATATTCACAGCATGCCATGAAATGCTGTGTAAATGAATGCCTTGTTCTTGAAAAGTGGCAAACATCACCAGCTTATTTCTTCTTTAATTAGGAAGTATAGTACGGAGGCGGGGAGGTTAACTACCCCATTAGGGAATGTATGAATTCTGTATCCTGTTTTTATTTCCCCTTCAGATATATTCGCTCTGTAACTGGTAGCTCTTAGGACTGGGTTTAGGAGGCATTAGCAGTCAGGTGTAATTAGGAACTCATTGTGTGCAGGTCCCAGACATATGAAAGCCTACGTCTTTTCAGACGTAGTGACACATGCATAGTTGTTAGAATCAGGAACATGATATTTTGGCAGGACCAGTAGGCATGGCCCTCCCATGGAATGCCCTCCCATCAGTTGTCAAAGAAATAAACAACTATGTGACGTTTAGAAGACATCTGAAGGCAGCCCTGTTTAGAGAAGTTTTTAATGACTGATGTTTTAATGTATTTTTAATCTTTTGTTGGAAGCCACCCAGAGTGGCTGGGGAAACCATCTCCAAGCATTTATCCATCTCCAAGCATTTAGTCTGTACATGGAGATAAATCTCTGTGTGAACCTTATGTGCTGGCCTGATATTTTCACTGTGTGAGTAAGGATATAAAGGACAGATCAAACAGGGAATCACATACCTGGCTGTTAAAATGGCTTCCTTCAATGAAAAGGGTTTCATGGCATACTGTCTGCTAAGCCAAAGTGTATGTATGTAAGTTTTTCAGTCCTGTCTTCATAGTGCCTTTGCACGGTTCAGGACATCTTACAACAATTTAAAATCACAATAGGATATAAAAGTGCATAGTCAAATAAGTAAAAAAATGCAACAGAGGCAGGGACCACAGATAAACACACCAATGCCTATGTTCAAATTATCACAGAGCTCCTGATAAACCTTTCGGTTTCGTTGTTTAAAGACCATTCAGGAATACTTCACAATTTTTCTAAAGAGCTAGTTGTAAAGCTACTCTGCGCCCTCATCTCCTATCCTTCTGCATCTCCTATCAGTTTGCGCCTTAACTTTCCCCAAGGAAGTAATTTAATTTCCACATACTTTTCTACTTATTTCTGTGTGTTTTGTTTTCTAATATGCTAAGCACATTAAGAGACTTGATTTATCTCTGTTCACAGAACTTAGGGTTGCATTGACTCATATTCCTTAGGCATTCTAGTAATAAATAAATTATAGTAAGGGCCAAATATTGATTTTTTCCCTTCCTGCAGGGAGAAGAAAGCATCCAGCCACTTTAAGCATTGCTACTTATTTTAAATTGAAAACATTTTTAATGGTATATGATATCACTCTGAATGAATAGAAATCCTTCACCATTTTAGTTTGCTGTGCAAAGAATTGATCTTAAACATAACATTCAACCTTCTGGGCAAACCTTCTGGGCAAAAAATATATTCCTTTGCTGGGCTTTTTTTAAAAAAATATAGAGCTGTTATGTCATTCATGGGATGTGACTTATATTTTTCACATTTGATTTAAATCCAGTCATTGATTAAGATTGGTCAATACATGACACTGATTCAGGGAAGAAATTTCGCTATCAATTGGAAACTGTAGCTTAGGGAGCACAAGAAGCTGGCATAAAGCAAGCTGGCACAAGTTGAGCCAATGTAAAGTTGGACCAGATCCAAACCCTGTTCTGGAGCAAGGATATTGACAGCAGAGCCAGCCCAAGCTAGAAGGAAAACAAGCCTTTAAAATATACAGTAGTTTGACTTGCACTACCTTTTCAGCCAGGTCACGTGACTGAGCTGAACTGAGTTAGGCTCCTGCTCAAGTCCTCCCTATATGGTCCTGTCCCCCACCCTCCAAAAATGCCCTTTTAAGGAGAACTTACACTAGTTATAGTCTCTGGGTTCAACCTTTCACATAGAGCTATGAGGTAGACTTGAAAGTTCACTGCTTTTTCCTGGCCAGCATTCCTCTTGGACTGCACTCCTAGTTCTCCCCATATCTTCACACCAGTGGTTCCTCCTCCCATTGAGAGGCACCTGCAACGGTAGTTTCAACAGAAATGTGTCAGTGAGTCATTCAGTCTAGTAGACTTCTCAGTTTTGTGGGCAAAACCTCTGTTTTTCTTATAATAAAACTTGGCAGTAGTTTGAAGACAGTTCAGCATATAGTGATAATCACATAGCCAGTGGAGCAGAGCAAGTGCAATTTATGCTACCAGAATGAACAGGCTGAGACAAGAAGCCTGTGAAGATTATCCTTTGGGTCTAGAGCAGTGATGCTATGAAGATCTATATTTATGAAGCTTGGAATGTATGATATAACAAAAAGGTATGCAACGGCTCATAGTAAAAGATTCCCCCCCCTTTACTTGAAATCCTATTTGTAATAATTCTTGCTTTTCCACCTGAGACAGGTGAGTGTTAACTAATACCAGTGATTTCATATATATCAATGTTAGTAGCTGAGATGGTTTTCAAGGATAAGGAAGCATTCCTATTTAAATTACCGCAAGCTGCTGCTAGTTCGCATACTGAAGGTTGTCATCATGCACCCAAAAATATCGCTAATAAGCAACTCACACTAGACAGCAAAATTACAGCTATAACCAGATTATATTGTCAAACTTAGGGTGCTTCCAGACAGGGGCTTAATAATGTAAATAGATCACTGAGATGGCTTTTTTTTTTAAACTTCTTAGATTCTCAATGGAAAGGGTAAATCTGGATTAAATTGGGAGGATACTTGCTGAAATTTTGATGACAACATCATTTGGATGCTGCAAGAAATTTCCATGCTTGGAAAACACCAAATCCACCAACACTCTCCAAAAAACCACTTGTCTGGAAGCACCCTTAGTTATTTTTGTTAGGTCCTTTGAACATTTTGGTAGAGAAAAGCAGGGCAGAAATACTTGAGATAGAAAAATCGAAAGGTTCCTTCCTGTAACTGCACGGTTTCATGTGAATCCCACTATAGAGGTAGATCAATTTTCCAACTGCATGAATTAATTTGGCACTGTGAATCACCTCACCATCAAGATAAAGGATTGTCCTGCCTATTCAACTTTCTGTTCCAGTTAGCCATTCTTATATTAGCTTACAAAGAATCATGGTGATAATTGCCAAAAGCAATGTGGCAACTATTTGTTTACAAAGAATATTAATTCTTTCTTTCTTTGTTTTTATGTTTCCCCATCAAACAGAAAAAAGAAAAGCCAACATACTGGACCAGCTTACCAATACCAGTGGGACAATAATTGGGGTGACCTCTTGTATTGTGGTCCTCCTTATCATTATCTCTGTTATAGTACAGATCAAGCAGCCTCGTAAAAAATATGTCCAGAGGAAAGCAGACTTTGATCAAACAGTATTCCAGGAGGTGTTTGAGCCTCCTCACTATGAGTTATGCACTCTTAGAGGGACAGGAGCTTCAGCGGACCTTGCAGACGTTGCAGATGACTTTGAAAATTATCATAAACTGCGGAGATCATCTTCAAAATGCATTCATGACCACCACTGTGGATCACAGTTATCTAGCACTAAGGGCAGCCGTAGTAACCTCAGCACAAGAGATACGCCTATCTTGACAGAAATTCAACCCCAGCCTGTAAAGCCTCTCATACAGCCCATGAACAGAAGAAATATCCTCGTAATGAAGCATAGCTACTCACAAGATGCTGCAGATGCGTGCGAGATAGATGAAATCGAAGAGGTACCAACCACGAGTCACAGGCTATCCAGACATGATAAAGCTGTCCAGCGGTCAGTATCAATAGATTTTTGATGAAGACTATTGTATGAGGACTGGGTTCAAGCCTAACTCTTCCCTCTTTATTTCTCTAATTTATATCGGTTCTTTACTTTCTTTTACTTTCTAAGATACATTCACATAGCTTGTGATGAGCTTATCTGTAGCAATTGCTCTAAAAGGAGTGCTGGGAGTTATCATGCAAACACTGCATGGAAACAGCAAAGGCAGAGAAACTGCTTGCCAAGAATCCAAAGCTGTCCTGGCAAACGTTTATATCCTCAGACACCGACTAGCGGTTGTCACTCTGATCCATGACAGTTTTGCATGGGAACTCCTTCGCAGCCATAGTTGAGAACCAGATCAAAACATGCTGTGTGAATGTGCTTCTTGGACTCTTTCTCGCTCTGCTTGTTTTCACTTCCGGGCCAAATTAGATGTGAAACAGGAAACCCATGTGAAGGATTGCCTATGCAGTTGCAGCTTTGGGATCACACCTAGTGCTGCTGTTCTGCTAGCACATGAGGCTTCTGCTATGAAACTTTTCTCTCCTGTCTGCTACACCCTCAAAATCTCCTCTGAATGGATTGGGGACACTCCAGAGCAGGTTTTCAGGGTCCCCGGGGAGAGGAAAGGATGGGGAAGTCCCATTGTACTCAGCACTGGATTCAACCCTTAGCTTTTGTTTTGTTTTGTTTTCCTAATCAGCAGCCCTACACTTCTGGTTTGACAACCAGGGGAGTGGCAATCCGGGAAAGGAAGTTTACTCCTTTCCTTCCTTCATCTTTTCCTGATGACCTTTCCCTCCCATCCTAAAGCAGCTATGAGCTCTGTGATGACAGGAATGGGGGGCATTTGTATCCGTCTCTCCACATCCAGATCTAATAGCTGCCATTTGAGTGGGGGAAAAGGGAGGAAAGGATTCAGCATTCTCCTAATTATGGATCTCTCAGGTCACGCAGCTTGGCCATCTGTTTCTGCCCCTTCTTTCAGCTCATGATAAATAACTCAATCTCCATACTGATTGCAATATTTTTTCATGTTTTAATTTTATTTAAATACAAAACTATAAGAAAATGCAGGTACTTTGACCATACCAAAGACTTTTTCTTTGCTAAAATTAGTTGGGATTTCTTTTGAAAAATCAGTATGCACATGATTACTTTTGTTTATTTCTTATTGCATTTGTATCCTATCTTTTCTTCAAGGAGCTCAAGGTGGTGTACAAAAGTCTCCCCCCCCCATTTTATCCTCACATTAACCCTGTGAGGTAGGTTAGAATGAAAGTTAGTGACTAGTACAAGGTCACCCAATCAGTTTCATGGCTGTGTGGGAATTTGAACCCTAGTCTCTCAGTTCCTAGTACAACACTAACCACTACAGTTTTTCAGCTATATTCAAGAAAACCTGAATTGGATAGTTTTATGAGGAGAAACTCCTTTTCCATGAAACATGGTTTTCTATGTAATAAATGACAATATTTCAAAGTATTACAGTATGATTTCTGTAGCTGACCATAGTACCACTGCTTGTCATATTTATTTGGCATTTAGACCACAGGGTAATTTTTATCGCTTCAGCTTGATATTCTTTTAGACTTGCTTATGGAAAAAAATGTAGTGGAGAAGAATTTTCTGATTCAAGTCTGGCATGATTTCTGTTTTAATGACTAGCACGGAGATTCTTTTACTGTGTATTGCACCTTGAATGCTTGTAAATAAGAATGATTAAAAAATTGCAAGTAAATGCAAAAAGAGAAATACTTATGTTACAACTTATTTGGAAACAGCCAGAACTTTAAAAAATAGATTTGTGTTTCATATGCATGATTTATTTCTCTGTGTTTTAACGTTCTGTTCATGTGCTCCACAATGTTTCATTTTGTACGTCTAGGCCATGGGGTATCCAAAAACCTCAAAGCATCTTGTCAACTTCAGCCCTGCCAACTTGCAATGGGATGAGTTGATGGGGCACTTTGAGGGTTGACCTTGTTTATGAGCGCATTACTTTTGTCAATCTGCATGCCAGTTTTAAGTGTCTTGGATCAATTTGATCAGGGTTTGTAAAGTATTCTTCATTTAAGAATGTATATGCATATATTTCTTTTTTTTCTATGCAAACATTATTATGTTGAATGAAATAGCCATAACATTCCAGGTTCTGCCTCATTGGGTCTCTAAACAAACATGAATCTGAGTACAACACAACTAGGGTGTAAAAGGCAAACTGAAGGTAAGTGAACAAATATATAGTTCCCAATTCATCATCTCTTGCATTCCATTTGTTTTCTTTGAAAATGTCTAGTAGGTGTATATCATTTGCTGTGTGCCTGTGTGTGTGTGTGCCTGTGTGTGGGGTTGATGTTTTTTCCTTCATTTTCTTTTGCTTTGCTTGAAAATGGTGCTAAGCTTTCAGCATACAAAGAATTTAAAATTATAGGCAGGAAGCTGCTATAACTTAAACAATACATACAATAAATTAAATTGGTACTCTCAGTTGCATTAGACCATCCTTGCTAAGTATAATCTGCATCTCAAGCTTGAATTCTAAACAAGTGTTTGGCATGAACATCCCCCTTTATTTAAGAAAATGATTGTGTGAAGTGTTTCAATAGGTAATAACTTCCAGCCTGATCCACGCTGTGGGAGTAATAAATTTAGGGAGCTCTGAATTTAGATCTGTCAGTATATCTACCCTAGTTGAACCCAATGCTTCCTGAGGAATGTATGGAGAATTTTATCCTCATAGCAGCCCCATAAGGAAATAAGACCGGTGATGTCCTACTCAGGACTGGCTAGCAAATTTCATGGACTGAGTGTGGATTTAAACCAGAGTATTTCCATTTCAAGCTCAGTGCTCTATGCATTTCACCACACTGGCTGTCTGACCATGACAGAGCATATATTTGCAAAGTTGTTGCAGTGAGATCTACAAGTGTCTAATACCCTGAATTGTCTCTTCCCTGCATTACTGTTTTGGATGTGCTATATGCATGGCCCTCAGCTATTGGGAATATGTAGGAAGCAGCAAAATTTTCACTTGATCTCCAGTCTAAACAACAATTTTCTACCTTGAATAACCAACCAGAAAGGAACTGCCAGGGGATAAATTTGTAACTCCCAGCTGGGGATCATGCACAGTGCTTTGTCCCTGCTGTGAGAGCAGCACTGGTACCAGGTCACACTCTGCTGCCAACAGCTGTGAATCAGGCTGTTTGTTTGATGCCACTTAAATGCTTAGTTAAATTAAGATATGAAGACATCTGCTAACTCACTGTATTGTCATTTAGAATTTATGATGTTGGAAAAGGGCTTGGTTAACAGCTTGTAAGAATTTAATCTACTTGTTCCTTTTATATTGATGTGCATTTTCATTTTGCTAGCACTAATTACAGTTTTCTGGAGGGTTTGGACACATGATTTTATTTTTTATTTCCCCCTTAATATCTCTACAGTCAGCATCTATTTGACAGTTTTTTATATACAAAACTATTACTGCCACAACCTAAGGCTTCATATTATTCTGTTGTAGGTGTGGACTGACACAAAAACAACAACTTTTATGCTAGGGAAAACTCCCCATGTTTATTCCTGTTGAGCACACTGACCTTTCCTCTTATTGAAAGGAAACATAATGTTGGTGCATGGGGAAGAAAAATAGTCATAAAAGGATAATTCCTAGATGCCAGGATTCAAGTTTGGGCAAGTACTCCTTGGTTAGAGAACCCCAGCAGAGGTTTAAAAATCACAAAACATACAGCAAAGTGAAGAATGGAATTATAGGCTATTAGACCTTTAAAATATGCCCTTTAAAGTGAGTTCCAAAGTTTCCCTCTTCCCTAGCATTGAAAATGACCACGTTTGGTAAGTTAAAAATGGTTTACTTACAAACTCTCCAAAGTTCAGATTCATATTCTTTTCCATACAACATTCAGAAAAAGTTGCACAGGCAGTGACACTTGACTTAGTTATAGAGTGGTGAAAGTTCCTAAATTATTGGTATAGGAACTCAAAACACTTGACTTAGTTATAGAGTGGTGAAAGTTCCTAAATTATTGGTATAGGAACTCAAGAGTGGCTCATGAAAGCCATGCAGTGTGAACTGGAGCCACCAGCTCAAACCTCTTTACACCCTGAGTTCTCGGGTAGACTGGGGGTTGAATAATAGGATTGATTACCAAGTTCCTCCCAAGGTAAGGGAAGTGGATATAGCTGAGTCTGGCAGGACAGTTTACTCTATGATATTAACCCCTTCATATATTAATTAGACTTAAGCATGTTGATTATATGAGGCTGGTTATCCCACACATAAGAGCACTAAATAGTCACTGTAAGTATCTGAGCTGCAGTTTGGGTGGTTTTTTTTTCAAATGGATGTGTATTCTATGTAGTGAAACACATAGAAACAAAATGTTTAACTATTAGTAAGATATACAAGCTTTTGATTTTTCAGGAGAAGGGAGAAGTCATAAGTCATTCTTTGCTTTATGCATACAAACATTTTGACTACAAAAATTACTTAGCCAGTATTTTCAGGCCTTGAGTGAATGTGGTGGTGGTGGAAAGGCAGAATTCTCACTTTGAGTCGACTATTTTTATTCACACCAAAAAATTCCAAATATTTCTTCTTACCTTCTTATAGATAGTTCTATTTTACAGCTAATTTTTTATTCTGGAATTTGGCTCAGATGGAATAGTCTGAGATCTATTTTGACTTGAAAGTGAAGAACTTTTGCACTGCCCTACCAGCCAGTCGAGTTGCTGATCACAATCACTTACCTGTGCTTTGGATTTTGGAGGTCAGACTACTGTTGTACTACTGCGTTCACACTTTTTCCAATTACTGGCATACAAAAACAACACCCTAAACGACTTTGTGTCCTGGTGCCACATTTCTACAACATTTCCCTTTTGTCTATTTAAAAGCAGGTCATACAATCAGGCCGCCTGCAGTCTTGTGGACAATGAAGTCAATGAAGCACTTATATGCCTAGCTGTCTTCAAGGTTCTAGTCATTCATCTTAATTATGAGCACAT